GAATCTTTTGTAATTAAAATAGTTGATTTTTTAAAACAATTAGCCTTTTAAATGGACACATATACAAAGAGAGAAATGGTGCCTGTCCTAAGATTATTAACAATTACACTAGAGTCACCAATATATGATACTAGTATATTGAGAGTTACAACATATTTGTGTTATATATTTGTATTATTGACTTGGGCATTTTACTGTAATTATATATTATACATATGTATTATCATTATAGTCAGTTATACTATATACACAGCAATGGCCAGATAGATCAACAGCACAGGACAGAGTCCAATCTGAAAATCCAGATTCATGTGGAAACTTACTGGTTGATGAAGTTGACATTAAGAGTTATGGGGAAAGATGGGAAACTTGCCACGGCAGCCAGGGGGAGGGTTAGAGGGCTCTAGGATGGGGCAATCTGGGGCAGGCAGTGGTCTGGAAGCCCATCTTGGAACCCAAGGTGACACAGATGCTTCTGATTAGGAACCGCACTTGGGAAACCTCTGGCAACCTGCATTCCTGCAGCTCCCCACCAATCTGTACAGCTCACAGAAAGGTGCAGTGCAGGCGGAGGGGGTGGGCTGTGCTGGGTTCCTGCCTAAAACTGTGGACTAGGGTTGGAGGTAGCTTCATGAAACTGCTGTGGATGTTTCCAACTACTTGGTAGCTTTGCCTTCTGAGCCAATGACTGCCTCAAAATTGGTTCCAGCAGGGTTCAGAATTGGCCTGGAGTGCACATCTTCAAGGCCCTGGTATGCATCTTCTTTGAGGAAGTTAGATTTCTTCTGGACTACCTATGGCATCCGATGCAGTGTCTATGGCACAGCTTATGAGGGACTTTGTTTTGATACAATTGTGGCTTCAATTCTTTTATGTTCTAATGACTGTACTGAGTAACAGGTGAAGAGTTTTGCAAGGCTGATTCATTTTCCCAGGACCTTCGTGGTTTAGAAAGATGGCTCCCAAGTCCCACCTGGCCTCCTTGGCTCCCAGATTCAGCATTCCTCATGGTTCCGCTTGGATAGTAGTGCATTCACTGCCTGGTTTTTATGATCTATTCTCAACTTTTTTAAAAAAATTATTTTTTATTCTTATTTGTTATATATGACAGCAGAATGCATTACAATTCATATTACACATACATGGCACATTTTTTCAGATCACATTTTTTTTTTTCCCAGAGGCTGCAGGAAGCTGCTCAGCAGAGACTCCAGTAAGTGCCCTTGGTCTTCCCTGTTTCACTGATTCATCTGAAAGGGAGGTGGTCCCTATTTCAGGCCTCTCTGTGATAGTCCCCAGTGGCCTCCTCCTGGATATTGTGCAACTCCATGGGAGAGGTTAGGGAGAAGCCAGGAACTGAAGAATGCAAGTCATTCCTTTTCAGTTTCTTTATCTCTGAGTTGCTCTAGGTATAATGATCAACTACAGTTATCACAATGTATTATCAAATCTAAAACTGCAATAACCACTCCCAACAGAATCCTTCCTTTCCTCACCCAAATTATCTTTTTAGTGCTGCACATGCTAAGCAGAAATTGGCTCTAGGCTTGTAAACCACCCTGTTTCCATAGACTGACAGTCACTCTTTTTAAAAATACATCCTACATTGACATAAATTGGATGAGAAAGTTAAGAGGAGAGGAAATTTGTATGTAATTACCCATTCAAATGGGTAATTAACAAGAAGTTGTGAGGTCCTGGCTGAGACTCAGGATCTTAGAGCAGTTCAGGCCACACAGTGCCATTTACTGGGTGCTGCTCTTCCCAGGCATTTTGGGCTTATTTGACATGTGCTTTCGGACTATTTTAATGGGTGTGCAATTGCCTGGAGTTGATTGGTGATGAGGAGGGTGGATTTGCTGGGCACAGAGCAAAGAATCCATTCATGGCACTGCCCTGAGTCTTACCCAGCCCAGTTCCTTGGGGGCCCTGCTTCTCTGGCCATGATTAGCTTGGATAAATTATTTCTCTCCTATATTCTTTGCTTTATAATCTTTTATATGGCTTGCCAATAAAATTTCTTAGCTATAATTGCTTAATATGTGGCCTTAGGGTATAGGCTATAAATCAGTCTATCCCAACCTGCCCTCTTACAATAAATCTCTGCCCTCAGTTTGCTGAATTTCCATTCTGAGTCTTTTGAAGGTATCTCTTCTCACTTCTTAAAAATTAACAAGGGGATTTGTTGTTGCCCAATCTTCCAGGCCTGTTCCTGCTCCTTGGGCACAATTTTCTTTCCTTCCTGGATTTCTTATTGTCAGTACTTTTAGTTTCTAAGCCTTTAATTTGCAGCTTCACTTTATGAATTCTCTCTGTGTCAACCTTCTCTAATAATTCTTGTGTGCTTGTGAAAATCTCAATACCAAAATGTTACTATCCTTCCCTTCTCCGCCTTCCGGTCAATTGGTGGTTCTTTGACGGTGCCTTTCCTTACCCATCATACACTTGGGACATTATTCTTGCTCTGCAGGCCACAATAGAGCTCCTGACAGTCCTTGCTATAGAAATATGAGCCCCTTTGACTGCCATCAGTGTTTTTCATCTTCTTTTAAAATGCTGTTTCTCCATGAAGCCTTTGATGTACACATCCTTCTCTCCATTGCCAGGGAAGCTGCTGGGTGCAGGGGAGAATGCTCCTAAGGGGACCCGGGGCCCCTCCTTCAGAAGGCACTTGAGGTTGTGAGGCCTCCGACAAAGGCCCTGGTCTCATCTTTCTTGTGCATGGCCCTTATTCCATGGGATGAGCTATATCATCTGGGGAAAGCCCTGACCTCGTGGCTTCAGTGCTTATATCCCCCAGGGGTCCCTACTTCTTTATTCTTCCAGTGCGCTGTTAAGTATTCAGAAAAATTAAGGAAATGCAGGTCACACACCCCAATGAGCATGTCACAGGGTTTTAGAAAGGCAAAAATTGTATTGTACTCTAAGTTTTTTCTTGATTAGGGCTGGCATGGTGACATACACCTGCAATCCCAGCTACTTGGGAGTCTGAAACAAAAGGATTACAAATTTGAGGCTATCCTTAGCACTTTAATGAGTCCTGTCTCAAAATAAAATTTTGAAAAAAGGGTTGGAGATGTAGCTCAGTGGTAGAGAACATGAAGAGCAGGTGTACTGCAATAGAGCCCCAGTACAGTTAAAAAAGAAAGAAAGAAAGTAAGTTAATGTTTTTCTCTAGAGGGGCCAGGGGTGTAGCTCAGTGGCTCAGCATGTGCTTCGGATATGTGATGCCCTGGATTTGATCCCTAGCACAGCAAAAAGAAAATAACATAATATAAAACAAAATAAAAGAATTTTTTTTTTCTCTGCAACATTCAACATTGGATTCTTCAGTGACGGGAGATGCCAAGGAAGTCAGTTACCTTGTTTGGAGCAGAAGTGCCTTGGAAGTCCCTTTGTGCTCACCTTTTCCATGCCTCCTGCCCCACATTGGTGAGTTCCCTAACAGTGGCAAGGTGTGGTGGGGAAGGGGGAACTGCTCCAGGACAAGGCCTCTGCTTCCAGGCCTAGGGGCCAGGAGCGACAGAGAAATGAGGGAGGACTGACCCTCTTAGATGGGTGCACAGGAGCCCTTCAACTCCAATCACCATTCTCCAGGAGCAGGAGGACTGGACACGTAAAGCATAGTTTTGTCTTCTCTATAAAAGAATGTCGCTCCTGAGGGCATGACAGGTAGGGGAAAGTAAAGGTGTAGCCTGAAGGTAGAAAGCACAGTCCACATAATAGAAAAGCCACAGAAGGAAGTTTAGTTCAGAGGAGTCTGGAGTATGGTAGAAGATCCACCAAGAAATCTTCATGGAGTAGGTGGCTTGTCAGCTAAGTCTCGTGAGGGAGGAACAAAGGGAAGGTGAGAATAAAAAGATGGAAATAAGAAAACATGGGGCATTCTTGTCAACGGTAGGAATAAAGCCACCCAGGCACCTGCTTAAAATGCAGGCTCTATGGTCCTGCCCCAGGGGTCAGGTGAGGACTGATATGAGCCCGGGAATCTGAAAGCTTCGAAGCCTCAGGAGGCTGCCTGGGATGGCACTCAACCTTCATGCTCCATGGAATGGAAGCCAGGGAAGACAGAGCACCTCAGTTTAGTTTCCATATTGGATTTAGAACAGGTTTCATAAACTCAATTACTTACAGGTTGTTACAGGCAATGAGAGATGTTGATGGGTTATAAGCACAAATGGAAAACTGTCCCTTCCAGTTCTTAAAGACAAGCCAATAAGCCCCAGCCATTGTTGCCATGCAGGGTATATGCTCAAGGTGCTAGAGCCTTCTATTTCCAAGAGAAGCATGAAATCTGGGTCTTGTGTACCCTCCTCTCCCTAAATTATTAAATGACAGATTAAATGCCATGAGTATCACATGGTTCCACGAGGATTGCCAGTTGGCAAGGTCAGAGGGGCAGAATAAAATCTTATGTATTTGGACTTGAATGACAGGCCGAAATCGTACTTAATGGGTAGTCAATGAACAAGAGAAGGTTTTGTAGCAAAGAAGGAACCTGGTTTATTTTGTTTTGTTTGTTTGTTGTTATTCTTTGGTATCAGGGATTAAGCCCAAGAACTCATACATGCTAGGCAAGTGCTCATCCACTGAGCTACATCCCCAGCCCAAAGAAGGCACTGGAACAAAAGAGGGCTTCAAGAAGGTTCATGTGGCCGTTGTATACTCCTGGATGGATCAGAGAGGAGGCTTTGGGCAGGAGTTCCTAGGAGGTGCTTCCAACTGTGCAAAGCAAATGGAGAAAAGAGGGTGAAGATGTCAGGAAGCAGGAATGCATGAGGTCTGATTGGCTGTGGAAGGAAGAGGGAAAAAGCGATCCTCTGGGTTCCTCTGTGTCTAAATATGTAATGTTTCCAAGCTTCCTTTTCCTTTAATACATACTGATTTTCCATCTTCACTCATCCCACAGAAAAAGATCAAGTTTCATTCTGATCAGTGCCTGCTTAATAATGAAATTTAGAATCTCTTTTTTTAGGGAGAAAAAAAAAACACAGACAAAATATTGTACAGTATCTATAATAAATGCAAATAAATCAATACAAACAAAACTTGGCTTTAGCAAACTGTACATACATAAATATCTTTTTTTAATACTATAACATTCAACTTTTTTCACATAAAGCCTTCCATAACCTTATTTATTACATCTTTTTTTTTATACCTTTAAAAAAAGTGCCTTGAGAATTTACAGCTTGTGCTTCTAAAGCAAAGGTTAGAATATCATGCCCAAAAGGAAAACAAGGTAAAAAGGAAGCTGCCATATAAGCTCTTAAAAATTGTATGTTACAAGGTTCTAAAATCTCTTCAGCACTGATTGGTTGGTAGATTGTATGATAAGGGTCCTTGGTTGATTGGGTGGTGGAGCAGCACCATGGGAAAGCTGCCCAGGTGGTCTACTGAAGTCCTTGGCTATGCATTGAATGGGCCAATGGCCCAGAATTCATGAGTCCAGGAAACTGGATGTCCTTACTTCAGTGCTAAGGCTCAGAGTCTGGAACAATATTTCTTCGAAACCTTCCATTTACATCATTGTTTATCAACCACATCTGAAGCCGTGACTTGCACACATGGATATGGAGGAGAGCTAAAGTTGCCACATGGAGGGCTTTCATCAAGATCAAATCCTCTGATGGTTTGGGCTTGCTGCTGGCCCAATCCTCCTGATGCTACCAACACTTCTGTAGCAAGCATCTGCTTGATTCAGAGTGGAGGAGGACCATTTGTGTATCTGAGCATGGGGTGGAATGACCGGGCAAAATTGTTGGAGAGGGCACAACTGTAGTCTTCCTCTGACATTGGTACAAGGCAGGCGAGCCCCACGAGGAGCAGCAGGAGGAGTTGAAGGGGGAGAGCCGCCCGGAGGACTCTGAGCAGGAAGGCTCTGCCTGACCGAGCTGGCCGTAGCTCAGAAAGGGAGGAATCGGAGCCACCTTTTGTGGACCTGAGAGAAGAATCAACATAAATAACTCAAATAACTCAAGTATTAGGTGGATGTTGCTTTTTGTTTCTGCACCTTCCGGGAAGCCAAAGGGCCATGCAAACTTGATAGTGGGTGGCCATCCTTCAGCAGTATGCCCAGGACTCCCCCCACCAAAGGAAGAGTTTCTGGAAACTGCACTAACAATACCCACGTCATCAGTCAGCTAAAGGTAACTAACTGGGTTGAAATTCCATTCCTTTTATCCCTTATTTTGGTAAATTTTTTTTCTATCAATAAAAATAAATGCTCTAAATACATTTTCCAGCATAAATTAAGGATATCCAGGACAATTAAAGTGTAGATGTTTGAGGCATTACATTTTTGATTTAAAAATATCAGCGTTATTGTTAGGCAAAGTTAGTTGTTGTGAGAGAATCATACAAAGTACCCCATCTAGCCATCCTGGGTGTGTTGAAATCTGCACCCAAGGATAAAAACTGTCCTGGTCATTTGGCACAAACCAAGGAGCTTTACTTATAGAGTCTACCTGGCTTCATCTTGCACTGAACCAGCAACTGGCTCTGACATCAGTGGATTCCAAAGCTACATGAATAAGTAAAAGCAATGGCACCCATCTAAGAATTATTGTTAAAGGACATAGTTTCCAGGCTGATCCTGTCACTAATTATGTGGCTTTGGGAAAAGGACACCATTTTTTCTGGAGAGGACGGTTTGTCATCTTGAATCCCTTCTAGACTCAAAATTTCCTAGTTTGTGTTTATCTTCCTTTTAAATAGTACATTTGAGAGTAAGCACAAATTTTCAGTATTCATATTAAAGAGTGCTGGGAAATATTGAATATGAAAGTGGCTTCTGATTTTGGTGCTCCTGTTTTCTCTTGAGAGTAGCCATTGGTATTTTGTTTGGTCACTGGTAGAATAGATGAAAGGTACAAATGCTATTACAAGAGGTGTTTCGTATGCACCCACACCTACACAGCATGAGCACAAAGAACAGATGTACAAAGAAGACACAGTCCCACACACTGAGGATGAATTAATTCCTTAATGGTTTAATAGCACTAAATGTAAAGACATCGAATGGGAGGCTGTTGGAAAAATATGAAGATGTAAAAACTGCATTAGTAACTGCAGATTTGGCTCATAAGAATACTCTGCATTTTAGCTCACCTATTAGCTGTTAATTTCTAAAGACAGATTACCCAAGTGTCCACGGGGGATAAATGGCACCTGAGAAAATAAGTGTTAAGATAAAAAAAACATATAATCCCCTTAAAAGGGAATACAGGGACTATGCAAAACTCTTTATTAAACCATCAAAGTAACATGAGAGATAGATTAGTTCTGCAGAAGCCCCAAGCAGCTCTGTTCTGCACACTTCCAAGCATGCTTCTTGGAGTGTAATGGAGAGAGAGAGAAAAAAAATGACTGGTCTATATGAGGACTTTTGTTTTTTCTGAAGCTCATGTCTAATGGTGGCATAACCTTGAACAACCTGCTTAGAATTCACCTCTAAGTGCCAACCTTGTCATCAACCTCTTCAAATTAGACTTGATGGTCTTCCAACTTCTCAGTTCCATGTCTTATGTGACTTATGACTTCTAATTTGTCAGTGTTAACAATCTCCCAACTGAGAGGCTACAAGAGTTCAATCACCATCTAGTGGTTGAATTGCTTAACTATCCTATGGTAAGACCAGTAAGCTGTTCCTAGTGAGCTGAAGAGCAGAAAAAAAGAAAAAAAAAATGTATGTTTTGTGGAAATACAGTAGAGCATTAAAAAAAAAAAATGTCATATACCTTACTGATGAAAGGGAAAACAGAAGCATGTCAAGCTATCTAATTATAAAATACTCATCTTGAGATCAAGCCTCTTTAGACAGTATCTAATCCATCTCCTAATTTGGGAGATAAGTAGCTAAGGATAGTTAACATTCATACTCCAGATTGCTAGGCAACACTCTTAAGGAAGCATTTATCTTGGATTCTCTCATTTAATCTCACAACAGACCTCTGAGGCTTATTAGCTTCAGTTCATTGGTGATGAAAAAAGTGGCTCGGAAAATGAAGCAGTTGGCCCAAGTTTACCTAGCCAGCAAGTGGCAGAATCAAGATTTGAAGCCTGGGATGTGAACTACCAGAACATGGACTCTGTCGAGAGCTACACGACTTGTCCCAAGTATCAAGATTAAAGGAAGAGCTCCAGCAGGAACTCAGAGTTTCCAAATCCCTGCCCACCACACGCTTGATGAGGCCATGATTTTTTGGTTGGGGGTTATGAATTATAGACATGAAGGTCAAATTTATGACCCACGTATCTCACATGCAGAAGCAAAGAAGAAATCTTTGCATCTGAAGGTATTTTAAAGTGGTTTCTTTGTGTCTAAAATGCCTCTAGTCAGAAAGCCTAAGAATATCACACCTATCACCAAATCCCTGTGTGGACACAAGGACATTGTTTTTCCAGGCAGGTGTATAATCACGGGCAAGTAAATTCTCTCTCTAGCCTTCAGTTTGCTTGTTTGCAAAGAAACGCGATGCCCTAGTACCCTAAAATAATTTCAGTCTGACAGTTTATGCTTCAATGGTTTGTTTCAAAACATGGTGAGAAAGATGGAATAAGCTACCCACAAACTCTGGATTGTGTTTTTCTTCGGCATATCCTTCCGTTGATGTGAAAATATGACTTGGCAAACACCAGTCACCACTTGTAACTGGGTGAGTTAGAACAGAATGGCCCCATCCTATCTCATTTCCAAATATCTAACTGATTCATTTTCAATAGGAGACAATTTAAGACTTTAGTGATGGACAGGTGTGTATAGAGTTGATAATGCAACCCACAGAGCTGGAGCACCCCTCTTTATTAATCATTAGCTCTCCTGAGCAATGAGGTCAAAGATCAAGATCAAATCAAAGGCTGTTCATTGGCTAATTCTCTCCTGAGAAAAACTAGAAAGATCACTATTTTGGGAATATGGACTCACATGTTAAGGAGGCTTTTGGAGGACATGGCACATTTAACAGCATCAGAGCATTTTTTATTAAAATGTAATTGGTGCATGACTTCTAATGTTTAAGAATGTCAACATAGGGAGCAGAAATGGGCTGAGAAAAGGTCAAAGAGAACAGACAGTACCCAGTGACTGCTCCCACAGTTGAATGCTCTTAAAAACATCTAGTCCATCCACCAAGAAAAGTGCCCACTCCACTTGGGGTAACTACCAGTTTCAACATGCTCAAATTTGCTTCTCCTTGAGGATGACTCTGTTCTAGAGATCTTAGCACCAGTAGATTAATGATCCCAAAGTGAAAGGGTATTTTTAATATTTATCTATGGACCTAAGGTCACCCAAGTTTTGAGAGTCTTGGGGACTTGCTGACTAATCACTGGTCATTCTCCACTGATCTTACCACGTCCATGCAAGCAAATGCAGGTGGTGTTTAGATAGGAAAACTTAAACATGTGAATGTATTCAAGGAAGGTGGTCAATGCAGGTATTTTAGATAATTCTGTCCAGGAAAACATGGTCTCCTCCTCTACTGCAAATATTTATTTGTTTCTCATTGTTCTCACTCCTTCAAATTTCTGAGTAAATAACTGCCCAGGTGTTGTTGTTTTGTTACTGTCCCTAAATAGGCTATCCATGATCTTGTTGCCTGCCCCTTATAAGTCTTTGAAACTGCAGTGTTTATTTACGTATAAAAATATGGCTCAGAAGACAAGTTCCCAGAATCAATTTAGGACTCCAGTCTCATTTTGTTTCAAATTAAATATTCTGGCTGTTCCTATACTACCTCAGGCAGCCTGGGGACCTGTTCTGTGAGTCCCCTTACCCACTGACAGTCTTTCAGTAGAGTGGTATTGTTAACATGTCAGGGTTAACCCGGGAGAGACCTGAGTTCCTGCCTGGGTTCACGTGCCATAGGGTTCTTGTGCAGGCTAGATGAGGTAATATATACACAACACTTGGCATGGCACCTAGAACATATTAAATACTAAATAGATGTCAGGAACTTGTCATTATTATCTATATAATTATACCAAGGGTATGTTGACTCATGCCCCTGGGGGTTGGCTGGATTCAGCCTCTGCTTTCAGGAAGCGTTCCTGATTGACTAATATTAATTTCAAAGGTGTGACAAATTTCTCCAACTGCCTCACTTGTTCCCCAGAAAGACTGGGAAGGGCTGAATCAAAACAGCAAAAGACATACCTCTTGGAGCCTATCCCCTACAGCTGTCCTTGGAGTATGGGTGGGCACCCTGCCTTCAGGGCAAACTGCTTTATGCTGAGCTCTTTGAAAGCTTGGAATAAAGAGATACTCAGGAAAAGTGCAACAGAAAAGATTTGAAAACAAATTCCACGAGATACGGAACAGCACTTTGAGCAAGACTTTAGTGTACATGCAAAAACACCCACTGGCTTGCTTAAATATATTTGACCACCTTGGATGGATTTTTAAATGAGGCCTCTTTTCCCTTTCAGTGTTTAAGCCAGCATTTGCCACTCTCATTTCATCTTAATTTTTCTGTGCAGAAGGTGCCAAAGACTAACTGTGTCCACGGCAATTCTGCATTTTATAATTCTGAGCTTTTGGATGAAGTCATCATTCACTGTGCCTGGACTGCAGAGCAATTATTTTTTTTGTCCTGCTGAAAAGTGGAGTGAAATCTTTCCACATGTCAACTTCAACTCATCTACTGTAGAGGTTTGAAGTGGTGATTGGGTTAGAAAATTTTAAGTCTGATGTATGAAAATTGTACCAGATGGACCATCACAAACATTGCTTTGAAGTACATTTCTAAGGTATGTTTACCCTCAAATAAAAATCATGAAAATTATGAGTTATTATGAGTGTGTGCACAGATTTTTTTCAATTTCTTATAATTTTAGGAATTATCTGAAAGCCTCTTATTATTGGTGCAACAAGTTTCTTAATGAAAGAAACTATATTATATTAATTATGTAGGCCTAGGACCTAAATGTAGTAAGTGTTCAGTAACTACTGGCCTCAGTCCCTATGCAGGCTTAGAATATTAAATGAGGACACAGAATTGTCACCATCAAATCAAAATAAAATATGTAACAGGCTAGTATATTATTTAAGTAACCACTCTCTTCAAATGAACACCTGGGCTTTTTCAACAGAGCCCCTTTTCCTTCTCAGAAAAAAATGTGTATCTAAAATGTTCTTGTTGAACTGAGGGCAACATTCTAAACTCCTGTGCTTCAGCGTTAACCTTTCAAATGTGCTGGGCCAGTGCAAGATCAAATGCAAGGTATCTCCAGTTGCAAGGTAAAGGGACACCGTGGCAGCATGGATTGTGAGTGAAGTCCACTCTCCCCTGGAGCCTCTCTGGTTCACTCTCAGGTTTGGGTGAATCCAAGCTAAAATACCAAGGAGTTGAGAAGCCTGGGAACATTCAACCATAACCTGTCTGCCAAGGTGTCTGATGAAGGACACCATTCTGGTATTCCACCCTCTCCCGAGTAGCCAAGTGGACATTGTGCTGAATGCTTAGAAAGATGTTAATCAACAGTGCAGGGCAGAGCAGAGCTGAAGGCGTCTTGTGGACGTGGCAGAGAGAAGGTGGCTGTCCCAGCTGTAAAGTCCTGTTAGGAGGTGTGTGGAAGCTCCTGCTACCCTAAGAGACATTAGGGCTTTGATGTTTCAAAAGATCTGTGGACTGTCCAAAATAACCGAGGGAGCCCACAGATGTGATATTTGGAAACCGTAAGGTGATTTCTACCGGTGTTGAACAAGAGGGTAAGAGGTTTTCACTTTCTCAGCTCCACCATTTGGTTTGACCAAAGAATTGTTCTCTGGTTTCCTCAAAGGAATGCTATGAGGATATTCTTCATCTCTGCTCATGGCACATTAGCAATGTGTGGGGAGAAGAGAGATTATATAACACAATAATCTGTCCATAGTACACGACTGTCTTTTGCTCTAGGGGCCGAAGTAAATATCAGAGCCCCCTCAGATGTCCATGATCACCTTCAAAGTACCTAGGAGTTTCTCCAAATTTCATTGCTATTATTTTGTTATGGAGATAGGAAAAAAAGATTCCACTAAATCATCTTCAAACAAAAAGGAAAAGGAAAAAAAAAATGGTAAAAGGAGACTTAAAACCGGAAAGCATATCAAAATATCAAAATCCTTTCTGCGAGACTTTGATGGACCAAATGAAATAGCCAGTCCTTCAGGCCACAGCTGGAAAACTAAAACTCTTACTTGGTTTACAGTTCTATCTTTCCTCATCCCCACCCTCCTTCCAGGAATTTAGATTCCTGCTCAGTGGAGATCAAGTTTCCAGGGGGACAAATACTTTTCCAATAAACTGCTTGGGATTAGAATAAAAAATAAAGAAAGAAAGAAAAAAAAAAAAAAGAAAAATCCAGCTTCAAGGACAATTTTTTCATTAAAAAAAAGTTTTCTGGGGAAACATGAGCTGATTAGTGGAAAGGCGAAGGAGCACAGACATCACACCAACAACAGAGAAGGCAAAGCACTGCTAACTGTGGAACGGGGATCTCAGACAAGGCGTGGAGCAGGGAGACCAGCTGAGAGCGGCTCTAGAGAGCACTGCTCCTGGGTCCAGAGGAAAGAGTCTGCCAAGTGTGAGGAAGGTGCATGGCTGAATGTGCTGGCATTTTAGGGCAAGCCAGAAGAGAGGGAGAAGGTGCTTATAAATTTTAAGTGAAGAACACCAAATTAGGACTTGTCATTTTGAGAAGCCAAAACCCACAATCTGGATAAAACAGGAAGATAAAATAAAAAGCTGGGGATGTTAGTATATTTTATGCAGATTTGTGGGTTCTGTAAATGGTAAAATAATTTACTGATTGATTACCTGTCTTATTGTAAAATCTAGAAAGAAAGAGGATGATGAAAGTCTGCCATGAATCAAAAGGTGGCTGTGCCACAGCTGTACTGAGTCCTTGTGGACACTCAGAGTACACTTTGTTGGGAAGGACCAGATGGACTATGTGTAGCCAAAATTTGGATAGGGTCCAGATTTGTGTTTTACTTTTAGAAATGCATCTTCCAATTTACTAGGAAAGAGTGTGGGCAGAAATGAGTGGGGCAGACCACACACAGGCCTCCCTACATCATGGACCATTTTCATCATCCTCTTGGAGTTCTAGAACAGTGTGGAAACCAGGAGAACAAGGTACCTGCTATTTGGACTGCTGACAGAGGGTCCAGGCTGTGAGAGACTACATTTGCCTCGTGGCTGTTTGCAATGAACAGGGGTAAAGAAAGAAGAATGTTCAGTCCAGGCAAATAAAGACAAGCTACTGATGAAAATCAAACTAAAAGTGCAGCAAAGGAACAACGAACCAAATGAAATGATCAGTACCCACGGATCAAGGAAACTGGCTTTTCTTGTGTCGAAGAAATAAAACGAATTCACATCTACATTATTCATCCTTAAAGAAACATAAGTTGTGGCGTCCACACCACTGTGGGCATAATTTCCCTCACTTTTCATGGAAGAAGCACAAATGAGTGTGCCACTCCAGTGTCTCCGCATATTTACTATAAAATTAGACATAGCCTACTATGTACGTCAAAGACACTTTACATATTTTTTTTTCACCTTTTGGAGCACTCCAACCATATTAAAATTTTGGACTATCTCAGGACATTGTTGTTTATAGTGATGGAGCCCAACAAGTTACATCAAAGCTAAAATTTCAATGGAAAAGCCAGTATTCCTTTACATTCTTAAACTAGGATCTACAGGAAACTAGTGAATGTAGTAAAAAACAATCCTAAAACGAATAATACATTTGTCAGCATAGAACATAAGTGTCTATAACAAAAAAAAGTACAAATAAAGTCATTACTTCTAAAAACTGAAAAAAAAATGGATGAATAAAATCATAAAGCCAGACTAAAAAAAATAACAAAAGAAAAAACAAGCTTCTATTTACACAGAGAAATCAAGGTATAGAGGGTAGCAGGGGCCAAATTTGTCTTTTTGTCCTCACTGTGCTCTGGTGAAGCGGCCCCCACCAGGCCTTGAGGGTGGGTCTGCTCGAGTTGTTGCCACTTTAGGGCAGAACAGTCACGAAGCAACTTCAGGACCACCACTCAGAAGCCCCTCAACTTGAGGAACAACAGAACCACCCTTTAGTGGATGCACAGGATGTTCACCGTGCCCACCTCTGGCTCAGGCACTTTGTACGTGGCAGCCCATCTTGGTTAGGTGGACACAGCAGTGGTGGTTTGAAGGAAGGAGTCGCTGAAGGGACACAGGAGCACCATTCTGGAAATGGCCACTTGAGCAAAAGCAAAAATAGGCATACATATACTTTTTTTTTTTTCCTGCATACCAACCACACGTTGAGTCCTGTTTCTTTTTGAAAAACAGAACTGCTGTTTTCCATTCCTTAGCACATGCTGGAAGGGCACGCGGCAGGGCTAAGAGCAGCTCTATGCTGGTGACAGCCCTCTCCTGCCTGGGGACTCCTGCTTTGAGCCTGTGGACCCTGTGATAGGCACAAATACTCTCATACCCCAGTGTCCCTCCCCCCACGGGTGACCTGAAAATGAACAGTGAAAATTTACCGATTTCTGTCTGTTCGGGGTGCTTCTTCCTGATGCAGGACTCACAGATCCCGAGGTGTCCAGCTCATCAGCAGAAGACCAGGAGGACAAGTCCTATAAGGGGGAAAGTTCTTTGAACAAGGCCACAACCCACAGCCATGGCGGCTCTGTATACACAATGTATTTCCCACCCCAGCCCTACGTCGCTTCATCTCCTCCATAAATTCAGACCATTCCTTGTGAAAAATGGAATCAGACAATTGCAAGAATGGGACCTAACCCTTCCAGTGCACTGGGGCTTTCTGACTGCAAGCTTGGCCCTTCTGGAAATTGCAGCTTCAGTGTTGTTATTGCAGCTTTACTATTTCTTAGTGTCATGGATGTGAATGAGCTGATACTGGCTTGGGAGAGATGTCTGCCTGAGGCTCACTCAGGCCAGGCCTTGAAGTCAGAAACAAATGAGAGTCATCCAGGAGTCTACCTTATGGAATCAGAGAAAGCCTATTCTTTCTGGCACAGCTGCTATTTAGAGTGGATGGCTCTTTTTCATGCTTATAGAAGGACAACACATTTGTGTGGATGACAGGGTTTCATGATTGAATGTTTGCCATCTCTCCAAGCATTGGTGGGCCTACAAGTATATTTCTTAAAACAAGAATATTACCATGGCACCGTGACTTGAAAAAAAATAGGAAAGATAAATGAGCAAAAGACCATGTTCTATGAATTAATTACCATATACATAAGAATTCATGCCTTTCAAGTGTTGAATACAAAACTCGTGGGCAATAATTGTTTGCTCTACCAGGGCTGTGTATCTGAAAATGTGTGAATTCTTAACTAAACAAGGGAGAATAAAATGCTACAGCAGTGGTGGTAATAGGGTTGGTAGCAAACAAGTACAAGACATGGTTTAGATTGAGGAGAATCAATAGTAGCATACTGTCATGAAAAGCTATGAGTCTGCTTTTTTATTTGGAGGCAGGACTTGGATCAATAGTGCCGGAGGTGGACATCCATTCTGGTAAGTGCTGCATTTAAAGCTTTTCTACCACAGGTGGAGAGGATGACCTTGGCCTTACTGTAAACAGAGGTCTGGCTAGGCTTACCTGCTGACTGCTCGACATGTCCAATAACTTCTCCAGATCTTTGATATGCCGACTGACCTCCTTCAAGAGAAGTTTGAGCCGGTTCCCAATAACATGGACTTTTTCTTTGGCTTCTAAACAGTCTGTACCTTCAGCATTCACCAGGAGTTGGCCAGACATGTCTTGCAGTGAGGCCACTCTGAGCTGGGACTCCAACAGCTCACGCCTTATTTGCTAATGTATGGAATAGGAAATATTTTTCTAAGAATTTGTAATAGCTGGAGTAAGTTCCCAAAGTGAGCAATTCTATCTGAGCATCAGAATGATGGGCTCGCACCCAAAACAATGCTGCAGCTCCTGGCCTGGGAATTGGGGACTGGTGTTCTAATTCTGGCTCTGCCAAAAATGCTCCCCAAGGCCTCTGAACCTCTCCGATCTGAGTTCCTCATTGGCTGCCTGGTCCCAGTAAGTGTTTTTATAAGGTTTAAATTAGGTGATGCATATGAAAATACTTACAATGTAAAGTACCATGAAAATGAAACTTAGTCTTTTCAACAGAAAAACAAAACATCTAGATATAACAAAATTCAGATATGTCCAGGCATACTCTGATATCTGGTCATGATTTTTAAAAAGATACAGCTTAATGCCAGAGATCAAAGTTGAATAAAAACATAGCTCTTGTTTTCTAAGATCCTTATGGTACTAAATTAAAAACTGCCAATTCTGCAGTTTGGTAACTCTTTTTTTTTTTTAAATATTTATTTATTTTTTTTTAGTTTTCGGCGGACACAACATCTTTGTTTGTATGTGGTGCTGAGGATCGAACCCGGGCCGCACGCATGCCAGGCAAGCGTGCTAAGTTTGGTAACTCTTAAAAGTTAAGATATAACATTTAAAAAATACAGAAAGTCACAACATGCAAGGTATTTTTCTCCTAATGGAACTCAAATATGCTTTCTAATCATCTATCAAAGTTGCGAAATACAGCATCCTTTATATTGTTCCAAGATCATTATAAGAACCTACCCAGCCTAGCATGGCATAAATTTCTCATTCAAGAGAGAAATTAACTGTGGAAGGTAATTATTTTGTTGCACTTATCAATGAATTGTTTAGCCAATAAAAGGAAACATGATTCTTTAAGTCAATTTCTGCTTGAGTTTAGTGCTAGAAAAATATCTTGATCCTTAAGAACTGGTATATTTTGTTTGTCAGATAATGACAGAGAGTGAACGCACTGTGTTTCTCTTTAGTTTTGCTTTCAGAAATCTTGGTGCCAAGGTTCATGTTTCATCGGTTTCTCTTAACAAGGCCTGTATCTTTCTATTTTAATTGTTTTATGTTCTTTTACAATAAGCCACCAAATAAACTTTTGGGGCATCGATACAACATATAAAGCTTAAATTAAAAATAAACATAATTCATCAAAAAGCTGCCATAATAAACCCAAGATAGTTGAGATTAACACAACTAATTAATGAAAGGTAAGAGTAATACAAATGAGCAATGGCTGAAGTTGGCCGATGTCATCTTCTGTGCATATTTGTTTCACAAAAACTGAAAACCATAGGAGTTAAATTGGGGACTTCAGTTGGGGTATGAGAGATTATAATGCAAAAGGTAAAAAACCAAGCAGAGGCCACGAGAGTTCTTACCATAAGCTGTTTATGTTGGTCCTGAAGTATCTCTGCATCAAGGCTGGCATCGATAGGGACAATTTCATTTTTCCTCCTGTCGATATTCTCCAGCATCAGAAGCAAACCATGGCTCATTTCATGGAAATCCTACCAAAATATACAAACCCTGGATAACCTATTTCCCAGAATATATTTCCATTCTTTCCAATGGCTACCATTGGCAAATGCACATTGATTTTAACATCAGTTACACGACTCTTTTCTGAGAGAGGTCCTGGTGTTGATGATCTAATCTTGAGTTCATCTTCTTACCAAAAGCATCTCAATTATTACTTGGGGGAAAATTTAGATATAAAGTAAATTGGTATCAAAATACTTAATTTCCCACAGGAAGAGTCATGCTAATAGTTTGGAAGAAAACAATTCTCCTCTTATCTCTTTTCAGAAAATCTTCCCATGTTTGAAGGCCTAGGCCCAATCCCATCTCCCCTTCACTCACCCACTTGCTCAGTGATTCAGCCTGCAGTCAGTGAAGGTCTCCTATGTGCCAGAAGCTGCACTAGGAGTGGAGGCGGTGTGCAACAACAGCTTGGGTACCTGCTTTCAAAGAGGCTTCACCTCCTTCATCATCTCATTGTGCTCAGAATATGACCCAAGCTCCTGGCCAGGACCTGCAATGCTATGTGGGATCTGGCTCTTGACCACTTCCCCCAGCCCTTTTGCTCATTTTCGGACTCCCTCACAATATTTTGGTCAAACTGGCTTCTTTCATGTCCTAAAAGATGCCATGCCCTTTTCTGCTTCTGGGACTTCTCATCCATTGCATCTCCTTCTTAGCAACATCCTTCCAAGGTTGGTTCAAGGGACTTTAGAAAGCCCCTGACTTTCCTCCCAAAGTGGCTTTCCTCAGTTACTCTTGTCTTGTCTTCCTAACAAAAGCAGAGGCTACACTGTATCATAGCTGCTCAGTGACGTATCTGGCTCACAGTGGAAACAGCAAGTAACTGTGGCAAGAATGGATAAATAGATATTGCAATATCTTCCTTTGATCTTGAAGAAATAGCTGTGTGCTCAGAAGTATGTGTTGAATGAATGAATGAAATAAATGAATGAGTCAAAGAAGGAATGGCAGAACTTGAGAGATGGGAAGAAAATGAGATCTGAGTCCTTACACCTCAGTCACGAGTACAGATTCTCCAATAACTTGAAAAGTTTGGAGGCGCAGTTATCTCACTCAAACACTGATCTGGGGGAGCAACTGCACCTCTAAGGTAACTGAGATATGAACCTATGGCTTCAAGTCTCCAAATGCCAAGCCCCACCCACCTGGCACTGCATCAGTGCGTCCTGCAGCAGTCCCCGCCAGTCCTCCAGCAGAGAGCACACCCGGTCCCAGCGCCCGTTCATCTGGGACAACCGGTCCTGCAGGTCCCGGCTCTCCTTACTGTCAGCCTGGGTGAACTCAGAACTGCAGAGATTGATGGAGAGGATGATGGCTTTGCGGTGGTCCACGGCTCTCTGAAGCTCCTAAAAGAGAAAGGCGAGCAATCAAACAAGAACCATAATATAAAAACATTTTAAAATGTAGTTTAAAACTCTGGAACATGTTTTACTCCTATAAAAAGATCCATTTATTAAAACCGGCCTTTAACAGGACCATTAAGGAATAGATGATGAGAGCCACTGAGAATGATACTGTAATCACAAGAAATCAATTACAGGACACTTGACAACACGGATAGATCTTTAGAAAACCAGATGTATGAGAAATCCAAACCTGGATGAGCACTGATACCTGAATGCACACAAAATCCCACATTTTTCAAGAGTGCATATGAACAAAGAATGACTAGTAAATATTTCAGAATGGTTGCCAAGGCTCTGAGGAATAGGAATGCAAAATCAATGAATGAAAATGATAAATAAAGCAAAATGGAGCTTTGAAGGAAGAAATGATAGCTACATGCAATGAACTAAGGAAGCTGTTGAACTTGATTTCTTGCACAGTAGTTCAGCCACAAAAAAACAAAACAGAAACCTGGCTCCAACACTTTTGGGCAGCTGGACACCTGCTTTTTAGAAAAAAAAAAAATCTTGTGCATAAAATGATTGATTTCTTAATCCTAGTTCACTAGACTAATGGTGCTCAACTTGTGTGCATAAGAATGAAGTGGTGAGTTTTTGATAGTGGGTTTCAGAGCCCAGAAACTGTAGGCACAGGGGCTCACTGGCTGAGAACATCACCACATCACAGGCCATATTCTTGTGATGATAAAGAGAATAAATTGGGTATTTTATGAGCTAAATAGTTTAGTTTGATGTCACCCCCCCCAAAAAAAAAATGACCGATTTTTGACTTTATGCATTTCTAAACAATCTAGAACTCAGTTCTAAGAACTTGAGCACATATTAATTGTGGAGTGTCTGGGTGTTATTTAAACATCCACAGATCAAGCTTATGGCGGGTGGGGAGGAATTGTGGAAATCACAACTACCTAGGCTGTATTTTATTATAATTTCTTACTAGTTTTATTATGTCCCTAACTTGACTTCATTTTTCACTTTTCAAGGGGTTCTTAACATCCTGGTCTATAAATTGGAAAGTACTTAATTGTTCCATAGATTTATTTACAGAAAACAGGAGGGAAGAGGAAGGGCTACAGAGGCTACTCCTTCTGCTTATCATACAGGCTAACTTCCAAGGTCTTATTTTCCTGCCCTGATCTCCTGAGGTCTCAGATTCTGGCCAGTACTTTCTTTATCAATTTTCAAAGGAATTTGATTACACTAAAATACTGTTTAGCTAGAGTAACTTAGGGACTCTAATGAAAAACGCAGTTCAGTATGCAGATACTCTAAACTGCATCTTCCCTCCTGTGCTCTGTCCTGAAATTCATAGGGTTGGTGCAGAGACCTCTCTATAGGATGCAACTGTGGGAAATCTTTGGGGAAGACTCATTTATCTGTCTGAAAATTTAAAACAAAATAATACAACCACTCAAAATCAAGCAACAGAGATAACAGCCCCAAGTAAATAGCATATGCTAAAACCACAGGAACACAAACGCAGCACCCTTAATTCTGAGCTTGAAGATTCCGGGCAGAAACATTCTGAGGAGTAGCACATCTGAATGTTCTATCAAACAAAACCCCCGTCCAGGGGATGCTTACAAGTTTCCACATGAACATAGCTCAATAGCTCGGACTAAGGAGTTTTCAGATAAGGAATTGGAGTTAAGGTAAGCTATCTGCACACCACATCCTCCCAGTCCCAAATCCAAAGTAGGTGTTTAATCACAATTACTCCAAAGTTTTGTTTTGTTTTTCTGATTATAGTAAAACTGTTTTTGCCATAACAACCATAATCAATTTGGGAAATTTTGCCACTTTGAGAATTTCAAATGGTCTCATCAGGTCTCTTACAAATTCACACAAATACAATCTTGGAAAAGGTTTCTTTCCAGCTATGGATAGAGATATGCATGACTCTGAGTATACTTATGTTGCCCGTATAAAGAGGTTAAATAGGTCTCAGAGGTGCCTGGATCTTTCATAAAACTTGAGCTATTTCTTAAAGTACCAATTCATTATAATATGGTCCTTCTTTCTGCTCTTCCAAACTGCCTTTATGAAACACATCAATTTGGGACAGATGGGGCCAAGAGCAGCATTCTTGTTAATTTTGGTTAGATAGTTTCTTCTGCTGCTCCAGGGGATACAACCATCAGAGCTAGCAGTTTCTGAACAGGTATTGGCGTGTGGTGGCTTTCTGTTTGGCTGCTGAGGGAGAGGGAGAGGTAGCTACCTTGAGCTTTTTGATTTGGAGCTCGATGGTCTGGATGTCGGTGCTGAGCTCCAAGCGTTGGAGATGCTCCAGTTCTTCCTCTGTCTCCCCCAGCCAGGCCCAGATGTTGTTCAGGTCCGAGTTGAACTGCTGCCATTTCTGGAGGTTCTGCTTCATTCTCAACTCCTTGCTCAATGCCTGGGCCTGTAACAGCTCCCATCGGTCAATGACACCTGGCAAACATGCACAGAACAGTGAGGGGGTTTCTCCACCTATGACATTTAGGGAATGCTTTAATCATATGGTGGTGTCTAACTTTAAGGAGCAACAGAAAGAAAAGTGATTCTGCTGGACATTTCTGTTGTCATTTGTAAATGACAGCTAAATGGGTCCAATGGCTCTGTTCTCCCCATTTGTTTTTATAATGATAATGAAGTAAAAGAAAAATTAGCTACACTGTGATGAGCTTTATGAAGAAATGAGCAGCCACATGCATGAAGAGATCATTCCATTCTTTTTTATACTAGTAAAACTGTAACACATTATAATATATGTAATAGTGGAATTCACTGCTACACATTCATACATGCATACAATATAACAATGTGATTTGGTCAATTTCTTCTCCAATACTTCCCCTATCTCAATCCTCTTCTTTCCCCTGCTCCAACACCCTCCTGGTTTCCTTTTTTGTTTTCATAAGACTCTCTTCCCTATTTTTTCCTGTAGCTTACAGATATAAGAGAAAAACGTATGATCCTTGACTTTTGAGTCTGGCTTATTTTGCTTAACAAAATGCTCTCAAGTTCTATCCATTTTCCTACAAATGACATAATTTTGTTCTTTTTATGACTGAATTAATATATATATATATATAACTTTTTTTTTTTTACCCATTCATGCACTGACAGACACTTAGACTGTTTTTATAGTTTGGCTATTGTGAATTGTGCTGCTACAAACATGGGTATGCATGTATCACTATAGTATACTGACTTTAATTCTTTAGGATAAATAAGAAGGAGTGGTGATATGGGTCATATGGTGGTTCCATTCCTAGTTTTTTGAGGAACTTCCATACCGGAGATCCTTCTGTTCTTGGTTCCTTCTTATAATAGACTCTGAGAGCATACTTTTAAAAAGTTGCCTAGCTACATCAGAGACAGTTCATTCAAATAGACAGAATGGGAAAACCACCACCATGACCTTCACCTCCTGTCTCTGTCATGGGAGAACAGGAGACCCTGGAGAGTTCTCAGGACAGAATAGAAGGAGGCTGAGCAGCCCAGTAGAACTTGGGTGTGACAAAGTGCTTCAGGATCTTCTTTTTCGTAATGTCTTGAATGAGCACAGTGCACTCACCAGCTGTCTGGGTCTCGGTGCTATTCAGGTTGACAAAGCCAGGAAAGCTGTCTTCTTCCTCCTTCAGCTTGTGCTCCAATCTCCTCACTGAATCTATGCTGCCACTACATTCTCCCAGCAGTTTCATCTGTTTAGACATAAGAAACAGCCCCCTATCACCAAAGCTCTCACAAGGACAAGAGCTTCCAGGGGAGGCACCTTTTGACTTCCAGGGGAGGGCAGTGGCTGTATCATACTTTTCTGTGCCACTTTACTAAAAAAGTAGGCATAGTTTAAAACCGTGCTATCTCAACAAGCGATAGATATGGCATGACACAAGAAAGCTATGCCTTAAAGATTTGCTGTGCATGCATGATTGGCAAGAGAAGCCCTCGGATTTCTTTTTAAACTCCTAAATCAGAACAGATTAAATCAATCTGGGACTTAAAACCAAGAGCCTCAGTTGGCAAGGCAATATATAATTTTTGGCAAGTTGCTCTCTGTTTTTCCTTGTCAAACTGAAATGTGGAAGCACTGATATTACCACAAATCTCATGAGAACATTTCTGGATTAAATAATTAAAATACTTAAAAGTATAAAGCAATATTAAAGTCAGTGTTTTACAAGGAAGTTTAAGCAATATTTAATAGGTATCGAGGGACTAAATTCTAAAATCAAAGGAAAAGCTGCCAAATCCATTTTAATATCATCTACAATATTCTAATATTAAAAGGATAAATCACCTCAAGGCATTCTTGCTGTACAGATCGTAACACTATCTCTTAGAGCCCTTAAAACAGATAACAGTGCTGTTAAGCTACTTTGATTACTTTTGATCGAGGATAAGTACAATTTCAGTGATGTCAGCATAATGATTAAAAAATTATACATTTAAAGGCAGGTTTTACTATATAGAAGTAATTATAAGGACAATTAATATCAACATTTATTGCTAGAACAATTTTCTTCCCTGGTTTAAAAAAGTAGTACGTGTGAATTATAAGTATACTAGGGAAACTACTTTTTCTTTCTTTTTACTAAGCAGTCTTTTAAATGTGAAAGAAGATCTGAAGCAGGAAAGAGATTTACCCTAAAATTATCTTGCTTAAGTATGTGGAGGAAACAGGTCCTTCTCTGAGAAGAATTACTTGATGAATAACTGAAGCAGGATGAAGAAAATTATGAGAGATAAAATACATAGCTAATTGCTGCACAAATAAAATTGGTGATAAACATAATCCCTTGATGTCTTTTCCCAAAATTCCTCTTTTGAGTTATAACAATTGCAATTCCTTTCTCCAAAATGAGCACACAAAGAACAGAGGATGGGCTGGGGGTACAGCTCACTGGTAGAGCCCTTGCCTAGCATGCACAAGGCTCTGAGTTCTATCCGTAGGAATCCAAAAAAAAAAAAAAAAAAAAGAACAACAATAGAAAAACAAAGATTTAAAAAAGACTCCCAAGTTCATTCAGTGAATCAAAAGCCCAGGAAAAGAACTTTAAAAAATTCCATGTTAGTAATCTATTAGCTAAAATCTTCTTTCAAGGATAACCTTGATTCAGAAATTATTAGTTGAATTGGATAAATGCCTAATGACATTTGGGAGCCAAAGCCTTTTGTTGCATTCAACTAAAGGATCTTCCTAAGTGCTCAGTGTAAGGAACAGGCTGGTTATTAAAGTACCAGGTTCTACTCAAACTTTAAATAGCAGGGCTTTGTTCTGCAAATCCACCTTCAGGAGTTCAAGGACACTCAGAGCCCTCACAGGGCACACAGACTGTTCTATGTCACTGAATTGTGATCCGGGTGCAGGTCAGGAGCAGGATGGTCAAGTTACTCACATAGCCTTTGTAGCTGGAGTCCAGCTCTGGCCCCGTGGGAGTTTTGCTGCGAAGAATATTTTCAGTTTGCTGCATCTGGAAGCGGCTGTCATCCAGGGCTTTGTCCAATTGTCGGATCTGTGACTCCAAGGCGCTACGATCTCCTGCAGTGCCAACCATAAGAATGCTCAGTGGCCATGCTGTTAGACTGAGTTCAAGTTTAACATTCAAGGAGAAGTTTCAGAAGTTATTTCAGCTATGGCAGCATAGAAGGGGTGTGTCTGGGAGTAATTATAAAGCAAATTTAGTATTACAGTGCTGGTGGGTTAGATGTTTAAGGGGCTAAACCAATGAATGTGCTTCCCTCGAGTGCCAGCAGCCTGGACATTGAAAAGGGTTCTGCAGTTGATTCTGAATAACCTTGAGTGTCCACTTCCTCTCCCAGCTGATCCCCTGTCATCTGAATGCTGTAGATAGTGGAAGGCCTTTCTGAAAGTCTGAAATGGTGCCTGGCACTCCTCCGGAAGCAGGAGGCAGTAACTTCCCTGACTTTTTCTGTGGTCATTTACTAAGTAGAGGGTATTGCACTCTCTATCCTGCCTTTCTGTACCACAGGAGACCACAGTGCCACTGAAGGCCCAGGTTGTTGGGACATTGCATTTAAGGAACAAATTCAAGTTAACCAGGAAAAGACTAGCTCAGAATAGACATGGAGACATCAAACTAGCAGTGATTTGCTTTTTTTGAGGGGGAGTATCGAACTCAGGGGTACTTGACCACTGAGCCATATCCCCAGCTGTATTTTGTATTTTATTTAGAAACAGGGTCTCCCTGAGTTGCTTAGTGCCTCACCATTACTGAGGCTGGCTTTGAACTTGTGATCCTTCTGTCTCAGCCTCCTCGGCCACTGGGATTAAAGGTGTGTGCCACTATGCTGGACAGTGATTAACTTTGATCTAAAACCTGAACAAAATGAAGAGAAAGTTAAGATTTAAGCACATTCATCTAGGCAAGGTCTTACTTATTGCCTAGGTGTTGGCTGATTTTTCTCTTAGAGTTGTGACATACTATGTGTGTATGCATTTGCCTGTGTTTGCACTAATGAATTTGTGTGTGTGTGTGTGTGTGTGTGTGTGTGTGTTACAGTCTTTCAAACTGAACAATAACACTGATTATCAGAATGGATCTGGCACAGGGTGAAAGCAGAAAAAATATTAGTAAGTGCTATTAAATTTATTTATTTTTGCAAAAGAAGCCCTCTAAGTACACCTGGGAGAGGTCTCTCACTGACAATTGCTGAGAAAATAACCCATTCAGCAATGTCACCTCACTTCCTGTCCTTTTGCTTGTCTTTAGAAACTGATGTGCAAACTAGTAACTCCATGATCATGTCACTGTTATCCCAACTGTCCCCAGTTACTGATACTGAACTACCATTTGTCTAATGCAATACTGAGCAAAACCAGTTCCATTTTTTTCTTTAATTCTTCTTGTTTCAAGAAGAGATTTTATCCTTTAAGAAATCAAAGGCTCAAGAGATTGTGGAATACATTTTTCATTTCATATTATTTTACAAGACTCCTTAGATGAAAATGATGGATTTTTAGAGCTGAAGTCTTATTTCACCCTTGTCTTATATGGGACCTCTGAGATGAGCAGGTTGCCTGGAGGGTGTGCTGGGTCACTCACCCAGCTAGAGGTAGGTCACAACCCCCAGAAGCTGGCGCTGCCACCATCAAGTGGAGTGCCAGGGCTCAGTGCTGAGGACTGGCTTTCCCTCTCATGTTTCCTGCTGTTAATGGGCATCCGAGGTCTGCACTTAATGAGACTGATTATCATTTGACAAGCCGAGAAGTTATTTCATTGCACTTGATTACTAAAATTGTATTCTCGGTGTTGGTCAACTGGCTGCTTTTTTCTAGAGCAGTGGGGATTGAGGGAGGTTGTGCCTTAGCATGCTTGAGCCCCCCGAAGCTGTGAGAGATGGAGAAGCTGTGCTAAGAGAGGTGTCTGGTTACAGCAGGAGAAAGGAGGCTTGCTCTGGCTTTTCATGCCTACCAGAGGTATCTCTGATTGCATTTTCTGTGAGTTTTACATAGGCCTCAGGGCTTTCAGGGATCACTACATCTGCAAAGAGAGCACAGTCTAAGTTGACAGCTACGGGCTGGAAACATGATTCCCTGTGGCAGGAAAATAACTTTCCTGGGGAAAAAGAGGAGGTTAGTTATTCCAGACAGATGGCTCCGGTGTGCACAGAGGAGAGTGTGCACATTCACCAGACACTTCCAGAAATGAATCCTACTAAGAACTCACGTTGAAGGACGGTGTTTTTTGAGCTGGGCACTGTTTTAAGCACTCATTTTTCCTCCCAGAAACCCTATGGCTTGACTGGTAGTATTATTTCCATTTTATAGATAAGAAAACTGACATCCAGTTTAATGAAGTTACATATCAAAGTTTAAACAGGTTTTCTAGAGGCAGAACAGGAATTTCAACCCAGATTCTAGAACAGAGCTGACCTTTATTTTCTCTATGTAAACCACATATGTAATTATAGAGGTTTAATAGCCATGGTAGAGAGTAGTAAGCAGATGAAATTGACTTTAATGCTATATTTTACTGAGTCAACATATACAAATTATGATGTAATCAAAATAAATATTGATGATATTTTACAACCTTTCTTTGTAGTAAGCTTTAGAAATTGGTGTGTAAGTAAGTGCATTTTCCATTCACAACCCATCTCAATTTGCACAGTCACATTTCAGTGCTCAACAGTCATGTAGGTGGCAACATTTTAGATGGTGCTGATTCTGATGACATATGCCTAGCTAAGGGGCTCTGGTGTCAAGAAAATGGAAATGTGAGAAATCATTTTTGTTCTTAGAACAAAGTCACATGCATTGGGAATTCAGATGTGAACCATCAGCAATAAGCTTTTTAGGGGATTATGAGATGCACTTTCATGTGCTGTAAATCAACCTCCAATGATTTATTCTGTTTTCCTCATCTTCCATACCATGAACCTCCTTCTCTATCTACCCCCCTCTTCACTCTATTTCCTCCTTGAGTTTTGTCCTTCTTGTTTTCCTCTAGACACATTTCTTGTGTGATTCCCTGTATTCCAGGGACAATTGCCATTTGCAAGTGGATAACTAGCTCATCTGACTTTCTGGGTCCTGAACTTCAGACCCAAGCATCGACTCCTGGATCACTGCATCAGGGATTCTTCAAACATCTCTAAATCAGGCCACACACCACCCACACAGCACATCCCATCTCACTGCTGTGCCTCCCTTGCCCAGTTGTTCCACAACATTTTCTCCCTTTTGTGATACTCAAAGGGTAGGATCACCCACAATGTTTACATCAAGCCCCAGTCTGAAAACTGTCTCCATCTGGAGGATGGAGGAGTCTTCTCCTCCTGGTTTCTCACCTCCTTTACTCTTCCTAGACCCAATGCTTCTTCCTTAGTTCAGACCACCATACTGTCTCTGCTCTGGATTATAAAACATTTCCATCTGGACTCTCTTCTGCCCAATATGCTTTCCTCCTATAGACTCTAGTTGATCCAATATGAAACTATGCATCTGATGACCTCTCTCGTTAGACCCTGCTGGGGATCCCTACTGCCTCCAGGGTAAGAACCAAACTCCTTACATGGTGAACAGACCACTTTATGACTTTGTCTTTCCAGGGTCACTTTGTCGACTCCATGTCACCTAACCTACAATCTTGCCATTCTGGAAAAACTTCAGATGTCCCAGGGCAAGGGGCAGAGCTCCTCTCTTCTCCTCTGGACATTGCCATGTCCACCTTACTGACCGCTACTCATCCTTCTGGTCTCAGCTTACAAGTCTCTTCCCTGAAGCCTCTCCTCTGAACTCCAGGCCAGTTTCCCATGACTGCCCTTCCTAAGCCACCACAGGGACATCGCCCCCCAGCCTCAGATGGCTCACAGAAGCTGAAGCTGCCTGTTTCCAGCATAGTATCAACTCTCTTTTATTCCCCTCCAGCTGGCACACAGGATGGCTTTCCTACCTGATAAGCCAACAGCTCCCCTGAGGTAGAATTCCTTGTCTTCCTGACCCTCTTCATCCTCAGAGGGCAGAGTCCTGGACACTGCAGACTCCAGGTCACGACTGAGGTCATAGTCATGATCCCACTCCAGGGGGATGGAGTCCACGCTGGCCGGGGTGTCCCTTCCCGACCGCTCGCTCCGGAGGGGCTGGGGAAGGGAGAGGGAGGGGTTGGAGGAAGGCTGCGGGGAGAGTGCGTCCGCAGAGGGGTCCTGCCAGCGCAGGTCCGAGAGAGCAGCAGAGTCATCGAGCTCCCGGTCAGAGAGGTCATGCTCATCGTCTGGCAGCTAGAAGGGAAGTGAAGCCAACTCTGTTACTGCCCTCACCTCTCAGGCTCCACCTCGCAGCAAACCTCGGCACTGGAGCCCAGAGGGCCACACGGCTACCGGGCAGCAAGAACAAACTTCCCGATAGCAAGTAGATAAGACCCTTCTGGTCACTTAGAAAAGGCCTTATAAATCAGTCTATACAAGCCTCCATTTTATTGCCAGCAACATGAGAATAATATTAAAGTCAGTTTCAATTATGAGAGAAAATCAAATAAGATGATTAAACAAAGGGAACCTAGCACTGTACCTGCTATACAATGGGTACATAATGCCATATATTGGTAACAGAAGGAAATCACCAATAAAACCTTAGCTTCCCTTTTGGCCTTATGTGGCAGAAAAAACAAAATACATGACCTCAGAGAAGATTCCCAACATCCTAATAACACCGCCTCTGCAGATGAGATGTGTTTATGGTTGCAAGTAGGAAAGCAGAAGAACAAATTCACCTAAACACAACCTCATCAGCTGAGCCACTATTGACATGGCTCACTTCATCTCCCTATTTCTTCTAGAAGCTTCTTGGTCTTGCATAGAAGATATGCACTCAGAACTTTTTTCAAATCTTTATATTAACTCACCTAACAATCAAATAAATCCTTTTACAAGGTAGTTACTGCGAGAAAATGTGTTTCACAGTTGAGGAAACCGAAGCAAGAAAGGTAAGTAACTTGCTCTAAGTTTACAGAGCCAGCCTGTGTCAAAGCTAGGACTGAGCCCAGGCGTCTGGTTCCAGAGCCTGGGATCAATTCGTCCTCATTATTCTACCATATCCCACATAATCAGTTCTCTTTAGATTTAATGGCCATGGAAGAAAAGGGTAATGTCACCTACAGGCAGGCGGATCAACTTCTTGTGGTATCTTTCCACGCGCCCAAAGACCTCCTGGCAGTAGCGACGGAGTTCGTCCAGTTCCTCTTCGATGACTGCAGCATCGAGGGGCTCGCTCTTTTCTATCAGCTGTTCCCCTTGGGCAATTATCTGCTCAATCTTGTTGTGGTTTAGTGAAATTTCCTGCTGGAAGGCCTAGGGAGCACAAATCCATGTGATTTTTTTTTGGTTGTTGTTGTTGCTCTCATTGATATAAAACAATAAATACACACTTCTCATTACATTAGAAAAACATTTTTTATGTAGGGGACGTTAGATTTACCGTATATGATGACAGGCCAAGAGGCTATACCCCTCTAAATTTAAACGTAAGATTTCAAGTCAGATTAGGAGGCAGAAATGGAAATATTAGAAAAGATCCTTTGATATTTAAATTTACCAACACAGACAGTGTGGGTAGAAAAGAGGGGGAAAATATTTGCATCCATCATCAAGTTAATAGCTCTGATATTAACTTGACCAATGGCCCATCTGCACATTCTGACTTGTATCACGTGATGTAAGTCATTTGCCAACCATGACTCAGTGAAGCTATCTGAATCCTCCTCAGGGGATCCTTTTTTTTTCAGGATTTGAGTGTTAAAGCATGAAGTTGGAAAGATTCTAAAAGCAAGGAATCCTGATCTATATAGTTGGAAAGAGTTAAATCACTGGCAACAATTTAAAGTGATAAATTTTAGTTCAGTAGAAGAATAAATAAGAAAATTTCATAAGCTTCCTGGAGAATTGTTCAATTTGTTAAGAACATAGCCTTTTAAGGAAATCCTTATACAGAATCTACATCCCCCCTATTCAAGTTTCTAACCAGCCATTCTGTTTGCATTACACAGTGAAAGATACAAAATATATTTAAAATTAATTTGTCCTGTATGAATGAAGAACATATGAAATAAAATCCTAACATAAGAAAGTCATACTGTTCTAGAACATGGAAGTCAGCTAAACTATTTGTAAGTCCTAGAAACAAAATAACAAGAGAGGCCCTCTGAAACCTGGCAATCAAGCTACTATTTAAAAGTATATATGTTAATGGTGGTTGTCTCTGGCTAGTACTCTTTATTTTGAATATATTTTATATTTTCTAAATTTTCTTGCAATCAAGCAGAACAAAAACACACACACACACACGTGTGTGTGTGTGTGTGTATTTGGTACCAGGGATTGAACATACATGTATGTATATGCATATGTATATGTGTGTGTATGTGTGTGTGTGTGTATCCAGGGATTAAACTCTGGGGCACTCAACACTTAACCACTGAGCCACATCCTCAACTATATTTTATATTTTATTTAGAGACAAGATCTCACTGAGTTGCTTAGCAGCCTAGACGTTGCTGAGGCTGGCTTTGAACTCATGATCCTCCTGCCTCAGCCTCCTGAATGGTGGGGATTACAGTCATGCGTCACCATGTCTAGCAAGAAAAACTAATATTTTAGAGTTCTTTGTTATAACCTCACAAAAGAATCTACAAACTCTTTCTTTTGTGCTTTCTTCAAATTGATACTTTGAAAATAATGTATCTATTACCTTGAGCTGCTTTATTTTAGCTTGAACATCACACTCAGAAAAATGTTCGATATTAGTGAGTTGTAGATCCATCTCTGTTAGCCAGACCAGAATGCTGTCCCGCGCAGTCTCAAACTCCTCGCGCTGGCTAATGAAATGCTGGATGAGAAAGGAAGAATATAGCAATTAAAAAGTCCATGCCAACATGCTGAGGTGGCACAGCCGGTTCCAATGTCCTTCTGGAGAGTCACTTTCTCAACAAGGAAAGAGAACCCTGGGAACCTTCACTGGATCGCTGCCCCTACTACCCTCTTGCCATCCCAATCTTCCCCCACCACTGAGATCCTGGTTCAGGGTTGTGCTCAGAGGGCCCAGCCCCATCCCCTGGGCCTCTTAGTCTCAGAGGAGGCATAAGGGAAACCTTGAGTCTGCGCAGGATGGAGGTGACACGCTTCTGCAGGTTGTCCCATCTCTGGTTGCCTTCGTGCACCATCTGTTTGAGGCTACATGCGGAATCTGTGCGATTCTCCCTGGCCAGGCGACGGTACTGCTTGTTGATCAGCTCCAGCTGGGTCAGGCTCTCATGGACCTGTCGCTGGAAAGCCTAAGACCACAGAGAAGATCAAAGTCAGTGTGGGAGATCAGTGAAGGACCTTCAGCCATGGCTCCTGGCTTTCACACAGCAGGGTCAGAGAGGATGGAGGTGACGCTACCACAGATGGAGGGAAAGGATGGTTTGTATTGGAGGTGCATGTCCCCTGATGAAAGCAGAGTCACTGATCAGCCTAGCTTAAGGAAAGGCAGGAATCAATCAAGAATCTGAAAGAAAATGGGAAATACTAATAAATCAATGTATCTGTAAATATATGTACATATAAATTTATGCACCATATATTCATATGTGTATATACATACACTATATATATGTATATGTAGATATATGCATATATATCTACATATATACATAAACACATATGCATATAATATGGCTTTTAAAATAATTAACAGTCTGAAAACAAATTTTCTTATCAAACAAACCAAGTATAAAAGTATATATATGGGGAAATGTGAGTTGGCAGTGTTCAATAATTCTAGCATCAATACTGAGAAAAGATATCTATAACAGAACTATTTATTTGTGAATTATGTAGTTTTCTAAATACTCAGAAATGGATTTAATTCTGGTGTCCATTATGAATGAAATTAAAACCACCTTTTGTGGAAGGACCTCTAAATGCAAGCTGTTACCAACTTTTCAGAAAAGCACTATAGTAAAACACAAGTAACTTTCCATTTTTAAAAAATTTTGGAACATCTGTTGTTCCCAGTAATTATTCACAGTTTTTATAAAACATGTTAGTACTGGTTACTATTTAAGTCATGCTACATGCCTTTTATAGATTCTGCAGTTAAATACCTGGCTGCTCTGTTACTACAATATACAATAGGCCAAGAATCATTTGGCCAAAATAAAATGAAGCTTCTTTTTCCGAATTTATTTGTATGATTTATGACTGATTTTTATCTTAGCACTAGACTAAAAACTTTATAATTATTGAATCAGACTGTACTCATCTAAATTCTGAAATTCTATTTTCCTTGGCTCTTCATATTGTTTGCATGGTATTACGTTTCTGCCTCGTAAATGTTTTCTTTCTGAGAGTTGTCTTAAGACAACCCAGTGAGTCCAATCAGCATTTCTATAAAATTTTAAGTTATTTCCCCAGTGAAGAAAGTGGCAAGGCAGGTTTGGCTTTTGATGTTACTAGAAGTCAAGATACTGCTTGGCCACTAGGTTGGGGGTAAAGTACCCAGGGGAGGCAACCCAGCACATTCAGGTCTCTCCCAATATTTATGCAATGGAATAGGCTAAGGATTGCCCTTAAGCAAAATTTTCTTTTTGTGACTTATTTTCATCTCTTCAAAAAATTTACTACACAATTGGTGATAAATGATAGCATCAACCATTAGAGGGACTGACTATATGGGTAACTTTTGCTGTAAATTCAGAGTTTAAAATAGCATCAAGAAGGATCTTAAATATAATCTTCTTTGTAGTATAAGCCAATTATATGGGTTTTGACCTTATTGAAGCTGAGTGCAATAAGACTCAGGACAGTAGCACTTCCAGTAGCACTGGTCTGCATCAGACTGACCTGAAACCTACTACCATTTACTGTGGCTTTTTCTAGAAGTTTTCTAACAAAAAACTTTTTTATATGGAACATTTTTCCCCCTGGAATTTAGTGGGATAGTTTTGTATAAATCTAGGCAGAGCAACTCATTTATTTCACACAGTAATTGAACATTTTTATAGATTCACATAGCTGTCCATCTGACTCTTAGATTGTAACCCCACAAGCACAAAAAGCAAACTTTGTATTTCCCATCATAGGCCTCAGTAAATGCCTGGTTGACTGATGTTGGAAGGTAAAAATGAACCCTCCTGGACTTGGTTGGATTTTTAAAATCTTATTTCTAAATATTTTGAAAAGGTTGGGGCAGAATTAGCAATGATAAGAAGGCATCAGAACTGTCCATTCTCAGCATATATGAGTATACATCTGCTTATCAGTGGGAACGAAAGAGAAAAGAAACTCCAAATTAAAAAAAAAAAAAAAAAGGTCCAATTTAGGCTATGTCAAGGCTCTGTGAAGATCAGAGGCTGCTGAGAAGTTGGAGTTTTGTGGTACTGCAGTGATGGAGTAGACTCAAGATTGTGCAAACCAGCGAGGAGATGGAACCAACTACTGAATGATTTCTTTCTTTATGAATATTATTACACTCCTGCTATTTTTATCTCCATGGAGTTAAAAAGTCTTGGTGAGTCAAGAGGACACTGGTCTTTGTTGTTTGATTAGAAAAGAGTTATAATGAAAGGAATGGGTGGGGGGACAGGAAATAGGAAAGATTGTGCAATGAATCTGACAACTTTTCTATATACATATATAAATACACAACAGTGAATCTCCATGTCATGTACAACCACAAGACTGGGATCTTAATTAGAATAAGATGTATTCCATGTTTGTATAAATATGTCAAAATATATTCATGTATAACTAAAAAAACAATTTTTTTAAAAAATAATTTTTAATTGTTGATGGACCTTTATTTTTTTATTTTTTTATATGTAGTGCTGAGAATCAAACCCAGTGCCTCATGCATGCCAGGCAAGCATTCCACAACTGAACCACAACCCCAGCCCCCAAAGAACAAATTATTAAAAATACATTTTTAAAAAGACATGAATTATAATGAAAATGTCCTATTCAATTCTGGATCCAACCCTATCTTATCAATGATTAAAATTACTCATATGTATGCACATGCATTCCAATTCAGTAAAAGAAAAAAATTGAGAAAGAACATTTAGAAGGTAGATTTTTATAATATGGAACACTACCACATTGTAATTTCAGAAAAGATGAGTGACTGAGAAGAATTTTGAAATAAAAATAATGCTAAGATTATTACAAAACACAAGTCTTGTTTTGTAATAGAATTTCTTTTTATTATTACTTTGTAATTCTCCATAATCTGAAATGGAAATAAAATCTTCCTTTACCCACTTCCTTCACCCCTTCTTATGGGGCAATATCAACGTGGCCACAAAGTCATCACCCAGCTATTTGAACAAACAGCATGGGGGCGGAGAGTTAGTTTATGTCTTGAACACCAACTCCTAGCTGGCTACTACTTCAATAGCAAAATACGCATTAAATATTTGGAATTCTAATTCACCTCAAATTTCTTTAGTTCTTCCTTAGCAACTGTATAGAGCACCCCAGAAGAGCTGGGGAAAGCTGCAGTCCTTTCTGAAATCTTCAGCCAATCTTCAAACCGAGAATAGTCATCCAGAAACTTCTGCCACAATCTCCAGGTCTCTTCGATTCTGAGACAGAAAACGAAGGAACAGACTCCCATTATTTAAGACTGTTTATGCACCAGAACCCTGTCTGATGCCTGCAACAGGATTAAGAGTGCCCAAATAAGCAACTGCTGTGCCAAACAATAACCTTGCCTTGAGCCAAACTGACCAGAGAGAGGGAAACAACTGTTTGAGCTAAAATAAAACAGCTGTTTTTTTTTTTTTTTTAAAGCATGCCCTGTAGCTCTGGCTTTGGAATTAGTCAAATTGAATATCATGAGCACATAATGTGAGCTGCCATGGATGTTTGTAAGGAAATTTTGAAATGCAACATGTTGAGTGCTGATGATCCATTAAAATATACCAGGTTTGAAAACCCACTAAATTCAACTTCACACTCACCTGACGTCAACCTATGACAGCAAGATAAATATCAAGCTTTTAAAAGTCACCAGAGACCATGATGATTCTGTGTTTTAAGTCATTACGATAATGTTGTAATAACACATCACAGGTTTCTGCCACCCTAAATTTCAAAGGGCTTAAAGATGAAGAATGTGTCTCTTCATTATGTAATTTTTAGTAAAAGAATGATACTTTTTTTTTTTTTTTACAACTGCAAATTCTGCAAAGTTATTCCTTCATGGCAAGGCTGTTTTATTATTCTGTATGACATTTAATTGGTAAGGTCAGACACAACTCGGCATGTTATATTTATATATTACCTTTACACCTACTTATTTTCCCAACTAAATGTAGATGGCAGTAAGTTGGGGAAGCCAAGGCTATTTTTGGACACTGTAACCAAAAGGAAATAGGGAGCCATGGATACTCTGGGTCTTTTTTTTTTTTTTTTTTCCTTTTTGGTCTTTGCTCTTCCCTCACTGAACACCCCAGCTCACTTGAGCCTCCTTTCCATGGACATAGCACAGATGTTTCTCCACCGCCGGTCCAGGTTTCGAGTAGCCTGCTGGATGGAGTCACACTCAGCATCGGTGGCACAAGCATCACAGTCATGCAACAGGACTTCACACAGGTTAAGGACAGAGGCAACACCGGTACTGTGCTTCTCTATGTCTCTCTGAAGCTCCTGCAGGGAAATGCAGCATGCTTTATTCCCAAATACCACACAGATGGAAAGGAGAAGCTGCAACATTGTTCACTGCCTGATAAACGGTAGGCTAACCAGCGACCAGCATTTCACCTCTTTGATGGAATGAAGTTTCTGGAGTCACATTTATGAAGTCCGGCAAGCTCTAGGGTACACTATGAGAAGATGGTCTAGAAATATTTTGGCTACATGAACAGTGCCAAAATGGAAACTGAACAAATGGAATGGACTACACTAATGGAATGGACTACCCTTCTTTCATGATTGGAAAATGAATGTGATGCTCATCTCGACTCTAGAAACTCTGCTTCCATTCTAATTGATGGATCACTCAATGAAATTTATGTGCACCTATTATAGTTAGTATTCAAGAACTGAAATTTAAACCTCAAAGATCTGCAAACTGTTCTAAACAGTTAATACCACATTGTTAAAAGGTGTCATGGTTTAAGGGACCTAGGTTCTGTAGGATATGTGACAACATTACCATCAGCAGCTTTCTCAGAGTGTGATTTTAAATGTGGAACAAAAACTAGAAGTTAAATTTCCCCTAATTTCTACATGTAAACTTTCATATTAACTACATATAATGTAAATAAAATGTGTTTCTTATTTTCTCCATGAGTTTTGCTATAATTCAGATTTGCAATGTCCCCCAAAGGTCTTATGTTAAAGGTGTGGTCAGCCACCAGTGATATTATTGGGAGGTGGTGGAACCTTCAGGAGGTGGGGAAAAGGAAGTGAGGTCACAGGGGGGGTATGCATAAAGGGGATTTGGGGAGTCTAGTCTCTTCCTTTTTCTCTTATGCCTCCTCTGCCCACCACAGGTGAACACCATAATGTGCAGGGTCATCACAGGCCCAAAGTAACAGGGCCAAATGCCCATGGATAGAAACCTCTGACACCACGTGCCAAAATAACCTTTCCTCTTTATAAGCGTCTTATCGCAGGCATTTCTTCTCAGTAACGGAAAGCTGACTATCAAAATCTCTTTACTTATGGTAAGAGTTCCACTGCAGGTCCAGTTTTCTGCTTGTCCTCTTTATCATGTTTCTTTTGCAGCTCTTGGATTTGCCAAGGTTGTCTCTTCTTCTAATAATTATTTAACTTAGATACCTAGAATTTATATTCCTGTGATGTTTTTTCTCTTATTTTTGTCTTTAACACCCTGTTATAATGTCTGCAAAAAAGGCTAACATCTTGAATGTAAAACAGTAACTTTGGTTAATTTTTGAAGATCTTATAAACTAGATGTTAGAAAATAAATTATCTTTAAAAATTCCTAATTTAGTAAATATTCTTTCCAAATCTCTAGCATAGCCTCTTACACTTATATGGAAGAGGACATCAAAGGATTGCTGATCTCAAAAATATAAAATACTACAAAAATTAAACTCAACATGTGCTTAAAAATATAGAGACTTATATGAGAGCAAGAATAAAAATAAAAAGTGTTAGGCATCTGAATAAAGCCTACACACTTAAAGCATAACATTTTGACAAAAATTCCCAAGGACTCAAAAGTTTTTATTGAAATCAACATACATATCACTATAAAATCATTCAACATATGAAATAATAAGTGATTTTATAGTGATATATATGAACCCTAATATAAAATAATATTTTAATCTTAGCTTTAACCTCCATTGGCAATATGGTCTCAACTTAACGCATATGAATCAATGTGGTGGCACATGCCTGTAATCCCAGGAACTTGGGAGGCTGGCACAGGAGGATCACAAGTTTTAGGCCAGCCTCAGCAACTTAGCTAGGTCCAAAGCTACTTAGCAAGACACTGTCTCAAAATAAAAGTTAAAAAAGGACTGGGGATGTGGCTCAATGGTATAATGTCCCTGAGTTCAACTGCAAGTACAAAAAAAAAAAAAAAAAAAGAAAGAAAGAAAAAATAGTCACCACATAAAATCTCTGAATTAATTTTTCTTTTAACAAAGAGAAATTTGACAAATTTAACCTAAAGCCATTTCAAGTCTATATCTTAAGTATGTAATTCCATACAAATAATTCTGTAAGAATTCAGTACATTGGAAAAAGAAACACAAAAATTCTACAGGGAGGGGTTTTCTTTTCTTGCATAAAAATTCTGTTTTTCTAGAATGAGCAATCCTCTGTCTCAAACATTTGTTTCATTTCTGTTTCTAGTCTCTCTCTATGGGAATAATAAATGCCCTAGTCCAGCAGGTGATGTAGTATTGTTTTCTTCCTTGGAAACTCTTTCCTCAAGCACCCTCACCCCTGCTCCGAACTGGCCACAGCTCACTGGCCCACAGGTCAGCTGTCCTCAGGGGCTCCCTTTACCTTTATCCTGGAAATTCCCTTTTTAAATTTTTTAAAAATTTTTGATTAGCATGCATTAATTATACATATGAACGGGGTTCAATGAAATGCTATCATACACAAGTGCACAATGATCAAATCTCACCACCTTTCATATACGCACCTATTCTACTTCCTGACTTCTAGCAATCACTATTCTACATTCAGGTTGACTGTTTTTTTTTTAAACTTCCACATATAAGAGAAAACATGCAGTGTTTGTCTTTCTGTTTCTGTCTCATTTCACTTGACATGATGTTGATATAATGTCCTTCAGATCTATCTATTTTACTACAAATGACACAATTTCATTCTCCTTTATGGATGAATAACATTCCATTTTTCTTTCTCTCAAGCTTTATGTTTCTTATCACTTAGTGCCATTAGTGTATGCAGAATAGCTTTCATTCGTTTCCTGTAAATGGGTTCATAGGAGGTAAATTTTTGTTCATTAAATGGAAAGATATACAATTCTAAGTTACTAATCATTCCTTCATATCCCTTATCCTGCCACCCCAGTGCTAGGGACTGAACCTAAGGCTGAACCCACGGATGCTTTACCACTGAGCCACATCTCCAGCTCTTTTTATTTTTTATTTTAAGGCAGGGTCTTACTATGTTGCTGAGGCTGACTTTGACCTCATGATCCTCCTGCCTCAGCCTCTTGAGTCACTGGGATTATAGGCCTGTGCTACCATGCTAAGCTCTTTTTCAGCTTTTAAAGGAAATGTGCCAGGGTCTCCAAGATTTCAGTGTTGTTTGGGAGAAGTCAGAGTTTTTTCACCCTGGAAACATTAAAGGTCTTCTCTTTATCCATTCATCTATTGAAGGGCATCTAGGTTGCTTCCACAGTTTAGCTATTATGAATTGAGCTGCTATGAACACTGATGTGGCTGCATTACTATAGTATGCTGATTTTAAGTTCTTTGGGTATAGGCCAAGAGGTGGGATAGCTAGGCCAAAGGATGGTTCCATTCCAAGTTTTCTAAGGAATCTCCATACTGCTTTCCAGATTGGTTGCACCAATTTGCAGTTCCACCAACAAAGTATGAGTGTGCCTTTTCCCCCACATTCTTGTCAACATCTATTGTTGTCTGTATTCTTGATACTGCCATTCTGACAGGCGTGAGATGAAATCTTAGTTTTTATTTGCATTTCTCTAATTACTAGAAATGTTGAACATTTTTTCATATATTTGTTGATCAAATGCATATCTTCTTCTAAGAAGTGTCTGTTCAGCTCCTTAGCCCATTTATTGATTGGATTGTTTGCTTTTTTGGTGTTAAGTTTCTTTAATTCTTTATATATCCTGGAGATTAGGGTTCTCTTTATTGTTCATGTTTGGCAATTTTATAATGTAGTGTCCTGGGATGGTTTTGCTTTGTTCTAAATTTTCCTGGACACTTATCAGGCCCTTATGATACGTGAATGTCTGTTTTACATTTTTTTTTAACATTAGCACTTTGATAATTTTTTCCTCCATTTAAAAAAATTCTTTTTGGAAATTTTATGCAATAATTGAATTTTGAAATTCCTGCATTAATTTTTAAAATATTTTTTCTCATATTTTCAAGTATGTATCTTTTTGTTTTACTCTGTAGGAGATACTGTCATTTCTGAAAATTCCTTTTTTAAAAAATAACAATGGCATCCTCTTTTTTTTGAATGTAAATCTGTAGTTTCTATAAGAACTTTTTATAAATAAAATAAAATTTCTTCCTCTTTCTATAATGTTCCCTTTGATTCTTCCTTTCTTTACCCTGTTACCCATTTATTTTGGCCTCTGTTTCCAATGTAGGAGGTAGAAGCTTTCTTAAACCACAGAGGTTCTTGACCATCCACACATCCCTGAGAAGGAGTTGGCTACAGGAAGCCATGTCTAGGCCATGCCAGCCAGTGAGCCAGGTGGGGCGTGGCCTTTACAGGTGCCTGTTAGTACCACATCTGAAGGTGTTTTCCCTTGTCGGGGTCTGTTTCTCTGTTTCTCTACAGTGACTGCTCCAGTCTCCTGGCTGGGGTGTAAGCCTGGCTCTGACACTGCTGGAGCCCTGCTGGGAAAGAAGGGCTGGCTGCCAACTTCTTCTCCATACTTTGAATACCAGCCTGATGGTGTTCTGATCCCCACTCCCAAGTCCCTCTGGTTTGCCTTCTCCTGAAGAGAAGGACCTGAGGGTTATCCTCTGGTTTTTTGCCAAAGTGAAATAGGGCTGTCTGGCTTTCTGGGCTGAGGGGGCTCTGCCAGTCTCAACACTCCTGAATCATACTTTTATGCAATGTTCCCCCTTGAAGCTCCACAGACAACCGGCTCAGCTTGATCACTATTCTGTGCCTGACTTGGACTCGGTGGCGTAAATCAATCTTCTCCACCCTCCACTCTGCCAGCGCCATCAGTATTCATCTATTCATTTTCTGTCTTTCAAAATTCTACTGGCTGTCTGTCATCTCTATCACGTTCTTTCCTGTTCTATTTACCATTGTGGGTTTTGACCTTTTTTCCCTTTTGACCATCATTTTATTGGAGACTTAATAGTAGGTTGAGCTATAAATGCATATGAACAATTTGTCATATTCAACTAGATACTCTTTTGATTTTCATACATTGGCTAAATGACAATACTGGTCATTAGCATTTTAATCCTCATTACTCAAACACATCATTACCATATTTTACAAAAGAATTTAGGGAATTTAAAGCAAACTATAAGCCACAAACTGCAATCATCAAAATCAAACATTAGCATCCTTCAGATGATTTTAGTCTTAGTCTTGCCTTTCCTTGGCTACTCTCATTCCCAAGTTTTTTTTTTTTTTTTTTTTTTTTTTGTGTGTGTGTGTGTGTGTTAGATTTGGTTTTTGAGTCAGGGTCTTGTTAAGTTCTGAGACTATCCTGAAATTTGCAATCCTCCTGCCTTAGCCTTCTGGGTTGCTGGGATCACAGGTGTGCACTGCCACACCTGGATATTTTTAATCTTATAAAAATTGAAAAATATCCTGCTAACAAAAAGGTTTTAGATGCAATGTTAATTTTATATTTTAAAAAACTCAACATATATGACTATACTTTAGCACCTATTTCTCATTGGCTTAGGTTGCATGTAAAAAATACAGTAAGTATATTACCTACCTCATAGGATTTTAAAATTATGTACTGTTTACATTTTATGATGTTTTTAAATTTAGCAACTTGTCTATAATGGCCTAAATGTAACAGAAGGAAACAGAGTCTGGGTAAAATTTTCAAAAGCAATCTAAAGACTTCTGATTAGGAATTCATGGTGCTCATTACTAGCAAGTAGAGTCTAAAACACCAGCATGAATAAGCAAGAGGAGTGAGAGGTAAAAAAATTTCTCCTTTGTGCATTTGAAGGGTCATCTAGTCTGCTTTGTTGGATCATACATTGTTTGCGAATGAGATGTGCTCTTCGCTGCTTACACAAAGCTGAAATTACCTTTAATGTGTGGTCTAAAGGCTGTGCAATCAATCCTTGCAGAACAAAACTTTTAAAATTCTAAGCATGCATTGTAATCTCTCTCCAGATGCTGCACACTGAAAGACAAGGCTCTTTGCTAAGTCTATGGTAGTGGGCTAGTGACCCATAAATAAATGAATATCACTACAACTCAACCTTACCCTCTACCATCTTAGAATCCTTGGAGGGATTAGCACCCTTGGAGGACCAGCAGTACAATGGCCCAAACATCTTTATAAGAGTCAGCTCTGCAGTGACTGGAACTGTCTGCCCCCAACACTTTCCTATGCAAAGCCTTCCTTCCTCCCCAGTCCTGCCTACGTTCCTCCTGGCCTCCCACCCTGAGTCACCATCTCAATCGCAGTAGCCCAGCCAGGAGGACAGGTGTTCCATGGCTTATTTGATTTCATCTCAAGTGCGTTCAGTTTTACCTGCTGCTCATTAAGCTTTCTCTGTATTTCTTCAGAGTTACAGGAATCATAGACGATGGGCTTGGCCAGCTCTGACTCAATGTGAGCGAGCCAAGTCCTCAGGCTGCTCATGTTCTTATCAAGCTGCTGTACAGCCACCAGAGTCTCCTTCAGCTTCTTCACCCTGTGGGCAGAGAAGGTGAAACATGGAGCATTGTTGAGAGGCCCTGCTCACATTGCTCCCACATGCAGTCCCCATGGGTTGCATTTTCAGCATCTTTTGGGTGGAAATTCAGTTAAAAGAGGAAAGCACACTAGAGATAATTTCAGAGAGATGTCATATGCACTCAAGCAATTCAAGTTTTGCTGGGGATAGACTGCATTAAAGGTAACTGAGGACCTGGTGGATTATAAGCAACAGAGGGCAGGTCCAAGGTATGAAGTTTGTAACTATCCAATCTTCCACTTCAGCACCCAGATTAGTGCAGTATCCATTACGTAACATGCTTCAATGCTTCAAGGAAAGCCTTTCCCAATTATTTCCAGAGACGCAGGAAAAAGTGCTTTTTCTATGCTTGTCATTTATCTAACAATCGGGAGAACATCTCATGCGTGAGATGCTGGGAAGATCAAGATAAATAAGACTCTATTCTTTCTCTTCTGAAATGTACAATCTGAAAGGAAACCTGGACCAACAATGAAATATGACACAATGTGTGAGAACTAAAGAAATGAGCCAAGTCTCTGATTAATCAATCAGAAATGATCAATTCTGTCTTGCCATGTTCAGGTAATCCTTCATTTATTTATTCATGCATGAATAAATAATGAATATTTTCCTCCCTTAATTGCTTCTACAAACACATGTGGTGTTAGGACAATGCGAAGCCAGGTGATAGAAAAACGGTGGTGGCTGAAGTTTCATTCTTCCCATTGAGGAGTTGGATTTGACAAGTAAGGAGATAATATTGAAGCTGTATCTGCTTGAGAAAGCCAAGCAGAATACTCCTGGCCTAGGAAACAGAAGAGAAATAGCGTAGTGCTGGGGAGGCTGAAGTTAGAGGATGGGGAAAAGAAGCACAGGAGAGTTGCAACAAGGTTCAGAGAAGGGGTTCTTAGGAAATGACTGGATCATGACGGCTCTGACCTCACCAGTGGGTTACTGATTAATGGATTAATCCACCAATCACTGGATGGACTACTGGGAGGAGGGACCTAGTGGGAGGAATTAGGTCAGTAGGGTGTGCCATGGATGGGTTTATTTTCTCTCTGGTCCTTCCTCTCTCTCTGCTTCCACCTACTCTGATCTGAGCAGCTCTTCTTAGTTACGTTCTTATTGCCCTGAAGTTCTGCTTCACCCTAGGCCCAAAGCAATGGACGCTGCTGGCCACAGAACTAGTTGCCCATAGACTAAATTCTCTAAAACCAAGAGCCCAAATAAACCTTTCCTCCTCTAAGTTGTTGTTGTCAGGTATTTTAATAAAAGCAATGAAAAATTGACTAACATACTTTTAAAGTGATTCATATGCATGCTAAAATTTAGAAACTACTGGTCTACCATACAGCACAGCAATACAGGATGATGAGGTCTAAGGTGAGGATCTAGCATCTGGCAATGAGTTCATCAAAGAATTATTCATCAAAGACTGTGGAAATAGAAATTAGAATGCATTTAAATTAAGTAAGATACTTACAGTAAGAAAATGTAGTTAAGTTTAAGAAAGTAGGCAATGAAACTGCATAACTACAGTATGGAACTTCTGGAATGATCCGTCTTCAAGGCATAATTGACTTTTCATGGTTGGAGAGTAGATTGGTCCAAAAGGGAGGATCATAGTGATAATAAGCATAAGATCAAAGACTTCTGGTCTGGACTATTTAAGATTCCCTTCTACCTTTAGACCATGAGTCCTATTTTCAGTTCAAGAAATATGGTTACCCCATTGGCACTGCTCATAGTATAGGTGAATAGCAGATAAGCAAAATCTTTCAATGTCCTAGGGTATCAACTTGGCCCAAATGAAGAGACATCTTTTTGAAAAAAACGTCAAGAACTGTGATTTTTAAGATTGTAAGGATATGGTATGTTTAAAGTCAGGGATTTGCAAGAAAATGTTCTCAGAGACTGACAACTTCCACTCGTTGTCATCAGGTATTTCCTGCTTCTCAAGCTGGAGTACACAATCACCTGAGTGTGCTTTCAGTCCCTACATGCCAACTACCAGTGCTCTCGCTCCACCCAGGTGATTCTGATATACTTCTCTGCCAAGAGTCAGTACCCTTAAGAAAAAGTCTCCTATCAAAGTATTTTGACATTGTGATTTATTTTTAGTTCCTAAAAATTGATATCTTCACTGCTATGACAGTGTCAATAAATCAATATTTCTCTCTCAAATGAAAATGTAACCACATGATAATGTAATCACATTTCCTCCTTGATATTCTCCTCAAAACACTGTCATTCAAATGCTTTTAAAGGATTTTCATTATGGTCAGCTATTAATAACAGTAATAACATCTATACTTGGTTAATTAGAATTAATAGTAATGTCTATATATGAATAACATTTTTCATTTGTAAAAGCATTCTTCTGTATACTATCATATATTATTTGGGGGAAAATGTACATTTAAAAAAATCACGTTCATATTCCACAATATATTTTATTGCTAGGGAATTAAAATGCATTGCCATGTTTAACATGACTCATAATTTCACTCAAAATAAGAATCCCCAAATTAATTTCACTCAAGATAAGAATTCTATAAGCATGAATTACACACAACCCCCCCTTGGGCACTTCATGGCATCGGCCTTGAACAATATTCCCAAGACAATCCACGCTCACTTCTCTCATACATAAGGCTAAATTCACTTGGGTAGCAGCCAATGAGTGACAGTTTTAGAAAGCAACTGGGTACAAATGTAAGGCAGTGCATTCTGATAATAATTGTGGCATGAACAAGGGACTTTAAGCTGGTACTGGCTATAGTGCTCCAGACTGAAAGTATGGTCTGCCATCTACGGTTCTGATGGGACAGGACTGACACATAAAATGGAGATGTCTGTCCTGATGTTACCCCTGTAGGAATGTCCTCCCCATAATCTCTCCTGTTTGATGAGCTTCCTGTCTTCAGACAAGGTAAGGTCTTGATGCTGACTATGCATTAAGAAAGGGGTTTAATTGCAACCTCATAATCCCATTAGGGTTTATTAGTGGCGGGAGTGCTAGTTTTCTCTCTACCCTTATTTTAACTCCCTGGGATTATTTATGCACCAGTTGATTTCCTCCATGGCAACCTCTTTGGAAAGGCAAAACTGAATTCCCACATTTGGATTTTCCTTCTCTCTGCCATAGCTAAGCTCAGTGTTTGGCAGAAAGTTGAACATGATTTAAATACCTGTTAACTATCAATAATTAGTATTCTAACTACAATATTTTTATTCAATTGACATTTTTTAAAAAATATTTGATATTAAGTATATACTTGTTTCTGCTAAGTAAAACATTTGCAAATCGTCTATTTTTCGAAACCTAAAGTTCATTCATTTTCTTGGTTCCAAACTCATAAATATGATCAAAAGATCCAAAGCACAAAGGGATATGAGTAAACACTATTCCATTGAGCTGTCTATACTGGCAAAATAAATCACAGAATTCTTAATCCTGTATAATGTTGAATGAATTCCAAGGCAGAGTGGTTAGTCAGCAATATGTCAAGGGCATCGTGACATGGAAATGCTTGTTCATATAGTCCATTAGGGACAAGTTCCTCTTTCAAACTAAGGTGTAAATTTAGCGAAGTCAATGGGGGTGAACACTTATGTGGTCCTCCTCTATCATTTTTTAAGAAGCATATTTTACTATAAATAGCAAATCACATTGTGTGTGTTGAAGGGGGTGGATGTGAGCAGGACATGGGTGATAAGGCCCATATATATTTTCCATGGCTTATTAAACTTGATATTTGCAGGGCAGGGTTCATTCTTTAATAGGAGAAATGTCTCATGTTTTTCCCATTATTTCTTTAAAGGAAATCCTTGGCTATAGTGTCACAATATTTTTATTTATCCTTTATTGTAAGAAGTTTGAGCAACATTCCTTTTGGTAGCATCCAGGATTATAATTCAAAATAGATGCTTGTGTGTGTCCCATGTCTGGATGGGTTTAGCAAGAAAGAGCTACAGTTCTTACAACTTATCATTCTCCTTTCACAGTCCAGTGTTCATCTCAGGAACTTGACCTTTATTCTGCTATTAAATCCAATTGTCCAGCATATGAATGCTGTTACATGAACATTCGCACATACATGCATTTATACACACATATCTATATATCTAATATATATACACTTATGTAGCACCACTTTCCTTAAACTAATTTAGTATGCCTGTAACCCCCCCCAAAACAAAGTCCAAATTCTAAATACAATAAAATGAAAAGTGTCATTGGTAAATCCTATGAATCTATAGGAATTTATTTAGGGGATTAATGAGACAAAAGAAAAACAATTTTTAAACAACAAAATAAAAATACCTGTCATATTGTTATTCTAATTGAAAAAAATCATGAACTAAGTCTTTAAACAATGCATTCATTACTATTTCAGACATAAATTTCAACATTTTACAAGGCTTATATTAGTAAGCAGCCAAAATTGACTGACAAACACAAAAGCAACTTTCTTTATTTAACAGATAAATATCTGATTCTTATTTATTAAAAAGAAAGCTGTGCTACAAAGCTGGGAACTGGTGAAAGCCGAATTTCAGTCTCATCAGACACCCATCTTTTCAATAGCAGATGAGGGACTAACTGGGTCTTTTTCTAAATCTCTTTCCTGGGTCTTGTCCTCTCTACTGTAGCCACACTTCTCATGTGACACACACAGTCCAGAGACGACTGGAATGCCAAGTCATAATGAAGTCCATTAACCTTTTTGTCCAGCTGCACACGTCTATCAGAAGAACATTAAAACAAGCCAACACATAGCTCTGTGGAGTCCACAGCCTATAGTCTCCGGACACCAACCACCTTCAGGTGAGGTTGGCAAAAGCAATACTGAATTAAAGCTCCCAGCATCTATCCTATAAACCCACGTCACACGAGAGCTATGCACAATGGAAGAAACTCAAGGAGATGCCTGCCTGGTGACATCGCAGTTACAGTCTGGGAGATCCGCGTCTGCGCAGCCGTCCTCTGCCATCCTCAGGGCACGCAAGTCCTCGGCCACCACCATGAAGTTTCCACTTGCCAAAGTGAGGCTCTGCAGAGCCAAGAGCTAGATCCTGCGTGGGGCTGGACGTTTCCCCCTCTCTGTGCACAGAAGTATGAAAATGCACACGCTGGACAAATGGTGGTAGTGTCTGCCTGATAACATGACACTGGGCAGTGACAAGTGGTCATGTTTCTAAATAAAACCCACATTCATTAACATGTGCCAGGCCTGATCTCCTGGAATGTAGGCCACGAGTGTAAGAAGGGGAAACAGCTCAGCGTAATCCGCAAGGAGGAGGCGGCTAAGGTCTGAAGAAAGGAGAGTGAAATTAAAGCGGCTCCAGATGTTCTGCCCCTTCTGTGAGGGCAGTCGACCGGGCTTGCGGGCTGTCAGGTTGGAGGGCTACGTGGAAAAGACAGACGCCCACATGCAAAAGGACAGACCCAGCCTCCGCAGCTACAGCCAACTGTGCCAGCCACACGGGGCAACTTCTCTTTCCCTTCTGTCCAATCTGCAGCTCACAGTGGTGTAAGTAGGAGTTTGAGGGGTGGACAGGGAAGGTGGGAGGGAAGAGATTCTGTGGGAAAGAGCTTTTTCTTTACCTCGACGACTGGTGAGAAAATACAATGAGGAAATATTAGTCCCCCGGTAAGGCTAAAAAAATTAATTTGTTCATTTCAAAAGATTATTTAAAAGATATCTATTCATTTGCATGGTGAGATTTCTGTTAACGTTTTTCTTTTTGTGAATTTTAAGTTTCCAAATGTCCTGTAATGAGTATATAAGAAATATAAAAAATATTTTTAAAAAAATCACACAGTGGGTCATATTTTGGTCTCATGAATCAGCATGGAAAAAAGTTGGAAGAGTCCCTGACTGGGACTGAATCACAGAACTGAGCATTTCCGCTGGCCGTTCACAGTTGGAGACAGGTGTGGGATATGTTCACACGGTCTCTGCACCAGTGACCAAGGAAACAGAAAGCAGGGGTGATGGCCGGGTGTCTTTTGGGAAAGCCAAAAGGGAGACTGTGAATCCCATGTGGCATTCAACTCTGGGGCAAATTAATGATCAGCTCATCATCTGGTCCATTTTTGAAGGAAACAACTAGAAATAGATGATATATCCACAAAACTTTCCCATAGGAAATACACCTGTGTAGGATGAGACTGTATAAGTCAAAGTACACACGAGCATCTTAGTGACTATGGTACAAAGCTTGTGTACCTTACATATAGATCATCCAGTCAAGTTTATCAATAGTCATTCACAAAGTGAACTAAATAACATCTATAAAATTCTCACCTGAATAGCTACACAAAAATAACACAAGCAGGCGTGACTGGGGAGAAAGCATGGCACTCCTGTGTGGTTCCGGCTCATCCCTGGGCTGGGCATATGCTAAGTAGCGGTTGGCAACCACAGTATAGTAAATCTAAGGTAAAATACCTTTGCCACAGTACCTCCCCATCCTCCATACCAAATGGCCATCAAAAATTATAAGAGAAGTTTAACTAGTTTAACTGGGTTATATGAACATGCAAGATCAATCTGTGAGTCAGAATCTGACAGAAAACCTAGGTGGGGGAAGAGTTTACCAAGTAGATCTCCCTAAGAAGGGTATTTATAGCAAAACAGTCTCCGATTACTCCTTCTAAATTAAGAGATTGTTATCTTTGTAGTGACTGAGATGTGAGGCTACAAGTAGCACTAGGATCCTGAACCTCTGTGTGTCTATACTGGGGGATAACTTCAGCTAAATGCACCATTCAGTCTAGGCACAGTGAGCTCTGAGCACATGGTTTTACTCCATTCTTTGTGAATTCTTTTGCCCACCATGACCTCTTGAGGAGAGAGGGCTCTATAGTTGCACCCTCAGAGTTTAACGGTCCTCACATTGCAAATGCTTTACAAAGGCTTGAAAAATGAGATTGTGGGAATGATTACCAGAACTTAACCTGCACTGAACTGCTTTGTCTCTCTAATCAGGAAAAAGAAGTCACAAACTAGCCAGGCAGCAGAGAATCGTGCCCCATAGCACCATAGGATGTTGCAGTCAGGTAGCACAGGCTCTGCCATGCAATGTGAGTATGACCAGGGCAAGTCTGAGCCTCAGTCTCTACCTCTGTAAAATGGGCACAATGATAAGGACCACCTCAAAGGGTACTGTGTGAATGACATGTGAGAAGATGCTTAGGAAGCCTGTAGCACAGTCCTCATACAAACCCAGATTGATAAGCGTTAGCCAGCTAGTAAGTGTGCAATTGTTAAACATTGAAAAAATTGATAAGCACTTGTTGCACTTTTATTTCATTACCCCTAAAACAAATAATAATCTCAACTTCTTGAGTTAGACCCTCTTTGATGTCTTCCTTATAGAAAAAAAAAGTACACTAATGTTTTCACAATCAGCATACACAATTGTGGTGCTTTATGTATATTCAGCAAGGCTAAGGAAAGGAATCCAGATTTTAAAAAGTTTGGAGTAGCCCCAAACCCTCCTAACTGCTCAAATATACAAGAATAGATTTATTGAGCCCAAATTATGTTTATTCATATTCCTCCTCCTTCCCCTTCTTTCTTTTTGTGTACTGCTGGGGACTGAATCCAGGGCCTCACACATGCTAGGCAAGGGCTCTTCCACTGAGCTGCATCCTCAGCCCCAGGCAGTATTATTGGTGCTTGTGATATACATCGAGTAGAATGGATAAAGCTTCTTGGCCTCATGGATTCCCACATGAAGCCAAGTTCACCTAAAACAAAGCCTCTACTTAATCATTCCCTCTTTAATATCAAACAGCACAGTACATTATTCAATCAGATCAGAATTAATACTGCTGGTAAAGACCCTCACATGTTTTTCTTTTTGATTATTATCCCCTTTATTCATGCTGACCTTCCCCAGTAGAAACTAACATAATCTGCCTCTTAGACCCGAGAAAGGTGCTCAGAGTTATCATTAAAACTAAGCACAAAATTACAAATAATGAAGCAGCTTAGTTTTGCAACTAAGCAAAAAATAGCAACAATCAGCTTTATTCCCACATCCTGCTAACCAAAAATATAATAGGAATGTTATAACCTTTTAAAAACATATATTTAAAACAAAAATACCCCCTGCAAATACTGGTCAGCGATTTCTTTTCCTTCCCGTAGGCTGTAGGCTATCTATGATGCTCCTGAAATAAATATCTTTTCTTGGGAATGGTTGCTGTTTGGATGTGACTCTCTCCCTTCCTTCTCAGCTACATGAAACAACACTAGATTTGTGAAATAAGGAGAATTTTAAAGTTAACGAAAGTGGCATTTATGAGAATAGAACGAACGTCAAAATGGCAGAATAACATCAGAAGAGAGAGAAAGAGAGTGATTTGTTGGTTTATCTTTTAGCTGAAATAAAAGGCTTTAAAATTCTGGAGACACATGTGCTATTGAATCAGGTCCTTTTTACCTGGCTGCAATGAGATCCAGGAGATGCTGCCACCGGTCGTTGACCTTTCCAAGCTTGTATTCAATCTCTGAAGCTTTGCTTTCATGGCTGGCTTTGGCAAGTCGTTCTCCCATTTGCTGGAGCTGTATTTTGTTCTCTTGGGCAACAGCAATTTCCTCTTGATAATCCTGCATAATAAATAGCAATCACAGAGGTCAGAAAGCATATGCTTAATGCATTCATCCAGCTCTTCTAGAAACATGATAATTATGGTTTTCTACTGCTGAGAAATAGTTTGGGCATGAGGAACACCATGTGAACATCCATGCACAAGAATTAGTAGTACCTATTATTTTCAGCACGTATGGATTAAATTTTTATACAGGTGTTGTTGAACAGAATGGGAGGTGCTGTCTGTTTACTTAAAATGGGCACTAAAAACAAAATATATACATAACTACAAAATGACAAAATTTGGAAGATTTAACACTGAAATTATACCTTATTGCTCTAATCCCTAACCTGATGTTATATTTAGAATTAATTCTTATACAAAGAGATGACAAGACATTTATAAGGTAAATACACACACACACACACACACACACACAGGGAATTGTGTATGTGCATTTGTATGTGAGGCATGTTATTTGTGCAAAATATTTTAAGAATTCCTTCATTTTAAAAAGGTAATCTCTACATAAGGCCAATATTTTGTAACACATAAATCAATGACAACCTCTTATGAATAATAGTCATTAATTTTAACAAGTCAATAGGTCTACAACCTTCTTGATTTACCCAGTTTCTGACCCAGCCTCTGTTAAAGATTGTTTTGGTTCAATAGGTAGAGCAGATTTTATGTGGTCTATTTGCAAGAGATAGGCACTAAAAGGTATAACTTAAATTATAATGAAACCCTTCCCCAACCCCCAGTAACCCTGTTATTCTCTCGTCACAGTGAGTAATAGTATCCAATCATTAGAATCAATTTTTTTTTTTCATTTTTGGTTGAAGTAAATAGTACCTCAGCAAAACAATAAATGAAGACAGGTTCCTCATGTGCAAAGATATTTCAACCTTCTCTGCTCTAAAGCAGGTGTCATAACAGGCCATTTACCTGCCAGGTCATTTACCTAAGCAAAAGGCCTCAAAGGAATGGGAGGGCCAAGGAAATTTTATTCCCTCCCAGGGCTCAGGGCCCTCCTCATGCCCAGTGCCCCGCCTACTGGCCTTTTTGTGTTATTTCACACAATGGGATTCAAAGACCAAAACATTAGATACACTTATTAGTTGTTTTAATATTTCATCGCCAATTTGAGATGATTTTATTGAGAAATGTTTACTTCAAAGAAATTACTACAATCCTCTTGGATTATCATTTAATTTGAACTATTTTGTTAATGTCAATGCCAGTGGACATCAATATTTTTGGCTCCATTTAGTTACCACTTTTTTTCTATATTGTCAAAATTGCCAAGTCTTTTCTTAGTAATTCTCTTCCTTTACAAAAGAGACACCATGGAGTGGCAAGCTCTTAAAGACTTTTTTTGTCTAAATCCCATGACTTATTCTATATATAAACTAGGATAGTATTAACTATTAAAATATTTAAAATTATTAAAATAAAAATAAAAATTTAATTTTAAAGAGTATTTCTAATATTATTCCAAATAATGTAACAAAATTACCTATGAATAGCTAAAGTTTTTCTAAATTTTAATTATGGTTTTATTTTGTTCAAGAGATTTTTTTTTTCTCCCACACTCCAAAAATATACATTCTGAATTTTATGTTAAAAAGCAATGGGCATATATAGGTACATTGAAACAAAACTTATTCTTTAGCAAATTTCACTATAGTAGCTGGTGCATTTCATCACGTCTAGTATAGCATTCCCAGATACACAGCAACTAGCAAGGTGCCACCATTAGCAGATGTTAAAATGAAATCTGTTTCGTCTCAACCCAGGTATTAAAGCTTTGCAATGTCAAATAAACAAATGCTTACTCAGAATTTGCAGTGTTATACTGAAACTACTCTAAAGTTATTAATATTGCATGTTGCCTCTGAGGGTATTTTTTCTATGTGCATGAATGAATGGAGATAAATTTTTCTAATAATCATTTATATTTCTTTTCTAAATGAACAAAGTCATAATTCATTCATTCCAAAAATATGAATTAAGTGCTTATAAGAAGTCAGATGCTGCTCTGGGTGCAGGGGAGATAATAATAGACAAGACAAAGTCCATGTTCCAGTGAGACTGACAGTCCAGGGGGGCCTATATCCTAGATAGACCATGAACAGGTAAAAATGAAAAATACATCATACTTTAGATGGTGATATGTGCTAAAGAGAAACATAAACTAAAATAACTCTGAAATGATTATTTGTTCAAAAACAATGTAGAAGCAATACTGAAATCATCAAAAAACATTTTCAAATGTTGGCCAATTTGATCAGTTACCACAAACTGAAAGTATTCTGTGTATTTTGTATATGAAGCTGGCCTTTCATGTGTCAAGAAGATAAGATGTTTAAAACCTAGTGTTCCCTTGATAGCAAGTAATCCCCAGGAAGGCCACCTCTGCACTGGTTGGAAACACCTGAGCATTAGGCAGAGCGGAAGCACAGGCAGCCCTGCCTGCCCCATACCTTCTTGAGTTTCTCGATCATTTCCTCGATGAGGATGTCTCCGTTCTGAGAAACCTTGCTCTCCATCTGAGTCAGCCACTCACAGAGCTCCTTGTTCTTTTCGCTGAAGACCGCCCATTCATTCAGTCTCTCATTTACCTGCTGCCGCCTCAAGGAGACCTGGGAAGTTTAAAACAGGACAAGACGCCAAAGGATAAGGAGTCACACCCCAGCGAGCAGCATTTACCAGGTGCCCGGACTCTGCCCACTGCTGTGCACCCCGTAGGCCACTGTTCCTGAAATTCAGGATTGGTGGTCCACCACAGGTGGGAGATGCTGAGCCCCGGGTTTCTTTTCTGAAGGTTCCCCTGCACACTGATCTGTTAAAGGTTCAACCTTGCACAGCTGCCTCAGCTTAGATCTGACATATGACCAGAGGTACAGAGTACTAAAGCAGAAGGACCAAAAAGAAGAGGGAAAGAAGGGAAGAGAAAAGATGGGAGAAAGAAGGAAGAAAAAAGAAAGAAAAGAAAAAGTAAAAATAGGGAAGGAAGGGGAAAATGGAAGGAAAGAAAGAAGGAAGAAGAGCCTCAGGTATCAGGTGAGAGGAGCTGAGAGGACCTGGGAGGAGCCTGAAGAGGAACTCTTGTCTCTGTTCAGCTTCACCCTGGCAACTCCACGTGGGGCAAGTTCCTCTATTTCTCTACTCTTTTCAACATTTTTGGTTTTTTGTTTTTGTCTTTTTTTTTCCCCTCAGCATAACAGCTTGACTGAGGTAGAATTCACACATCATGCAATGCATCTGCTTCAGGTATACACCGAGTGGTGTTTACTAACGGAGTTGACAAGCATCATCCCAAATCAATGCACACACCCCCCCCCCCCCAAACCCTGTAGTCATCACAGTCACTCCCCTTTTTCTCCCCATGCACCTTCCAACTCGAATCTACTTTTCGCCTCTGGGGATTTGCCTACTGGGGACATTTCTTGTAAGTCAAATCATACAGTAAGTGGATATTTGTAACTGGCTTTTTTTGCTTGTATTTTAAAGCTTCATCCATGTTCAGAGCTATCAATACCTCATTCCTTTATATTGCTAAATAAATTCCATTGCACAGATATAACACATTTTATTTGTTCATTCATTGATTCAGGACATTTGGGTTGATTCCACCCTAAGTCTACTATGGATAATGCTGTTTTAAGCCTTCATGCTAAAGCCTTCACGTGGACACATTTTCATTTCTCTTGGGTATGCACCCAAGAATACAATTGCTGGGTCACATGGTAACAGCAGGGATTGTTTTCAAAGGTGGCTACGCCACTTCACATTCCCATAGCAGTAAGGGTTCACTTTTTCTATCTCCTCGCCAGAGTTTGTTATCATCTGTCCTTTGATGACAGCCATGACAGCAGGTGGGAGGTGCCACCTCACTGTGGTTTTCATGTGCCCTTCCCTAATGATAATGAAGTTAAGAGCTTTCTCATATGCTTCCTGGCCTGGTATATCTTCTCTGCAGAACTATCTCGTGAATTCCTTTGCCCATTTTTAAATAAAGTCGTGTATTATTGAGTTTGAAAAGTTCCTTGAACATTATAGATACTTGTTTTCATTTCTAAGTCTAGAATGATTCTAGAATTCTTAAGTTCTCTCACTTTATGCTACTTTTGTTCTCACAGTAGAAGTTGAGCTACTAAGGAATGTTTCTAGTGGAACTAAACTATACATTAGCCAAACAAAATATGATTTGAGTGGTAAGGTTTGAAGACCTGTTGGTAATACTAGCCATTCCATTATTGAGTCCACTGCATTCAATAAATAACTATTGATTTTTTCTCTCTCTCTCTTTCTTTGCAACATTTCATTATGGAAATTTTCAAACAAATACAAAGTGTATGCTAAGCATCAGTGATATACACCCTAGACTATAAAATTGTTAAAATTTGGCTTTAGCTTATCACTTCAATTGCTTTTTTATGAGCTTTAAAGGAATCTCCTTTCTTTTTTATTTATTTTTTGTTAATTTTTAGATATACATGATGGTAGAGTGTGTTTTGACATAGTATACATACATCAAAGGAATCTCTAAGATGAAAATGAAAACTATTTTGAAGGTGGCATATGCTTCCTGGGTATCTATTCTGTCTAGAAATGAATCTGTTAATGATGAGGCAGATAATTTAGCTCCCATACAACCCAAATGTCTGTGTTTCTATATCTGAGAAAAGAGTAGGGAGTTAGGACATAAGCCGAAGACCCCTTTCTCAGGGCCCATCTTAGGTGAACTGCCTAAACAGTGAGTTTGTAACTCACCATAGTTTTTGAAATTTCAACATTAGAAATTCAACCTTTTGAGCTATTTGGGATGTTTTAAAATAAATATTTCTCTGGGTTGGGTGTCACTGATGAAGCCATCAAGGATTCCCCATCAATATAATTAGTTGAACATTTAATTTTCATTGAGGTAGTTTAATACAGAAAAGCTTAGAGGGCAATGACTCACTTGGGGTGGGGAGTAGAAAAAGCTAAAAAAAAAAAAAAAAAAAAAAATACCCACAGGTTAAAATGTTAAAATTTTTAGGCAGATGTCACCTACTTTAAGCCCCACTGGGGACAGTACTGGGGAGCATGCTCCTTCAGTACCCCTTTCCTCTCCAACTCTGAGAGAGAGTGGCTCTGATCTGCTGGGATGTTCAGACTAATTCTCCAGTGGGTCTCCAGTGGGTCACACAGCACCCGAGTCAGGACCATGGCTGTAGTTAATATTCTGGTTCAGCTGATGTTGTAAGTTGAAACTGTATTTTCATAATTGGTAACTGCTTTCTAAAAAAGAGGTTCGAAACCCCTGACCGTATGGTGAATTTGTCTTGCTTTGAGTAGCTTCCCCCCAATGTTGGCCACCAACCAGGAAGCAAGCTGGGACTACCCTCACCCACGTCTTCAGGGAGGGTGCTCCTGTGATAGAAAAATCTATTCTCCATTACTGTGAGAGGTAGGTGGTCTTATCCCCATTACAGGCATCAGAAGAGTGACACTGAACACCTCCGAGGCATCTGTTTATAGTCTGTTTATAGTGAGTAAAAGAGGTCCAGCCATGCTTGAGTCTTCGTTAGAGGTTGCAATATAACATTATGATCAAACATCCAGAGGCACCTGAGAACCCGTCTCCATCGCTTCTGGATAACGTGACCAGGGAAAGGTTACTCATCTTCTCTAAGCCTTACACTCTTCACTTACAAATTGATCCTAATTCTTCCCCAAATTCATCACATGTTTATTGTTTATGGTAAGCGTGTGTCTTCACTGTGCCAAGCACCATTCCCATGTACCAGGAAATAGCAGGCGGACAGAAGAGACTGGCACATTCTGAAGACCCGACAGGGCAGCCCTGGCCACGCTGCTGCTTCACTCTGTCTATACTGTTGTGCATGACTCAGGGCATCCTGGAGCTGTTAGCTGGCTTCCTCCTAGGCACTGGTGTCTTCGGTGTCTGTGTATATTCACACACTATGAAAGCACCTCTGCACTGTTTATCATGGACTTGAAACTTAAGAAGCAGCAGGTGGGCTATAAGCATTGGCTGCCAATGGGGGGCAAAAGATTTTTTAAAAAATGTAAATTCATTAGAAGAATGGAGTGTTTTTTTGTTGTTGTTTATAAGTCCAATATTAGACCATATATAAATGAACATTACCATCTCTTTGCTTGGGTGCAGTCAAATCTCTCAAATTATGTTATCAGCTCAGCACACATTTACGTTTTCTTACAGGCACAGACACACTGTACTGCCTGCAGAGCAGGAGACAGCTGAACAGGAAGTACATCCTTTTCTGCTTCACATATTTTGACGATGACATTTTGCAGGGAAAAGAAATGAGCAATTACAGTGATGTTATAAATTTATATTTCAACTAGAATTTCCACACACACACAGTTCTTCAAACTGAAACAGAAGTAAAAGCAAATATCACTCATGGCTGTACACAAGCTTGACTACCCCCTGGGGAGTCTATTCATAAACAGATTTCTTTTATGCATTCTTTTTCTGTGCTGCAATGTTTACTCACAGTCTAGTCCTCATTCTTACCTGCTCTCAGGTACTCCTGACTCCTATCAGCTGCTTTGGAAGAACAGGAACAGGATACCTGCTCCTTAGCAGGGACAATGCTGTGTTCAAACGTAGTTTCTGACTTGTACAATGAAACAGGCACAGGCTCACTTCCTGTTGTGGTTTCCGCGCTCAACAAAAGTTCACCAGAAACAACTCAAGAACTAGCAGGGCATCCACCTCCTTCCTTAAGACTGACATGCAGGCACCTTGACCCAACCCATGACTGAAGTCCTACTGGCAAACAACTTGATGTACCATGAAGTAAAGCGAGGTCCTCAGGACACTTGGACATAGAAAGTTTCTAGAAACACTATGTATTCCATCGCTTCCTCTCCTTTACACCTTGCTCTATGCATGGGTGCAAAGCATTAATCTCTTCACAGCATATTCTGTGACGAAAAGCAACTTTCAAAACGTGTTTTCAAACAGACTGTTGCCTAGGTATCTAGTGGTCATTTTGCAACATCTACATGTATAAGAATTAGTAATAATAGTAATACTTTCATGGCACTGTTAAACAAGTTTTCCCAAATCAAAGAATACTGCATGACCATAATCTTAACCTCCAAAACATTAAAACTTGTGTCATTGTTTTATCATTGGAGGAGCAGAAGCATAAAGACATAGAGTCGATACCTTTTTAATACACAGGGGGCTGGGGTTGTGGCTCAGTGGTAGCATCCATCTTACAACTAAAAAAAAATTAAAAAAAAAAAGAATACATAGGGTTGGGGGACATAGCCCACTGGCAGAGCAGTAGCCTCACCAGCACGAGGTCCTGGGTTCCATCCCCTCTCCTGCTATACTGCACATACACACACAGACACATAGCTGTGGTGGGCATTAGCCATACAGAGAAAAGGTCTTTGCACCTTAGCTTTTGGAATCAGATCACAAAGAAGTAAAATACTGTACTATGGAACAGCACAGACCAAAAGGGAAAGGGTAGTTCACAGGATTAAGAAAATCTCAATGACAGAGCATAATGTCACAATGCCATGGGTTTGTGGAACATGAAAGACCACAGGCTAGAAATCAGAAGAGAAGAAATCATCAGCTTAGGCAGGAGGAGTGGCATGATCAGGCTTTTAGGGAGGGATGTTCATGTGTGTGTTTGCCAAGGAAACGTCCAAACTCTGAGGTGCCACCTTTCTGAAGAACTCTGCAGGCTTCCATTAGCTACAGAAATGGATCTGGTCTAATGTTGAAAAACACTAAGACAGCAAGTAGTACTAAACTTTTCTCAAAATTAAAAATAGATGAACAGGCTCAATAAGGGTAAAGGAATCATGCTGTAAAAATTTGCCGTCATCTGTCATCACAAAATAGCTTCCATTTATACATCATGATAAGATCAGGAAATGATAGGATGAGTGACTATGGAAATGTATTCCTTCTGGGTTGAAGAAATCAGAAAAGAATAAAGCGTGGTGATTAATAGTGCCACTTCCTATGAGGAACTTGATGGAGGTTTCTCATGGTCGTTGAGAATACAGAGCTCTGTGAAAAGTAGCTACATTCATGTTGAACGTGAATCACTGACAGGCTGATGAAAGCCTCTTTCCTGTGTCCTGCTTTTTGCAAGAATATATTCACAAGAAGAGGGTTCACACATCTACCATGTGTGCCTAGAGTCCCCCTTTGGTTCACAAGATGAGAAAATTCTGGGTTTTCATTTAAACATTCAGAAGGAAGTTTTTGTAAGAACATATTTCTTCTTGATGTCAAATAAACCAAGAGGCTCTGAGCCTCTGTTTAGTAGTTCCTGGATCACAAGGATAAGCATCCCCAAAGTTAGAGGAGGTAGAAGGATGGGAGAGAAGAGAGATGGTGGAGCAGTGTAGCTGGCATAGACACCAAGAGGCCACCCTTCCACAGCCTTTCCTCCACCAAATGACACCTACATATGCCCTACTAAAGCCTGCGTCCCTGGCCTCTACTGCAGCTGCAAGCTTGCCCCCGCATCCATTTGTCCCCTGCACACCAATCTTACTCCACGCTCTCCATCTCAGGCGTCCCTTGAAGATTTACCCATTCCAAGAAGCACCTCCTTCATTCTCTTCAATCCCTATCATACTTAGCTCATTTATATCTTTATATATTTTCACATATTGTGTTTAACCTGGTTATACATGATTTTCTTTGTAACTGTAAAAGTTTGTGTAAATCAAGTTTGTAAGCTTGATGGTGGGAACATCTATTATGGCTTGTCAAATTCACAATAATGGAAATGAAGAATTCAACTGAATAATTGTCAGAGCCTATAATGTGCCAGGCATGGTGCATAGGTTACAGATGGGGAGAGACAGACTTGGGCCCTGCCTCTTGGAGGGTAGGTCCACAAGCCTCTTGGGCAGCTGTCTGCTCATTTGTGAGCCTGCAATCTGATACTCTCTTGGTCCAGGGGGTCCTCTTACTGCCTTCCCACCAACTTTTCCCTTTCATTTCCAACTCAAAGACCAACCTGGGATCTCTTCTAAAGTATTGCACACACAGAAAGGTACTTAAAACATGAATAAAGTATGACTAACCACGACACACACCCTTTAATTACCAGGAAACAACTAGGATGAGAGTAACAATAAATATTCCATAACAGAACTGGCTCTGGAGTGTTAGCTGAAATTGCAAATAAAACAATACTTTTTCATGTGTTTAAAAAATAGAAGATGCCACCAGTATCTACCTAGCAAAATAATCACATCTGTCAACCACAGCTTTGTGCTTCCTCTTAAAAATACTACACCAGCCAATGAAAGGAGAGGTGAGAATCCAGTTTAGATGCATCAAAGATAAAATGGTAAGACATAGTTGTCTTGGTCTGGAATGTTCTGGCAATAACCACAGGGTTCTTCTTTAGCTGGTACCATGTGCTATGGGTGGGTCCAAACCTGGTCAAGCCACCTGCCACTGAATCACCACCCAGCTTTCCACCATGATGGTCACTTTCCACGTACGGCACTGGTCTTACCTGGTGGCACAGTTCTTCCCACTGCCTCTGCAGGAGCTCTATGCGCTCATTAAGGATGGAGATGTCGTCAGCACTGATGTAGGCAGACAGGGAGCCCCGCAGCAAAGTCAGCTCTGCCAAGTCATCCGTCCAGCTCCCAACGGCACTTTCTAATTCCTAGATTAAAAAAGAAGTTCCTGAAAATGATTCTTGAAAAAATGGGCCTAATAAATGCCCATTCTTACTTATTAGAATTTTTCTCTAATAGTTATCTTGTCATCTACCGTCAACAATTTCTCACATCATTTGAAATCCTTCCAGATAAAATTCCATTTCCATTCTCTAACGTGGGATCTGTTTCATTTTCTTCCTACATAATCTGATCAATTGCCAAGTTCTTCTGATACCAGACTTGCTTGCAGAATCTTTCTAACATCTATTTACCATCTCAACGATCTTATTTTCTCTTTGATGGCTTTTCCTAACTGATGTTTCAGCACTGCACTGAACTTTAAACTGATGTCATAAACACATAACCCATACTTTCTTTTTGTCCTAAGTTACTGATCACACTAATGAAATATTTTAATAATTTAATTTTCATTTTCATACATTATGAGTTGCTATATTCTATGATGTATACTTGCAAGATAATGGTGGAGATCTATTATTACTAAATTAAAAATAATTCCCTGAATACATTTTCTGTAGGATCAGAAATTTATTTAAGTTACTGAAAAAGATTATGTACCCTGTTCTTTTGGGAAATGATTTAAGGAGAAAAAAATCTTATAATAATATTTGTAAGAGTTGACATTAACTTTTGCAATACTTTGATGGATGGCTGATTTTGCAATTTGTATAACTCTTGTTCCCTGCCAGTTGTTGCCTTTAGAATCCAGCTAATTTAGCGTATGAATAGAAAATTTCACATGGTTGGTTCCTTCTCTTTTTGTCTCTTCACACAGGAGACCAGTTTCCAAAGGCAAAAGTAATTAACAATACTGTCTGAGGCTGACTTTCCAGGCAATTTAGGCAAACAAGGTTTTAGCCTGATTTTCCAAGTAATTGCTTTGTTTTGCTGCTAAGGTTGTTTGGGGAAGAGGAGCAGAGAGCCAGACTGAAAGGCATCCTTTGAATCTACAAACTCAAAAACAGAGTATGTGTCCAGTATTTGGGGAGATGAAAAAATGAGACTCGTTAGAAACAGCATCTGGCTGAAGGATCAAACTGTTCCAGTAAATTAAAAATGCAACATTTAAAAATGCAACATTTACACCTTTGGAGATATTAAATTGTTATACCAATGTAAAGATTTTGCTCATTTTATGCCAGTTCCTGGTCCTCAATCCAAACAGCAGATTTGGTGAAGAGATTGAAAAAACAAACAACACTAACATCAGGACCCACTGCTTTGAACATTCTCCATGAGGCGAGTCAGTGTGGGAAAAGTACAGCCTTTAAATGCAACAACTCGGATACTTACTTACTTCCTAGAAGCCTCTGTTTTCTCATCTGCAAAAAGGCAGTAACTGAATGTCCTCCTGACTTGTGTTCAGACCAACTGAAACAACACTCATGAGGTCACTGGCACACAGAGGAGCCTAATCAGTGTCCATTCTTACTTAACAGAATTTGTATTTAATAGTTTTTTTTTGGTAAATTTATAATCACAGGCTTAAAAATAACTGTTTACCTTTGTCATCTTCACAAACTTCTGAACGTCACACCTCAAAATAATATTTCATTCACTTGCCATTTGAGATGTGAAGTGTACCACCTTCAATTTTTCCTAACTGCCTTTTAATGTCTCAAAGAATATCTTTGGATTTTTGTACTGAAGGAAAAATTTTTACATCCACACTTATCAAGATTTCTAGACTTAATAATCTCTTGGCTTGAAGGATCAAACCGGTAAATTAAAGATGCAACCTTTCTATTTACACCTTCTTAGTCAGAGTGAGGCAGAGAACTTCCAATTAAAATCCATATCACTTCCATATATGTAAAATTTTACTAGAATTACACTACAGCAATAATTTACAAATAATTAGAGAACATGAGGACATGTATAATTTGAAAAAAAAAAAGTATTAGTACTTTTGATCTGATGGGCACATTGCTCAGCAGAGGACCAGTCTCAAGCTTTACTGGGCTAAGAAGGTGTAAATGGGATGAATCCTACAGCCACTAAATCATGTAAGTATTCATGACCTCATCATGCAGGGAGTGGTCTGTATTAGCTATCAATTTGCTTTCAAGCATGATTTAAAGCATTGATCATAATCTTTAAGTAGTTAGAGCCCTGAGTAATAAGGATTAGATGACTCCTTGTGTCAACTGAGATTAGCAATTTTTCCTGCTTTCTTTGCAGAAGAGTCTGGAGGGGAGGGAGGGTTCTTCCGCAAGCCATAGACAACAGATTGTCCAGGCTGCCAATGCTTTCTGTAAAGTAGACTCTGGCTAAAATGATCCCTCAGTGTGGATGCTTTAGAAAGATTGCTTTTATTGCTCTTAACCTGGCTTTTAAATATCTTTAATGTTTGTGTTTAATTTTCATTTGCTTCAGCAGGTTAATTCATAAACTTTCACTCACTGCAATAAGTGAGCCAAGCAAGTATCACCTAGGAGCTATTTGTCTTATTGCAGTCCCCTGGGATTTTGCATCTGCCTGCAGACAGCCAGAGAAGATTGATGGGATTATTCTTCTGCAGGTGTTATCCCTGCACAGGCAGAAGATGGGTGACAGGGATTATCTCCATCCAGTAATTCACCTTGCATCGCATTTGCTCTGCATGAAGCTCCTCATGATGATCTGGTAGAGGCTGGGAAAGCTTCTTTTTGAATGTCCGTAGTTTCTCCAGGGAATCAGCAATTCCTTTTTCACATTTTTCCCAGTCCTATGATGGAAGCAAAAGAAATTGCATGTCAGTTTATTTTGGTGGGAAGGGGTACTGGGGATTGAGCTCAGGCATTCAACCACTGAGCCCTAGCCCCAGCCCTATTTTTTGTATTTTATTTAGAGACAAGGTCTCCTTGAGTTGTTTAGGGCCTCGCCATTGCTGAGGCTGTCTTTGAACTCACGATCCTCGATCCTCCTGTCTCAGCCTCCCAAGCTGCTGGGATTACAGGCATGCACCACTGTACCTGGTATGTTTTTTGTTTTGTTTTGGAAATAAATTAGAAAACAAGAAAGAAGCACTTTTTAATTACAGAGAAAGAATTAAAGTCACATTGATGAACAGTGAGAAGGGGAGTCCACACCCTTTGCCACCACGGGCAGCATGCAGTCATCCTAAGAGTTGAGTCCAATTCTGACTCTGTTACTTTTTAACTGCATGACTTTAGTAAGCTGATAAGCCTGTGTCTCATGTTTCCCAATGAAAATGGAAATAATACAAACTATAATTGTCAGAGAATTAAAATAAGCAATGGGTGTTAACGAACACAACACCCAGAGAATCATGAATACTCAGCAATGTTATCTGAATCCAAATCTGTCTGCAGAGGCAGGGGTATGATGTGGCAATGTGCCTTTCAGCTAACTTCATCCCTAACTGCATTCAATGCCCATGCTCTCCCCAATACACTACAGGGGATAAAAAAAGAGGCTATAAAAACACATAGGAGTAAGAGGAGAGAGAGCGAATGTAAAAACAATATAACCCAGAGTCTGATTAAATTCATCAATGGTATGAGCCACATGAGTATGAGCTGTTAAAGAAGTGGAAATACAACAGAGATGGGCAGAGCCTTTGACTGGCTTTATCTTGTTACTGATAAAGCAGGTAGCAAAGGGTTGTGTACAACATAAAAGTCCACACCATCAAGAAGTGGGGGAAGAGAGCTAAGGCACACTTTAAGAAATATGTATCCAGCATGCCACGTAGTGGTAAGTGCTCCCTTAGTGGTAGAGCATGGCAGCATAGAACCTGGGGGTCTCCACGGGCTGACAAAGAAAACAGGCATTGTGTGGCTTTGTTTTCAAATGTTACACAACAAACTGGTGGCAATGGCTCCCTCTTGGCAGAGATAGACAATTTGAATGGTGGTACAAGGGGAATTTCATTTTGTACTCTATATACCTCAATTATTATGTGAAATTTTATGACACATGTATTTCTTTTGTAATTTAAAAACTAAGGAAAAAAAGTGGAAGGAGTAATTAAAAACTAAGAAAAATAAGATGAAATTTCCACAATGGAGACGGATACTTACAAGCACCATATCTACAAGTTAACTCTTATCTGGTGTCTCAATGCCATGGAAAAGTAAGTCCAACTAAACGAGTCTCCTCTATGTTGTCCAACACAACCCATTTTATCCTATGTCCATGCCTGGCCTCTGCATCCCCACTGTCCTCCCCAATGGCCGCTCCCGACATGATAGAAATATGGAGAGTGGTTCACATGCCACCACATCATGCTCCATTTTCTTCCACAGCATCTCTCTCATCACCTCCAGTCTTTCCTTCCTAGCATTCTTCCTGTCTTCTCTCCTGACACCTGATTTATTTATCCTTTGCAATGACAACCCACAGGTATAACTGTGACTACAACCACAACCGTCTATCACTACAAGTGTCTTTTGTTTTGTTTTACTGACACAAAAAGTAAGGACCAAAGTAATTCCTACCCAAAGTGTCTTTTGCTTTTAACTGAACCAAAGGTTTGGTCCCACATTCTCATTTCTCTTTAAACTTCTTTTCTGAAACTTCCTAGAGTGTATAATCATATTCTCTCATCCCTATTACCAGAAACAAACAAACAAAACCCCAAGAAAACAAAAAGCAAAAATCCTTTGCTTATCATGCACAGATTCATTCCAACTCCCTTTATTTAAAAATATCGCTGTATTCTCAGGCTACTTAGTTTACCAATGTTCAGCATAGTGAGGGTAGACAGGTCCTCTTCCTGCTTAAAATGAACAAAACATCCTCATTTAAATCAGCATACACCCCCAAATCTATAAGAATGCAGTCAGTAATTATTCATTGATCTCACAGAAACAAGGACAACTCATTCTTGTGAAAATACTTTGAGGCATCGATGAAGCAGGTGACTATGTAGAATATGGAATTATAATGACTATTTTTGACATACATACTTGGAGCATTAGATTGAGAACTAAAAATAGATAAGTATTATAGCTGTGGTGCAAAGATATCCTGAAATGAAGCTCCAAAAGCATTAAAATTTAGTTTTATAATACTCTCTTAGACAGATAGAAGGAAGTAAATGATTCAAAATATAACAAGCTTTAACAAGAGAAGAACAGGGATTCCTCCCTTTCCAAGAATGACTTAGACTGTGAAGCTATAATCAAGTCTGTTTGCTCTATGAATTCTAAGGTAATAGCTTAATGCTGTGGTCTGTAAGCATCTATTAATTCGGATGTTTTATACACCAACCAGCAGACAGACTTGTCTTCAGCAAAGGCAGTGACTCAGATACCATGCCTTATTAAATCTCAGGAATGTCTCCAAAAATCACATCACAAATAAAGAAAAATATATGATTAACATGTTCTCTTACAGATCGAGTTACAATGTTTTAAATCCTTTCCTGAAAGCAAGATGAATTTGGCATATTATATTACTGATGAATTGCACTGTGTGCAAATAATAGTGACTTATAGATGCCCAGGGGTATTTTTGATTGCTTATTTCCCACTCAGAAGTTAATATATCATTAACTAAAATTCAGCAGAACAAATCAAATGGGTGTGTGGACTTTAAACAATAAAAGAGTAAAATCTGCTCCATTAACTTTAGTTATTACCTTTGATCCAAAAAAGTGACAAGTCACTTTAATAGATAATCTCATTGAATTATTGGTGATTATCAACCTACATAATTTAGCATTTACTATGTTCACTTTTTTAAATGATGACATAAACAATGGTAATTACTGTTATATACTTAGTGCTCAATATGTACCAGGTAATATACCACTTGTCCGAGGATTGGAAAGATTCCAATAACCAGATTACTTGGTTTACTCTGGTTTTAACTTGGTTTTACCCAGGTTTAGGGCACATGCCCTTTTTAAGCTCCTGATTTAATTATGTTTTATACCTGGAATTTGAAAATAAGGGTGAAAATTTCTTGGGGCAGGTGTAGCCCAATCCAAGCTCCCTTCAACTTCCTGAGTGATGGTATGCAATGCGTATCCCACTAAGGGCTTCATATTCCTCCTGGAGATTCTATTGCCTAGCAACCTTCTTTGGTAAACTAAGCCAACTTGAGAGCATCATTTTGGGTTGGTTTTCCCCTGCTATAAAATAAGAGATATCAATCTTGAGAACCATTTTTGAGTTTGAGGTTAGGGAGTGGAACCAATGCTTTGACTTTCTGTCTAATTTTATAAAGTCATCTCATGGCTAAGCCTTAGCAATGGCCATTAATCAGAATTCATAGCATGGACAGACCTTTTCCAGTTTCAATTACATTGTTGGGGGATTGTCCTGAAAAATGAAATGCTGAAAATGGAGAAACTTGTCCAGTTCCTGCAAGATAGGGCAAAGTCTTAAATAAAATGCACAGGTTCAAAATCCTGCAGGTATTGCTTAATGATCTTTGAATACTTGATTTGCAAGGAAAACAATGGGAGAAAACAGTACAACTATTAAAAGGCCCTTTTAAATTGAACCTACTTTCAGCAAGAAAGCCAGTTTTTTCTTCTGCTCCTCCAGGTGCATGCTGGCCAATCTCCACTTCTCTTGGATTTCGGTGAGTTCGGCTTGCAAGGCGGCCTCGGCTGCGCTGTCTGCAGTCAGCAGGAGCTGCTTGCCAGCCTCCACAGTCAGGATGTAGCTCCCTTGTTGTCGCAGGAACACCTTTTCTTTGAACTGAAAGGAAGGGTCACTTTTTACTTTTTCGACTCTTCTTCATCCTTTTCCTACTATAAGTATTCTTAGTGGCCCCACAGGTTAGCATAAGCAGCCTGCCCTCTTCCATCCAGCAAGCATTTGTTGAGATGGTACTTTGTGCAGGAATGAACCATGTATAATGAATGAGAACACAACAGGGAAAGGCTTTCTTTCTACCCTAAAGTCAAATACAGTTAGGATATAATATGAGATTTGCTTTATAAAACTGGTGTGCAAAGAACATAGAGCATGGCAGGCACAGCATAGCTTCCCCAAAGTGGTAAAGTGGCTTGGGACTTCTTGAAAGATGCGTGAATGCAACCTTATTAAGTGATGAGTCGAAGCAGAAGCAGAGGAGAGAACACCTTCCCTCAGGGAACTGAGGATGCGTATGTCCACTGTACAGGAAAACAGGATGTAGTTTTTCAGTGGCTGGAGTATGGGGTGCATGTAACAGAATGGTCGAAGATGAGGCAAGACTACATCTTGCACAGAAATTTGTTCTTTTAGAGTAAAAATGACTGCGGTCACAGAAGAATATTAAGGAGGTAAGTAATGTGTTTGAATTAAGGTTTTAATAAAAGCATTCAGAAGCAGGGTGGAAAGTGGGATGGAAGAGGGGTGTGTATTGGATATGCTGAGACAGGTAAGAAAGCTACTGTCCATTCAGGTGAGAAGTCATGAATGCCTTATTCAAGGCAGTGGCCATGAGGATGAAGACTTGCAGCAGATTTATAGGGGAGCAACAGACGAGGAGGGGTATAGCTCTACAATGACACTAGGGGTCCTGGACTGATAGACCAGATCGCTGGTGATAACATTTTCCTACACTGGACATGGGAAACAGAGAATGTTGTTTCAGAGATCACAAACACTGTTGAGGGACACAGAGTTGTTACAGCTGAAATGCACAGATATCAATCTAAAATGTGGCCAGATACAGGAGTTGAAACCATAGCAGGTGAATGTGACCAGAAGATACCAACTTGCTCCTTTTTTGCTGATAGTGAGCAGTTGAAGCCCTATCTGTAGATGAGTTCTTTCAAAGAAATTTGGAGAAGGAGAACCAGAGAACAGTGACCTTGAAAGGAAGAGAGCCCATGAATCAAGGGGGAAGGATGGGTGAGAGTGCTGGGAGGTATCTGTCTCAGATGCCATAGCCCCAGATCTCAGGCTGGTGAAAGTAAGGAGCTAGTTGGGCAGGTGTCGCGACCCCTTGCCCGCAAGGAAGACGCAACTCAGGAATCTTCTTTCAGCAGTTTATTCAGGTCCCTGATATTTCTTCTTCTTCTTCTTGGATGCCCCTCCCAGCCTTAATAAAGCATCTCAAGCCCCAATGCAAAGCTGCCACGTGGAGCTTTCTCATAGGGTGATAAGGGATTACGTGCCAACTCTCCAAAAAAGGAGTTGTTTATCACAGGCCACAGTGGAAGCCGGCGCCATCTTCTAATGGCGGCCACGGTCTATAGGAACGGCTCACCACAGGCAGGGACAAAGAACTCAAGGACAGAGCCTTCTCTGGAGTGCTTGCATTACATGTTTAAATTGCTCATGAGTCCAATAGACATAATCAACACATTCTAGCTGGGCTGCAGGGAGCTGCTATGAGCCTTGGTGTGTGGAGTAGAAGAGGCTCTGGGAGAGGCTGAGGTTTACTCTGACCCCACCATTCAGATGTCTGCAGGGCAATCACTTTTGCATTTTCAGTTCACATTTGGGAATAATATTCACTCCAATTCCCCTGTCACTCCAGGGTACCTCTGAAGCACTGAGGCTAAGGTCAAGTTGGAAATGCAGAAGAGGCTTGAGAACAGTGTGTTCTGCATCCTACCTGCACTTCATCAAAGAGGGTCCTGACTTGTTGCAGTGGCACGGGGATGCTTCCAAGGCCACTCACGGGCAGATAGGACACCTCCACCAACCATTTACGGAGCTTCTCTGCCATCTCCCTGTAGCGTTGCCACTGGCGAATCTGGCTATCGATGATCCCCCGCCTCTGCTGGGCTCTGCGAATCACTCCCTGCCACTGATTACTGAGGAGGGTCAACTTCAGGTTGAACTCATCCCTGGAGAAGAGGTAATTACACGGTGAAAAGATTGTTCTTTGGATGTAGCCACATAACAGAGGGAGCATACCTTCTCAATGACTGCAAGCCCTGAGAAGTGATCTAAGGCAAAGGATTTAAAATAGATGCTATGGCCCAGTGCAGTAGTACATGCCATTAGTCCTAGCTATTCAGAAGGCTGACTCAGGAGAATCAAAAGTTCAAGGCCAGACAGGGTAACTTAAAAAAGTGCTGAGGTAGAGCACAAATGTAGCTCAGTGGTAGTGTTTGATTAGCATGTGCAAAACACCTAGATCAATCCCCAGTATCATAAAAACAAATAAACAAATCAATTTAAAAATATTATGCCAAGATCTGCTATGGGGTCTACTGAAAATAATTTTCAAAATTAGACTATTGGTGTAGGTAAGTGGTGTTTCCAGGTCTCAGTACAGTTCGAAAAATCTTTGACAAGGTCATTGTCACTCTCTTCCTGAGTGTGTGAGTGGAGAGGGATAGAGCAAAGGGTATATATATATATAATGTATAGATTATATATATGAATTTCCTTTCAAAAACAGAAGTCATTTGTCAAATCAAGCACAGTCGAATCCAAATTTGCAAATTAACTTCATGATACTTCCTTAACATTTATAACATCTGTCAAATCAGAATGAGAACATCACGGAATGTGGAATGGTTCATTTGTGTGTTGCTTTGTGCCAGGTAACCACCCAGGATCTCTATGGGGCTCTATCCTCCCTGTGTAGCCTGGTTGCCCTGAGCTACCTGTCAGCACAAGAAACCACTTAGAGCACATCTCCCCACTGCTGAAGCTCTAAACAACAGAGATCATAAATGAACTTTGAGAGTCACGTACATTTGTCATCAGGAAACTTCCTATTGTCAGCAGGTTCTAATCTGATGCTTCTCTTTTTAATTACAACTATCAAAATTCTTATCTTCCAATTTTCTTCTCTCTGTTGTTGTTTTTCCCTTAAATGTTAGCATTTAAAATTTAATAGATGTTGGCTTATAGGGGAATTGTAAATTGTATTTAACATAATGACTTGAATGTTTAAAATATTGTTATAAAGTTGGCTAAAAGATGATAAAGCAAAAGCTAAAAGTTAATTGCATTTGAATTTGTTTTATTTTGAAGGTCTTAAATTCTCAGTAAATCTTGCATTTAAGTTTGGCCTGCTTAGGAAAGAATAATATGGTATCATGTTTTGTTGTTCCAACCTTAACTATGAAAATCTTTTATGTACATCCAAAGAAATAACCACTTAAAAACTGAAATTACTTCCAAAACATTAAAAAAAAAAACCTTTCACAATAAAATGATTCATTTTCTAACTTTTTTAAATACACAAAGTTAATTATAGTCACAACTACTGGTCCTAACTATGGGGAAGATGTATGCATATAATAAAACAAATGAGTTTAATTCTCCAAATATCACCATGGAAAGTCAATAAGATAAAGAAAATATTGTTCCTAGGAAATGTAAATACTGCACAGAATTGCCAATTCACATGCTGTAAATTGGAAGAGAAGCTATGTTTTTACCTCTGAATTTTTATTAAAGAGATAATTTGTCATGTAAATGAAGAGGAAGAAGTATTTCAGGTAGAATGTAATCAGATTTATGGTGACAAATCATTTTCAAACATGGAGGAAGTTTTGTGGCCTGGGAAGGCTGGCTGTGCAGACTACAAACTAGACCCAGGAGCACAAAGCCAGAGTCTGCTGCTCCTTGGTTTTGTGACCTTGGTCAAATCAGTCCACATTTGTGGGTCTCAGGTTTTTCATCTCCGAGTAAGAAAGATGGACTAGTGATATCTATCCTCCTTTTAGGAATACAATTTCGATAATTGCATGAGAATATTAGAAGCATCTGTTTATGAACCATTGATACAATTCATTCTGATCTATTCATTAATTCCAGTCTCTACAGATGACTAGTGAAGGTTGGCTAGGTGATTTCCAATTACTCTATGTCCTTCATATCATATAATAGCTGTTCTCTAAAAGGATTCAATACTCACTCATTTCAGAGATTCAGACAAGCCTTCCCTCCAATTACTGAGACTCCAGGATAATACAATTGCCTTGAGAAGATTGGCTATGTGCCCTCTAATCTGCTCATTAAAAGGAAAATGACTAATTTACTGGAAGCTTTCTTCATAATAAGTTATCAAAGATCCTACCTGTCATCAACTTGACCTTGTTCTAGAAGACGTTGCCCATCAATAATGATCGAGTGTAAAATCTGCTGACGGCTGAACATCTCGGCTTGAAACAACTATAATTTTAAAAAAGAAGAGCATACTTTTAGAGTTCCTAATTTTTGTGACCGGTTTTCTGATAACCTTTCAAATGCACTGGGTATAGCAAGACTATGGAAAATATCTCCAGCTGAATCACGATGAGTGTGAAATCCTGACATGTAGGAATATTTACTTTTAGACCATTAATTAAAGTAGGCCTAAAGTTTGGTTTTTGGCTTATTAAACTTAATGACTAAAAGTAGATTTAGCTTTCCCTTCTTTCTCTTTAAATCCCTCAATAAGGTAAGTTGATGAATAATTTGTGTTCTGGTCTTTCTGAAATGTTTTTCAAATTAATTAGTTTAATAAAATTATTTCATTATTAAATCAATAGAAAGGTCTTTCAAATTATTTCCACTGTTTTTAAACAGTTTGGTTGAGATATTATTCACATGTCATAAAATTTGCACATTTAAAATGTCCAGTTTAATAACTTTTATTATATTCCAGACTTGTGCCACCATCTTCATGATCAATTTTAGAATGTTTTCATCGTCCCCAAAGAAATTCTGCCCTCATTAGAAATCAGACCCCATTTCCTCCCAATTCCCAGCTCTGAGCAACCACTAATCTACTTCACATCTCTATCAATTGCTTACTCTGGATAATTCATATAAATCGAGCCAAGTAACATGTGGCCTTTTGTGACTGGCTTCTTGCATGTGACATTTTCTCTGTTCATCCACGTTGCATTATGCATCAGTATCTTGTTCTTAATATCGCTGAATAGTGCTTACATTTTATTTACACTCTCATCCATTGATGGACTTTGTTTTTTTTCTACTTTGTCTATTATGAAGGTACTGCTATGAACATACACTTGTCCAGGTTTTGTGCGGGATATACTTAGGGATGGCATTACTGGGTTATAAGGCAATTCTGTGTTTAGCATTTTGAGAAATGATCCACTGTTTTCCAAAACAGCTTCACCACTTTACAGTCCCATCAACAATGCACATGGACTCTAATATCTCTGCCACTTCACCAATATTTGTCATGTTTTTCATTTTAGCCATCCTAGTGAGTGAAAAATGGTGTCTCACTGTAGTTTTGATCCATGACTTTTATGTCCTCATCTGTCAGCTCAGTAAAACTGGATTTTAAAATATCTACCTTTAAATTTTCTATTTTTAGAATTCCAAACATTTTAAAATTCATCTTATTCTTTTTTACAACAAGTTTCTCTCAGTTCTTAGGTATGTCCCATCCTTCTATGAGCATGTATTTGACAAACACCAATACATAGCAAAACAGGGATAGAGTTGGCAAATTAATTAATATACTATTTATATGTAGTTCTTTCTCCTTATTTCTTGAGAAATAATTATAATGCAGTTCGATTAAGAGATATGCTTGAAGATATTTGACAGATTGGTGTCTTGCTATAAAATTAATTTATGTTTTTTAAAGAACACATGATTTTCATTGGCCCCAAACTTTTTGCTCAAAGCATATTCTCTTAAACAGTTAGCCTTGGCAATGGTAATGCAGTCTACAATGTAGTTGGAAAACTGTGTGGCTTTCTGCACTGCTTTTCCTCTCCAGCTCTATCTCCAATAAGTAGCCTTAAGCACAACTCTAGCACTATGCATTACAAAGTATTGATGCTTGACATATGTCTACAAACAGCTATGGAGCAGAGAACTGGATCACTTTTTTTTTTTTTTGTCAACATCTTCTAGCAATTAGAGAAATGCAAATTAAAACTACACCTCACTCTAACCAGAATGGCAATTATCAAGATTATAAGTAACAACAAATGTTGGCAAGGATATGGGGGAAAGGGTATAGTCAAACATTGTTGGTTGAATTGCATATTGGTACAACCAATCTGGAAAGCATTATGAAGTCATCAGAAAACTAGGAATTGGAACACCACTTGACCCAGCTGGCCCACTAGTTGGTATATATCCAAAGGAGTGAAAATCAGCATACTATAGTGACACAGCCATATCAAAGTGTATAGCAGCCCAATTCACAATAGGTAAGCTATGGAATCAACCTAGGTGCCCATCAACAGATGAATGGATAAAGAAAATGTAGTATATATACACAATGGATTATTATTCAATCATTAAGAAGAATGACTTTGCCAGCAAATAAATGGGTCTGGAAACTATCATGCCAAATGAAATAAGCCAGTCCTAAGAAACCAAAGGTCAAATGTTTTCTCTGATATGTGGAAGCTAACCCACAATAAGGGGCAGGGAGGGGAAGAATAAAGGTTCAGTAGATTAGACATGGGGAATAGAGGAAATAGAAAAAGAAAAGGCAGTGGAATGAATCTGACATAATTTTCATATATATATGAAAACACCACAGTGAATCCCTCAACAACAAGGATTCTAATTAGAATAAGACATATTCCATGCTTGTATAATTATATCAAAATGGGTCCTACTGATATGTATAACTAAAAAGAAACAATAAAATATTTTAATAACATTAAAAAATGAAACAATTATCCCATTAAGAAAAGATATTAAAATTCAAGCTTGCAAAAATGATGCATGTGACAGAAAAAACTCATTTTTCCCAGGTGGAAGTTTGTAGCATCTTCCAAAAGCCAAGAACACCTTGGTACCCGCCAAACTACTGGCATTACCCACCTCATGTGCTCTCTGCTGTTCCAATAGATGCTGATAGTTGCCTGAAATCTCTACTGCTAACTTTTGTTCCGTTTGGACCAAGAATTCCATCCATGTTTCACATTTTTCCAAGAAAGTCTGATGTTGTAGTAAAAATGACTGCAACTTACTGACAGAATGAAGGATATGTAATAATAGTTATTTTGCTCTTTATTCTTATACCTCTAACATATAAAACTAGATTAAATATTCTCTGTCTCCAATTCTAACTGAATCAGTGCATAGCTTTCATGCTGTGTAGCAAAATTTAAAAAAAAGAAAGATTGAAAAAAGTAACAGTTTAAAATATTACATTTTAAAAATAATGAAAATTTTGCATGTCCCTCAAATATATTCTTACTTTGGAGCTTTTTTTCCTGAATATGAAAAACCACTTTACAATATGAGTTTCCCACATTTAGTATCAAGTTTTCCAGAGCTAACAGAATAACCTGAAATTTGTAAATACACACAAATCATAAACTTCTATTGGGCTGACAGATTAGGGCTTTGGTTTGGATGTGTCCCCTCCAAAATTCAGGCCATGAGGACTTCCCCTTTGTGAGTGATGGTAAAGCCCTTAAAAAGAGTCTTCAGGCTGCCTTTGGTTCTCTTGGCCTTCCCCCTTTTGAGGATGCAGCATCCTGCCTCTCTGGAGGATGCAGCAAGAAGGTACCATCTTAAAGAAAGCAGCTCACTAGAAAACCAAACCTACTGGCACCTTGATCTGGAACTTCCCAGACTCCAGAACTGTGAAAGAATACATTTCTTTTCTTTCTAAGTTATCTTTTCTATAGTTATTTTGTTACAGCAACACATGCTTCTTCCTTTAACAAAACACATTAAGCCAACTGGGGAGACCAAAATATCTCGTTTACCTGAATCTTTCTGTAGTCTGAGAGGAGTTCTGAGACCAGTGGCGGTTCAGATTTTGCATCCTTTTGATTTCCTTATCATTCAGCGGTAGCCTATATCCCAGTTCATTTAGACGGTCTAAATCTGGAGCCATGCTGCTGAATTTTAACATTTGTCCCTGCAAACAAGATTGAAGGGCAACTTCAGCATCAGCATCAGAAAAGGCACCAGTGTTTTAAGGCACAAAGTAAATTTCTGATTTCAGGAAGAAGCTGATCTTTGGCCTTCTAGACCACTTGCCTGCAATCTCCAGAGGTACAACAAATAAGGAAAAGCTGAATCTCATCAGCTTACACCATTATGGCTGTTATGCTACCTAACTACTCATTACCCTTTGTTGGGTGTTAATAGGTTGGTTTATTATTCACATGATTTATTTAACTCATATGCAATTCTCAGTAGAAGTGACAAAGGATGAAAATTACACCGAAAAGGTTTATTCCTACTCTTCTATATTTAATTTATTTATGTTTATTGTTTCATTATTTAATAATAATAATGGTTATAACAGCATAGTTAACATGTATTGAATTCTTACCATGAATCAAACATTGTTGTAATAGCTTTATAAGAAATCACACATTTTAAACTCAAAACAAACCCAGGAGCTAAGTACCATTGCTATTCCCTCTTTACAAATGAGTAAATAAGGAGACAAAAACCTAAATAAATTGCTCAAAACCATCCAGGCAGTAAGGGACCCAAAAGTTGGCTGGGCTCTTTCTGGATAGAATGCAATTTCACCTGAGCTTTGAAATGACACGTGTTGCTTTAAAAGCGTCTCTCTTAGGTCCCTGAAAGGAAATAGGTCTACACCAGTTCTGAGTTTTCCTGAAGCTTCTGAGGAAAGACACTAGAAGATGTGGGAGGAAGACTTGGATGCACGCACCTTCAGTTCTTCCATCCTCTCCTGGATGGTGGAGAGGTCAGAGGAGTGGGTCGGGTCTTGCTCTTGCAGTATTTCCTGGGCTTCCACCATCCAGCCCTCCAGAGCTTCTAAGCTCTTGGCAAAGGTTTCATAGTCAACTACTCCAGCCTTTTTTACACAAAAGAAATTGGTATTTTAGTGAAATATATTAGTTTTTTAGTGAAATCTCATGAAAGGGTAAGTGGATTTGGAAATTATTTTTCACATTCTTATATCAAATTGACATTTATGAGATGCTATTTCTGAAAAACCAAGGCTATAATGATTTAAGTTTTCTTTTCTTTATTTATGTCATTTTTCTAACAAGAAGAATTATTTCTAGGTACCATTAACCAATAACTGAAGTTATTCTCTAAATAAATTATGAGACATTTGAAAAAATTCCAATTCTTGCAAAAACCTAAGTTAAATATGAATATTAATACTGAAGCCACTTACTATTTATTAATTGGACATACTATGGAGGCAGGCATGGTTTAGGGGTTTGTCAATAGACTAATTTTAAAATTACATTGAAGGCAACAAGACCAAACCCCTTACCTTCCTCTGCCCCCACTGGAACTCCCAAGTTTGCTTTCTTTTAATTCTTTGGTCCTGGGGGAGGCATTGCATCAATGTGGAAAATTCCATTTCCTGTGTCTATTCCCAGACACTGTAGGCCACCCAGTTCATAACACACACTGAGCATGAGCTCTGTACCTGTAGCACGGTCTGCTGTTTGCAAAGAGCCTGCTCCAGGGCACCTAGGTGTTGAGTCAAAGAGAGCTGATCGGACTGGACGGCTGAGGCTGCTGAAGCACCCACTTGCTGCTTGAGCTGCTCTCCCAGCTCATGGAGAACAAAAAGGGAATCCTTTACTGTCCCCAGTCCTTTGAGGAGGTCCTGTAGGAGACGAAATCATTATGCCCACCAGGAAACATCATGCAGTCAACAAAGGGCCACCCATCTAGGTAGATATAGACACAGATGTCTGTCTAGATGCGTGGTCCTTAGTTGTGGATGGACACAATACCTTAGTTTTTTATTTATTTATTTTTATGTGGTGCTGAGGATCAAAACTGGTGCCGCATGCGTGCTAGGCAAGTGCTCTACTACTGAGCTACAACCCAAGCCCAAGACATAGGCAATTCTTAATTGTGAAAATATTACACTAAATAACTTTCAACAGCAAAAAAAAAAAAAAAAAATGACTAGGAAGCAAACTCAATTTTTAAAAATATTAATCATGTGTATCAACATTCTAAATACGTGTGTTTACATACCTAACACACACACACACACACACATACATGCACACTCACACACACACACACAAGTACTCTTTTGGTAATAAAAGCTGCATAGGTTCATTAGAGTTTATTGGGGAGAAATGTAGAAAAGCATACATAAAAAAGGAAAAGAACCCTAGTAGAAGCAATAACTAGAAACATTTTGATAATTTGTTCCTGTATCTTTATGTGCTTGGTATCAAATTAAAGACACAGTGCTATGTTTTAGGTTATCCTACTTATTTTTATTATATACACCAAGAATTAGTGCAGCCATGGTATCTTGTGTATGTATCTTTTATGGTTACAACCACCACCACTTCAGCAGGGTATAGCACCCAGTGGTGACTCAGGCGAACAGGGTAGGCTGGTTTCACCCCTATTCTTTCTATGGCATCTCTCACCTCCACAATTTGTGCAGCCCATTAATGCTCAAAAATACATGTCAGAGAATAAATTAATAAATGTTTCACTTTGCTAATATATTAAGCATGTTATGAGAACCAAAAATTAAGTAATTAAAATGAAACAAACTATTAAAAAAATACATGTCAGAGGAAATTCCCTGGTTCTGGTTTCTACCCCTGCTAAGAGACAACAAGTAGCTACTTCGATTTCTGCTGGTCCCCACCCAGATGTGGCAGAGAGTACAGAATCTGCCAGACCTGCACAGGGACCACTGCGAGAGGAGGAAAAATAAAGGGCTCTGTTAACCTTGACAGTGATAGCAGATGACTCAAGAGAACTGAACAAATCTTGTAGGGGTCAACTATGTGGAAAAACCCCAGTTTATCTTCATTATACATATTAATCTCTTCAGCTTTAAAATAATTACTCAGACTGATTACTCAGAATGTATTAAACTTTTATTTCTACAGTTTTCATAACTTGCCTAATTCTAATAAACTAATTTGGGAATGTTTAAAAGAAGACTTCTGTGAGGAGTCCACTAAAATAAAGACAAAGGAGGACGGATGGTAAGAGCCATGTAATGGATGAAATAAGAGAAGAGCCTTTCTTGAAAATCTTAAGTAGGTTATTGGCAGCTGTAGTGAAAAGAGAATTATCTACAAGCTATAAAGAAGAAGTATGTAAGTAAATCAAGAGAGAAAGACTTCTTTCTCCCATTATTTCTTAGAGGAAACTATTAGGTAGATGCTTTCACAGTAAATAACTAACTTATAAATGTGTGTGGATGATATCATGATATATTTAACAGTAGATTTTAAAAACATTATTCAATAGGATATTTTTCTCCATGTAGTCAGTTTTATCTTGACCATCTCAGCTAAAACATATAACCCATTTTTCACATGAATTGTATTCCATTGGGAAATATGGGAAAACAATTCTTTTTTAAAAATGGAATAATAAGAGGGGACCCCATAAATCTTATACACATGCAATTGTGTTCTGAAAATCCAGGAGGCTATTTAATACACAAGACAATAATTTTTGGATGATCATCTCACATATTGAGACATATCCGAAGGCTACACACATAAGCCCCAACCCTGCTAAACTTAGGGCGGCCAAGAATGACCTTCTGGGTCAACACAGTAGTTGCCAAACATACATTACAATCCTGGATCCATGTAGCCACTTCCTCGTCTGCGATGTCCTTGTTGGTGGCGGCCTTCAATAACTCATTGGTTCTGTCCTCCTGCTGCTGGACTGTAGAGGCACACTGTTTGGAGTAGTCCTTGTATCTCTGCCAGAGCTGAAGGAGGGCCTTGCTGGAGAGCAGCTGCTCAGCAATCTCTTCCAACAAGTTATTCCATCTGGAAATAATAGCCAACACTCATGGGCAGATTATCATCTCTCACCAAATGCAGTTATTTACTATTTTATTTTTCATGATCCTGGTTCATGTGAATATGAAAATAATGCTGGGATGACTCATTCTCTTTAACATCATAAAAAGTAACTTGTCACACTCAGATTTCAGGGGTTGATAATGGAGATGAGGATAATCTTTATGGATGTGGCAGTTCTAGTTCTTCCTAAATGGTGTCAATCTATGTATCCTTAAACTCATTTAGTGAAAATCAAAACATTAATAGAACAGAATCCACAGAATTCAAATACAAAATGTCAAATTCAACCTTATAATAAGGTTGGGATATAAATAGTATGTAGTAAGCATATGCCATACCTCATATTGACTTCTTTCAATGTATTGGTGAGAGTTTCTGTCACAGGTGGGTGACATTCTTTTAACAGTTGGTTGGTGACAGAGCCAAATTTTTGTAAGCTCTTTTCCTGCTTTTCTAGATCATCATGAAGACTCTGCCCAAGGAGAGTGATAAGCAAGTTTAAAATTATTAACAGATTTATGTACATATATGGCTTTGCTCCAATGCTTGATAAGCTTTCTTTGGTAGTCATTTCTTCTCTTTCTAATGACTTTGTTCTTATGGCTATGAAGAGGTAGGCTTAGTAACTGAACCTTCTACTGACACTGGGGATTAATCTGGAGAAGCTCACTCAGGGTGTCACTGTCAGGAGCCGGCAGGAAGCTGTGGGGGAGGTGCGTGTCCATCTGTCACATTCTGGTTCCCTTTGATTCCCAAAGCCAAAACCCAGGTCTCTATTACATGCTTAGAGTAATTCTCCCACAAACACCTGACAACTGAGATTCCAAGTCAAAACTTTTCTGAGAACCAACTCTGGGTTCTGTCACTGGATGTCTTTCCCTTGAGAAGAATTTTAAATATTTAATTGTATTTTTAATTGACAAATAATGATTGCATAGATTTATAGGGTATCATGTGATATATTTGATATATTTTACATTGTGGGATGACTCAGTTAAGTGATTGACATATCATTGCTTCACATATCAGTGTTTGTCTAACAGAACTCACAGAAGCTGGAGCAGAATGGCAGTCACCAGGTAAGATGCTAATCAAAGTTTACAGAGCTTCAGATAAACAGAGGGAATAAGCTACAGAGACCTAGTGCACAGAACCGTGGCTATAATTAATAATAATGCATCATATATTTCAAAAATGCTCAGAGCAACTATCATAGTGGAGTCTTCCACTGAGGATGGGAGGAAACTAGTAGAAAGATTTTTTCCCTGGAAAAATCACTGTAGTGACAGACTCACATCTTAATAAAATTTCACTGGTGAAGCAGGCTGAAAAAAATTAGCACTATTTAACACCAACATCTGATTGCCCTTAAATCAAAATATTCAAGGAAAAGAACCTTAATCCCTTCATATCTTAAGACAATTCTGGCAGATATAAAACATGGAATATGTTAAATTAAAAAGTACTTCTAACTTTCTCAAAGTGATGATGTAATTTTTAAATCTACTATACTCAAAATGAGTTTTCATGATTCTTAGTATGTTTAATAACTAAAGTTTAAAGGAATTACATTCATATATTTCATCTTTCCTCCCTCTCATCTTACCCAATAAAAGTATTCCCTTAAGAAAATCTGCAGATGAGGTCTGAGCATATCAACTTTGATAGCCAAGCCAGGGACAGGGACATGGAGTAGAATTATAAAGGGCACAGGCTGGGCTCCTGCTGGCATCCCATCCCTCAAGGGCCTGCCCTGACCAGCCCACCATCTACATTATTTAGTCAAGAAGAAAGAGTAGCAACAGTGAGCATGGCCCAGTGCCCAGGGAGCACAGGAGTGAATTGGAGGGCAGCTACCTGAGATAGGAGACAGTGCCGTGTTTAAGAACAATAGCCACCCCCTGAATTGTAAACTGAACAAAACGGTAATGGAGAGACAGGAGACCAAGCTGTAAGGGCTGAAAAAGAGGATTGTGTGGACACATGGGCTAGGCCACTGGCATGATACTGAAGGGAAGGAAACCACTTAATGGTTTAAGTGTTTACCATTCCTTACTATTTTTCTCTTTAATCCCTTAAAATATGCTTGGAGAGGCAGGATAAAAAGAGAAAGGGAAGACATCAAAGGCAGTGCCAACTGTTCCAGTAAGCTGATTTGGATATAAAAATCATCTTACAAAACACAATTACAGGAATATCTGTATAATAGGATGTTAATAATCACTTGGTTAAATACCAGCTAATCCCGAATTTGGTATCCAAGAGCAAATTTGATTAAGTCACAAGAAACGGGCTAAAATTAATTTTAAAGATTTTTCAAAACATTAAATGTAAAGATACGGCAATATTTCCGGTGATGTTGCTGTTTTCTGGTTTTTCCATTTTTCTCAAATTGAGAAGAATGTATGGATGCTTTGTATTCATTCCTTACCTGAAGGTTGTCCACCTGCACTCGCACGGCTTCTAAGGAGCCGGTCAGCAGGCGGAATCGGGACAGAGAATATCTGGCTTCCATGAGGTAACTGTTTATTTCGTCAAAGGCCATTTTGTGATTGCTCCATTGGTCAAGAACTGATTTCAACAGTATCTTTAACTGCCCAACCTTAGGAAAAAGATGAGCATTTGTTATCATTAAATAATTGTAAAAATGATGGCATATATGTCCCACTTGATGAAAAACATCTAAAAACCTCGGACAGATTTCAGGCATTGTTAAGAAAGCGCTGCCTCAGAGAAAAGGAAAGGCCCACAGCTACAGATGGGCCAGGCCTGTCCTAAGGAAGTCACAAGGCACACACAATAAGGAAAGGAGCGCCATGAGGGTTTTTAAATAGCCTATTTCTTCTTTGTCTTGTGCTTGTTTTTCATGAGGCAATATTTCCATGAAAGAGCTACTTAATTTATACTTAGGTGATAGATTATCTCTAGACATTTCTGTGATATATAAAATTTTTACAATAAAACACGTTTCAAGTCAGGCTGAAGATGAGGAAAGGCTAGAGGAGAAAGGGAGTCTGGGCAGGGTGCATGGGCTGCAGGAATCCTTTGCCGTCAGTCCCTGTCCCTTAACCTCTGTAGCTCAGATCCCATCTCTGTACTGTGTGGATAGTAACTATCTGTACAAGTACATGCTGAAGGGCACTGGGGCTCATACCGCAAGGACTACTGTTTGTTGATGCACTTTTTCTTACTATTGGAGGATTCTACACTTCATCCAACACGTATTTGTCAAATGTCTTCACTGAGCTTATATCTTGGAGAAAGAACTTTAAACACACAAGGGAATGACGTGGTATGCTAGAAATCGATATATTAGAGGAGTAAAAGCAAAGCAGATCAGAGTCGGGGGTGAAAGGTAAGGAGAAGAAGGCTGTCATTTAAAACAGGTGGTCAGGAAAGCCCTCCATGAGATGGGAACCTGAGCAAAGGCTTTGAGGACAGGGAAGGAACCATGTGATACTTGGACGAAGGTGTTTCAGGCAGAAGGAACAGCAGAGCAAAGTCCTTGAGTGGGGGACATGCCTGCTGAATTCAAGGGTATTGGGAGGTCAGTGTAGCAGAAGCAAAAGAACCTCCAGGATATCAGCAAGAAATGAAGAGAGAGAGAGAGAGAGAGAGAAAGAGAGAGAGAGAGAGAGAGAGAGAGGGAGAGAGAGGCGCGTGCAAGCAGCAGCAGAGAGAGTGTAAGGCCAGATCATTACCAGGCAGGCTTTGGTCTCATTCTGAACAAGACAAGAAGCTACTATGAGAGTTGGACAGAAGAATGGTATAATCTGACTGCCTTGTTAATCAGCACCTCTGCCATGGAGACTGTTTAGGAGGCCACTAAAAATAATCAAGACCTGTTTGCTAGCTGCAGAGGTGGGGATGGGGTTTGGATTCTAATGTGTTCTGCAAGCACAGCTGACAAGCTTTTCTGATGAACTAGGTATCGGTGATGAGAGAAAGAAATGTGAAGAATGACTCTGAGGTCCTCTGCCCAGGCAACGAGAAGGGCAGAATTGTCAATAACCAAGATGGCAGAATGAGTCGGTTTGCGGGGGGTGATTAGAAGTTTGAGCATGGAAGTTTGAGATGTCCCTTGATCATGCAAGAGGAGAATTATATACTGATTGGATGTCTACCTCTGTCTCTGTCTTGAGTTCAGGAGAGAAGATTAAGGCTGGGGATAGACACTGAAAAATTATTTGTGCCTAGACAGCTTTGATAGCTATGACAACGGATGGGAAATGTTTATAATAATGATTACTATGGAAAACCACAGAAACTAGCCTGTTGTTTTTTAAAGGAGGTTAATGAAATGGGCTTAAGAGTACAAAGAGACGATAGATTCAATAATTATTTACTCGATTACTTTAAGAAACCCAAAACACAGAGTTAGGACAAGAGCTGGCGAACACAGTCTTGGAGCCAGTCTCCTCAAGTAGTATTACCATGTGGTCCAGATTTGCCCAGGCTTGGTTGAGCTCCCGCAGGGTGCTCATGACAGTGCCAGAGACTTCTTCTTTTTTGTTCTGAATCAAAGTAAGTCCATTCTGCTCAATTTTCTCTACTTCTTTTTCTTTGGCTTTAATCAAATCTTCTAGATCCTGAAAGGTTTAAAAAATAGTCATTTTAAATTGTTCTATTATGAAACTCTGGGGTGCAAAGAAATTGAGCCATTACAATTTTATGTACTAAAAACCTGTTACACATCCCAAAAGATTATCATTCCCAAAAGAGGGTCTCCACAGCAATACTTCTTCCTACACTTAAATGTGAAAAAATAGTCTTTTTGTCTAGGGGATATCAGCATAACCTAAAAAATGTAAAAATCTGATTACCTACTAGATGAATAAATGGTATCATGCCATTATTTCAAAAAGTTTCAGGGAAAATACATGTTGGAATTGGTAATATGATTTATCTTCTTAAATTCATAGACGTTGCTATTCATATATGAGTGCAGCTCATAGGAAAAAATTCAAGAGAGTAGTGTCTGAGACTTAGACTCATTTCTGCTATTAAGCTGTATCATTTTGGGTAAGTGGGAAATTTCCATTGGGCCTCAGTTTCTACCTTTGGGAACTCAGAAGACTGGGAAAATTTTTCTGTTATCCTTTCTCTCTAAAATACTCTGATTTTGTGTAATTCTGAAAGTTATAGACTTTCATTTTCTTTAGGACGTGCATTTTCTACTGTCACAATGAAACGTTGAAGAGAGAAAAATAAAATGAGGAAGAGCTCTGAAGCTCATTGTAACCATATATCAGAATCCTAACTTACATTTTAATGTCATTTGAAGACTCGAGCTCAGTGAAGCAGACAGAGACTGCCATGAGCACTTTAAGGACAAATAAATGCAAGGTGAAGCGACCCAATGTCCCTCAGGTCCCAGAGCTGATAAAAGTGGGAGGGGCAAGCAGAACCCAAACCTTTCAGCCTCCTGACTCCCAGCCCCTGCTGGAGGTTCCACTGAACCCAAAACTGCACAGGGTGCAAACCCCAGGCCAGGGTGATAGGATAAGACAGGCACATGCTTACATTCCTATCCTCAGGAGTAAAAAATAGATTTGAAGGCCCCAGATGGTAGAAAGGAGAAAATCTCCAAATACTTTAAGTTTGGATAATGTCATAATTATGTAATAAAGATTTTAACCTCTTCTCATGACCCAGATATTGGGAATGGGTAGCTGTGGATAAGGTATTAATGAGTACCATTTATTATTAATTACAAATTTTGTGCCTCTTATTATTATTGCCTTTTTTGTTTTTGTTTCTGTTGTGATTCAACTTTTTTCAACTGTTTCCACTTCATTTGGAACATAGGGATAATAATACATTTTCTGCTTACTTTTCTAAAGGCATAAAATTAGATAAATGTATATGAAATATCTTTTAAGCTATCAAAAACTAGCCAATTGCAAGATAATGTATTCAGCTATTTGGCAATCTGCCACACTTCAGTGAAATCTATTTATTTTTTTTATATTGTAAATCTATTTATTTTTTAGCATGAAGCAATTTTTATTTGGTGTATGAATTAGAAATTCATGCATTTAGCAGCTTAGAGAGAGCATTTTTGTTTTTCATACTGTCCTATCATGTCTACTTTATAATTCTGTCAATATCATGACAGCTTTGGCAACTGCAAAACGAAACTTGTGACCACTGAGATTACAGGTCTTTTATGCAGTATAGAAAATATAATTACCTTTACATTTGAAAATCTTTTCTATTTCTTTAAGAAATAATTAACCACACATAAGAATCCTAAGTTATATTTAATAATATATAATTCTTATATATTTAATTCACTCATTAGAAATTAAGTTTATCTCCATTTATCCACAGGTGTTAGTGCTTTTCAGTAAATGGTATTAAGCAATACATCTCAAAAATGCCCTGATCATGTACGTTGGCATAAGAGCAAAACCGAGGAGGAAAACAGAAATATATTTTTTTAATAAAATAAAGGTGTGTTTTCCCTTCCTTTAAGTAATAATTAAAAGATGGTTCTGTTTCTGATCAATGAAGCTAATCAGAAAGACCAAACCTAACATTTTTTGTTCTAATAAATCATTCTCAGCTGGGATTAAATCATAAATATCAGTTTTTATGTTACATTAAATTAATAAATCACTTCTAAAAGACTGGAAAAATATTCAAGATTTTTAAAGCAAAATAGAGTTTGAATCCAGCCACTGATTTAAGTACGCTGGCTTGAATTTCACACTTTAGTCCAAAGGCACAATTTCTCAAAAATGACAATAAATTTTATCAAGGTTTGTAGCATCGCCAAATAGAACCTTTCAGTTACGCTATTGTGATTTATGTATAATGTCCCAAAATAACTGTGTGGGCTACTTTCTTTCTGGTTTTTTGGTTTCAAAGAGATGACTTTTCATCTTAAATCACAAACTGGCATTGGTATAGAGCTTTTAAAACCCCAATGTAAACTTTCTCTCCTGACATTGCCTGAACTGACCCTCTGGAAGACAAAAACTTTGGTCCTAAAAGGAGTAAAACCTGGACAAGCTTGAGTAAGATTTTCCAGATAGCGGTGTGTCTCTCTGTTGAACAGAAGACACACATAGAAAAAGAAACTAAATAGAAAATGGCAGAAAAAAGCACATTAAAGAGAAAAGGGGGGAAAAAAAAGGTGAGTAAGTAACTCAACCAAAGGCCTGACTTTCCATCTTTAAAAATAAAATTTTCAAAATTCTGAATTATTTATTTTTGAATTCGTAGCCTTAGATTAGAAGGTATGACTGGCCCCTAAGGAACTGGAAGTGCTGCACAGTTCTGATCTCCAGTCTTCCACATTCCCATCTTCAGATGTGAGGCATTTTAAAAAATGATTATTTAAAAGTATCTTCCTTTTGGAGGTTCCTTGTCATCTTTATGCACCTTCAAACTTACAGCCCATTAGCTGGGGAGCACATGGTCTTCCTTCTCTGAATCCCGAGGCTCTGACTGAATGCTTAAATATATAAGTGCTCTCGTTACATGTGTCCCAAACAGAAAACACATTACTGAGAAGGAAAATAATTACCAAAGCCCTTTCTTTTCTAAATCTAAATTAGAGAAACAGATTTGGGGAAGGAGTTTTTTCATATGATTACTCAGTTGAGTTTTTCATGGTTCATAGGGAACACTGTAAAAGAACAGTTCTAGGTAATCTGAGAATAGTGCAAGTTAGTACATTATTTTATTTTATTTTTCAGTACATTATTTTAAAGCCAATTTTATTGCAGCATTAACTGTAACACATTTCTTTTGTTTCTTTGTTTTGATTTGGACTCTTTATTAGCAATGATATTGTTAGGTACATAGATTTTTTTAAAAAAATTATTTTATTTATTCTAATTGTTGTATACATAAGAATCCCCAAGGAAATGTTAGTTATAGGAAAACATTTGGAACGGGACAGCTCCATCCTCCACCCTCGTCAAAAACAGAGAAGCAGACTCTGTGAGCTTTCCTAGGTGACAAATAGGGAAGAACAGGGTCTTCTGTCAAGCATGTGCCTTGGAAAAGAGATATAAGTACAATCAGGCCTCTGGAGCAGAGTTCCAATTGCAGGAAATACAGAGGTGAGAAGTCAAGTTAAATGATAACTTTAGGAAATGCTCAGACCAGTCCTGAGCATGGGCCAGTCTACAGTTTCTGTAACAAGTGAATGGTATCAAAAACAAAACAAAATAATAATAATAATAAATAATAATTAAGGAGACTTAAGAACTCCAACAAGCAAATGTGCCATAAAGATATTGTATTCTTTGAATAAAAAAGATATTTTAATGGCAATTAAGGGAATATGATTAAAGAGTTGAATATGAAATAACATTAAGGAGTTATTGTTAAAATTTTGTGGTGATATTATGGTTGCATAAGAAAATATATATTTCAGAGATGTGTATTATAGTATAGAGGATTAAAATGACATGATATCTGGGGGGGGGACTATGACATCTTGATGAAAAAAGAAATAATCCAGGCAAAATGCCTGAAATCTTGCTAATTCCCAGTAAATGGAATTCACTGATTTCTCTCTACTTATGACTATATTTGAATAGTTTCTTAATTTCAAATTTTTTAAACAGGTGAAAAAAGCCCAATAAACTCTTATCAGCTCCTATCATCAGAGAAATCTGTTACCAGATTTATTTCAATTTTTAAAAGTATTTAACTTGTAATTTCAGACCCTATAAACTCCTTTGGCATATGCTGTGAAGTTATGAAACGGTGCATGAGAATCAGACCACTTACCTGACAATCTTTCAGTGTGTTCTGAACGGAAGCCTGATCTCCAATTTGATGTTGCTGTTTCAGTTTCTTTTCCTGGGTTTCGAACCAAGTTTTTAGACACTGCACATTATTTTCATATTCTGACCAAGATTCCAGCAAGCCTTCTAATAGCTGGATCTGAACAAACACAGTGAAAGGAAACTTGTGATTTTTATGTTGAAATCAAATCGTGAGAAGGCTAATTAGTCTGGACATTATTTCCTGCACCTTAAGAATTCTTAAAATACCACCCCGTTGTACTTGTATTTTAAAACATTAATTTTATTAAGTGCAAATCAATGTGCATTATTGGTCAGCAAGAGAGAACTAAAATCAGCTTGAAGTAAAGGCAAGGGGAATTTAGATGCATCTTTAAAGAACACACAAAATGTACCAAGAGCGGATAAGAGGGCCAAAGGCAGGTGAGAGCTAGGCCGGGTTCACTGCCATGGTCCCGAGCAGCTAGGGCCCCGTGCAGCCCTACTACTTGTGAGATGAATTTTCCTAATAGTGAGCCTGTCTCTGGAGCTTCCTGGAAATGTGGCAGCCACAGGCCACCTGGCGTACCTTCTCAGTTACCAGACCTTGCAGGATTTGCCAGCTTTTATTCATTGCTCCCAGCTGCTCAGCAAAATCAGTCTTGTCACTGCGCTTGCTCTCCACATCCTGACTGCTGATTTGTAGTACAGACTGGTTCACAAAATCGACCGTCAACTGTTTACAGTTTATGTCTATCTTAAAACCCTAAAAAAAGGAAGAAATAGGAAAACAAGTTTGTACACGTTAAAATGTCTTATCACATGGGAAGGAGGAAAGCCTTAAATGACAGTAGTATTGATATTATCACTTTGCACAAGTGACATAATGTATAAAATATTGATCCATTATTTTCAGAAGTTGAATTACATATTTGTATATGTTATTCAAACATACACACACAGATATACATATTTAAGCAGAAGATATAGAATTTGGTAAATTACATAACCTCCCTATAAAAATATTTCTCAATTATATTTATTTTATGATACCTAAGATTTTTTCAAATAAAAAGATTACTAAAAGTTATCCCTAACACCCGGCAACCTTTCTGTGCCAATTGCTAGGGATGCAATTTTCTTGTTTTTGCATGCCTATCAGGCCACTATGTATGAAATATATGTTCCAAGATCTAATTTCATGATTTGAGTTTTGGAGTTCTTTCAAATAAAATGGTATAAATATGTAAAAGTTGAAAACAAAAAAAAAGTGTTAATTACTTTATATTTTTGAAGATATTCATGAATTGCCTTGTAACCTATGGCATTTTTTATGTCCTCTTCATCCTTTCGGATAACACTTTCCATCAGAGAAATCCAACCCATGACTTCAGAAATGGCATGGCGGGAAGGCAGCTTGTCCATTTGGAGCTGTCCATGTCAGAGAGAGAACAAGTTCAAGAATTAAAATCCAACCCAATTTTTGGGCTAACATAGACTACATTAGTTCTTACCAACGTACCAATAGAAATAACACTTGTCATGTCATTTTTAGATCTTAGAAGCTTGAAACATCAGGCAAGCATTGAACAATACTAGTCATTTTATGTGCACTTGACATCTAATACTATAAACATTGTGTAAATATTAACTAATTAATCAAAACACCAGCAAGAAGAAAATATTGTTCTTATTTTATAGCTAGTTTTATGAGTTTTAAAAATGTGTAACAACAAAACATTTAACAGATGTATTTTATTAATTATCTTGTAAAATCTCTGTGTATTATGACTCAGGAATGTTAAAAGAAGGAAGAAAAACACCACACTACAAGCTATCAATTTCTAGATTTTTTGGCACGCTAATATTTATTCCAAAGAGCATAGCCAATTTTCTGAGTCTTTCAAATATACTTAGAATTCTGAATTTTACTTAATGTATCACATTTTTATGCATATACTTATATTGCTTTGAAAGAACAAAGGTAACTACTTTGAAATATTCATAGATCAACTTCTGTGTGGTGGAAATGAACATGAGATTGTCCTGCCCTCCAGGAATGGAGAAATGCTGATTTGGGAGAACTAGGGCATATACACTGAACCCACTCGATGCACAATGGTGAAGGTAAAAGGGGAAAAGATAAAGTGTTTTGGGATTTCAGGGGTGTTTGGTGCATTTGCAGATAAGAAGGGAGAAGTCATGGACCAAATCTTATTCCCCATAACAGACCCCATATGGGATGAGACTGTACCATAGACTGGGTCACTTCAAGACATCGCAGTCATCTTGTTTTGTGTAAATACATTCTATGATATTTGTATAATGATAGATGTCCCAAGGACACGTTTCTCAGGACACATCATTGTCATTAAAGGATGTTTGTACTGACATTTATCAAGTGCCAGTTGTGTTCTTGTATGTAGGCTAGTAGACCTTTTACCAGATTATGTTATACATCTTCATAATTACTCATTTAATGTAGCTGCCCTCATTGTATCCAAAAGAAAACAGAGTTTAAATAAAGACAAAGATTCTAATACACACACACATTAAAGAAGTTTTGGGAAGAAACATTATCTCAGTGGGGATTTGTAGAATAATTTTTAAAATGTAATGTACTAGAAGAGAGAAAAGACAAGTTGTAAGACACAGGTGGTTTAAATTTGTGAGCCCAAACAGATTAATGTAGTTCTCCACTTACTATGACTTACATAAATTATTACTAAATAAACCAATCTTTGTTTCCCTACCTGGTGAAGCTTCTCTTGTATAGCTGGAATATTGGTCAGCAGTTCAGTCCACTGGCCATCAATGTGAGACAGCTCAGTACGAAGGGCAGCTGTATCCACCTTCTTTAATCGAAGGAGCTGATTTCCTGTGCTTAGGACAGATGATTTCAGGGAAGATTTGGCATCCACTTCTTTAGAAAACTCCTAAAAGAAGTAACAAAGTTCGAATTAGGATTAAATAGTTAGGTCTGTCATTTCAGTGCACAAAACAATTTTTTCCTACATCTTGAGGGAAGTGTTATATAGATCCTTCTAGAAGGAAGCAAAAAAGCATATGTTTGCCTGCAAATGAAGTGAATTGCTACTTGGAACTATTTGCAAAAAAGAATGCTGACTATAAATAGAGATGAGTCCCATTAGTTTGGTAAGTACTAAACACATATATTTAACATTGATAAATACTCTACAGCTTAGTTTATTTTTAATATTTATTTTTTGTAGTTGTAGTTGGACACAATAACTTTATTATTTATTTATTTATCTATTTATTTATTTATTATGTGTATGTGGTGTTGAGGATTGAACACAGGACCTTGCACATGAGAGGCGAGCGCTCTACCACGGAACACAACCCCAGCCCCTACAGCTAGTTTTTTAAGGATACCCAGTGACAGCTGATTTCCTTTGTTCTGGGTATGGGTCAGGCCTGACCTATTGGCCTGAAAACCAAAATCAAATCAATGCCTTAGGCTCTCAAACTTACCAGGAAAGCATTCAGATGATCACGGACCATTTCCAGCTCTTGAGGGACTGTCACAGACTGTTCAGTCCAAAATGCTAGCCTGTCTTTTGCAGATTGTAACCAGCGAATCAGATCTGCAGATTCACTTTGATACCTGGGAATATATTAATGAGTCTGTTAAGTAAGCGTTCAGCCCTCATCTTCTACTCACTCATGATATTTGCCAATGCAGTTTGAAAACAAGAGACCTGATAGATTTAGAACCAAAATGCACTAGGTTGATGCTCTGAAATTTTTTTCTCTTAATGTTTATGTCTTGATCAGGTCTGTCTCTCTGCATTTCAACCTCCCATCCCTAAGCAGAAAAAGAAAAGAAAACAACTTTCTCTTCCTTCACACTGTTGCTTCTTAGAAATATTGGGTGATGGGTATATAAAGTTCTTTGAAAAAAGGAAGAAAGTATTTCATTATGTAACAGTTAGCCATCTCCCTTCCCTATATACCTTCCTTTTCCCTGAGAAGCTCGCTTGCTTAATCAACATTTTCTCTTCTCTCCTAAGGCATTATTATGAACACCCAGGTTACAATCATTAGGCAAAGGAGGACAATAGCTTAGAGGTAAGCTGCACCAAGCACCTGCCTCCCTGCTCACTTTGAATTAAGTGTTTATACAATTACAAAAGAGTCCAACTGGGGCTTTCTGTTTGTTATTACTTTCCAAACTGTGCAATTTTCCAAACTTGTGTATCTTTTCCAAGTCAAGCATTCTTATTAATACACTGCAGCTCTTATCCCAAAATATGCAAAATAGATATCCTGTTACCTGGTCCAGTGTTTCAAAATTGTTTCCAATCTGTGAAGTTCTTTAGACACTTTGTTGGTATTATTGAGCCAGCGCTCTCCAAGTTGATTTAGTTGGCTTTCTAGATCTGAGCAGCTGATAGATATCAGAAGTCGTTTTCCATCATCTAATACTTGATATAATTTGGGCTGGTATTCATTAAGGCTGGATTTTAAGTGCTAAAATAATGGCAATATTTGGTTAAAAGTTTGGATACTATATTTTTTGAAAATTACAATTTCTCTGGAGTCCATAACATTCCCGTTATTTGTTATTCAAATATACACTATATGCACCCAATTAACATTGAAAACTTGAAAGTTTCATCAATATCCCAACTAAAAATGTTCTTTTCGTTTTTTAAATTAATTTTAGGTGCATTTAAAACTGTCAATTAATTCAAGAATAGTATGACACTGATAAAAACTACACAAAATTCTGGTGAAAATGCTTGCCAAATTTTCAAAGTGAATTCTCATTTAGAAAGAAAGAAAGAAAGATGTATTTTTTAATGCTGGGGATAGAGCCTATGGCCTCTGCAAATCTAAATGTTCTACAATTTATCTGCACCCTCAGACCCCAAATCATAATTTTTTGTGTGTGTATGTGAGGGGATTGGATCTCAATAAGTAGAGGGGTACTCTACTACTGAGCTACATCTCAAGCCCTTTAAAATTTTTAATTTTGAGACAGGGTCTTGCTATGTTGCTGAGGCTGCCTACAAACCTGTAATCCTCCTGCCTTAATCTCTGAAGTCTGGGATTATAGGTGTGTGCCACCATGCCCCACCCCTCACCCCCTTTATTTTCAACCCAAGGATGCTCTACCACTGGGATGCAACCCCAGCCTTCATTTTATTTTATTTTATTTTATTTTTATGTTGAGACAGTGTCTTACTAAACTGCCCAGGCTGATCTCAAACTTGAGATCCTCCTGCTTCAGCTTTCTGAGACACTAGGATTACAGGTTACACCACTGTGCCCAGCCAAAAAGACTTTTAAAAATATTCTACTATAAGTAACACAGACAAAACTACCTTTTTAAAACAATATCAATAATGTAAAAGAAAAGTATAACTATTTGATCACAAGTTTGTTTAGATTCTGCTAAAATGACTGGGAAGATTCTAAAGGAAATATGGCCACCCATGCCATGGGGATGCAACCTGGTAGAGGCTTGTGCGTTCCGTGAGCCTGTCCTCGCTCTCCTCCACCAGGCCCACGCTCGGGATGCTGTTTTCCACCACCTCCAGCTGCCTGCTGAGTGCTTGGCGGTCTTCGTCCAGATGGGACCATGTCTAGAAACGCAACATCAGTCTATGAGCAGAAGAACCCTCCTTAGGGAACATTATTCCTCCTTGTGCACAAAATATATGCTTGACAAGATTCTCTTTCAGGCTACGTAGGGTTTGCTTTGGGCAGCAAAAGATGGCTTTGAAGCCAGTAATCAGATGGTGGCCCTCAAAATTATTGTAAATGGATACTGGTGACTGCCACTATTACCTCGATCACCATGAATGATACTAAATCTCTGGACTTTCATCAGAATATTAAAATGGGGATCACTACCTTCTCCATCGCTGGTATTAATTATAAATGGAGCAATGCATGTAGTGTCACTGGAGTCTGGTGTGCCTCGTTTCATGCTTTACCCCAGGAAGGAGTTAAGCATAAGGATAGGCATGTTTGCTTTTCAAGAACTGAGTGAACTAAGAATAATAGATTTGTAAATAATGCTTAAAATGCAGACATTTAAAAAATATAAATATCTACTATAGATATTCGGTTAAAGAAAAATATCAAATCACTTATTCCTAAATTCAGACTTTTTTATTATTTGAAGCTGGAAAAGACTTTTAAAATAAACGTCAGTTGAAGTTCTTTCTCATAATTTATAGTGCGGATCAGCAGTTTTTCAATATGCATTTCCACTCTGATGTGCTGCTGGAGTGGCAACAGAGCATAACAGTGAAGGTTCATACTTTTCCCAAATACTGAACAATTGCCAGATCTAGTAGTGAATAAAAAAAAAAAAACCTCAAAATCCCTGGCTCTCTGGAACCTACATCCTAGAGAAGGGAGATAGGCAATCCACAATAAAAATGAACTTAAAAAAATACAAAGAGTAAATTTCAGGGCATACAGAGTTCTTGGGCTGTGGAAGAATGAGTTTGAGTTGAGCAGGGTGGGGGAGTCCGGGTGTGAGCACGGGATGCTGTGGTTAAGTGGCACAGTCTGGTCAGTTTCATTGAAAACACTCTTTTCAGTCAGTGAAACCAGGCAGAAATGGTGTGACTGCTGACTGTGCTCCCAGTGAAACTCGTGTCTTGGCAAGATACTGCTCCCAGGCTCACTCCTAAAATAGTGGTTCATGATATGTCTTAGAGGGTTGTGTCAAACTTGGATGCATTCTTATAAATGTGAAATGCCTATCTCGGAGACTGACAGAGCACTTAACTGTGACTGTTATTACAAGATTTCAAATGTTAACTTTGAAAAATTTGATAAATTTCTTTCTAAATTTTAGCACTTTGGGGAAATCCATGTCTGGAATTTTTGGAGTTAGCTAGCTATGATGACGCTGGCCCAGTGAAGAAGGCAAGATTTAGAAAAATGTAAACACGAGATGTAGGTAATCCACAAAAGGCTGGGGGAGTGGATGAGGAAGAGAGGGAAGGGGAGAGAGATTATAATCCCTCCAGCTCTCACAGGAAAGAAGAATGAGAAAGCTGCAACTTCTTGGGGCAATTGACCTCGTTAATGGAAAAAAGGAAGGGACCATTGACATCCATAATTTCTCACAGTGATACAGGGTTCTATGGCCAGTCAGTTAGGCTCTACTGAGCACCTGTTGGTATTCAAGTTCACATACCTGTGGTGCACATCTGTATGACTCTAGAGCAATGCTCTAAAAGCTTTTTCTATATAAGGCCAGAGAGTAAACATGTTAGCTTTGGAGACTGTACAGTACCTATTGCAACTACTCACATCTGTCCTTGTGGTGTGAAGACAGCCACAGATAAAGTATAACCAGAGAAAACTTTTTATATGTTCCAATAAAATTCTACAAAAACAGGCAGTACATCATATTTGGCCCGCCAGCCAATCCCTGTTCTAAGTCTGAACCTTGGTTACAATTGAGATCCCTCTTCTATCTATAGCATGGAGTGTGCTTCCTTCTCTGTACAACTTTCCATTTTGTACTATGTTTGGCCATTGCTTGCCTGTTGCCTCATTAGACCATGAGCTCACTGAGGGCAGTGTCCCCAGTGCCTGGAAATCTGGTAGCAGCTTGATAAAGGCTGAATGAACAAATACTTGATTCATTTATTGGTGATGAATGAGGGTGACTAAGTTAATGCAGAAATGAAATTTCATAGTATCCTTTTGTGATTAGCAGGACAGCATATTCAGAGCTACAACTAAGGGGAATACTACAAATGGCTTCTCTGATCTGAACCCAGATTTTCTGATTTCAAACCAGTGTTCTTTGGCTGCTACTAAATGAATCCTTGATTTTCTGCTTTTGGAGCAGAAAAAATGGACCCAGGTGGCTGAGCTCTGGCTTCTGGATCCTAGTGACAGGTCTTATCACAAAAGCAATTGCACTGGGGACAGAGCCAGAGGTATATTTTCACATTTTTTTCCCCATGCTTTTAATTAGGCTTTTAGTTTGAATATTAAATCCCTAAATCTCTTCATGCAGTCTGAGGTCAGTATTCACCCAGCTGACTTACAACATGGTACAGCACATACCCACATGTAAATAGGAAATACAAGAGGAACAGGGCATCACGTAGCCATAAAAAAACACAATACTGGACCAGATGGCCCAGCCAGCTCCAAGGTTACAGGAGATAAACTTCATCTCTCCCTGAAGGCCTGCCCTGCAGCGGGGAAGGTGCTGCATTGGCCACAGTCTTACCTCTAGAATGTACTCCAGCTCCACGCCTCTCTTGTGAGCCCCCTTCAGCACAGCGGATGCCTGAGCCATCAGCTCTGTGTGGAACTGGGTTTCTTTTGGGACTGCAAAGCTGATGATCTTTCTGAAGAGTGTTTCTGTCAAGATCATGTGAGCTTCCAGGCCCTGAAAGTACTCCTGCAATTTTGCAGGTAGAAAGAGGTCAGCAATTCATTCAGACACTACTTCCAGATAAACATTGCTCCAAAGATGAAAACTGATGGGGCTCATTTAATAGATGGATGGTACCATTCCACCTGCTCTCACCTCATTCTTGGCCCAGGTACTCATCACTTCCTAAAGAGGCTTCCTGACCAGACAGGGGTTCTGGTCTCCTGCCTGGCCTCTTCTCCCCATCTAAGTGCATCCTGTACACTACTGTGTAGTAGCCACAAATGGCCTCCAAACCAAACTCTTCATAGATGACCAGCTGCTAAACAAAAACTCCTCTGCCCTCTAATACCTCACCCCTTGCACTCTGGCCTTCCTTACTTCCCTGACACTGTCTCTCACTAACCCCACCACACCAGTGGCCTGCTGGATTCTTTGGCCGTACCTATCTCCAGTCCCTCACACCCTATCTCCAGCCCCTGTTTAACTGTTCTTCTCAAGATGTTCTCACATAATACAGTTAATGACTCTCCGTCCATGACTGAGTCTGAGCCCTACTTTCTGAACTTCCAGACTATTTGCTGTACTTATTTTTTGCTTCCAAACATAGTTTGATGTTAAGATTAAATTCAATAAATATTTTAAAATTTTCTTCATATTTTACTCCCACAGTATCGAAGGCCTTGTGTGACATTATGAACATCTTTGAAATACTACTTGTCATGTGTAGTAGATTCTGGAAGATGGAGATGGGCCTTATTCTATTTTCTATACCCAGCACCATGGACAGAATTATAGAACTGGAATGTTGAGAATGGATGTTGGAGGTTGAATGAAAGTTGATAAGAACATACACCATTAATTGTGTGTTTACTGCTTGCTGGGTGCTCCATTAACTCTTTACCTGACTCATGTCATCCTCATGCTAAACCCATGGCTCTCTGAGATGGGTGGCTTTGTTTCCATGTACAGAGGAGAACAGCGAGCTACCCTGCTCCCCCAGGTAGCTCACTCACGGATGCCCAGCTAGTCACAGCAGAGTTGGAGTAGAATTCATATCAACCGCTATATCTATGCTCCCTGCCAACACTGTAGAACTCTTCCTCAGAACATTGGCTTGTTAGTGGAAGCTAGAATCTTTATTTTTAACCAACAATTATTTTATCAAAGAATCTTAAAGTTGGAAGAGATCTTGGAGGTTGTTTAGCCCAAGATGCGCAGAGAGCTGAGATTCCTCCCACAAGCTCCCTCCCTACCCCCATCCCTAACCCCCATCCCACCCTGACAGCCTTGGCTGGACTTCTCATGACCATGGAGGCTTCTGCTCAGGGATAGCCTACTCCTTTCAGAGTTTGTCTTCTACTGAGCTTTATTTCTCTGTTATTTTTATTCATTGATCCTAGCTTTCCTTCTGGAATAACTCAGAATGATTTTTTATGGCTATGGTCAGATTTGAGAAAAACCAGCTGTGAACTTTAAAGCAATGTTTTCAAAGCCAAATGATAAAGCCTGAATAAATCATAAAACTTTGGATAAAAACCTCTGGGAAAAAAAATAGCAACAAATCCCAATTCCCTTCCCCCAGTTCCCAACATCTACCATTGTAAACCACCAGAGCTACATAATGGTAGAATATGTTAACCACCTACAACCCACAGGGATTTATTTGCTTGTTTGTTTCCTTACAGGGAATTCCTGTGGCCTGGGAAGCTAGGTTTCTGGACTTGGAAACTTTCCATGGTCATTGCTAAGGAATGCAAGTGTTAGTTTTGGTGTGTATGTTAAACAGGTCTTCTTTCACTAAGCACTATTGTCCAACCTGAGTTTGGCCCACACAGATGGTGAAATCTCAGGCTTACCAAGTTTGATTATGAAGTAATTGGACTCAGTGTCCCCAGGAAAATCTCCAAGGTTCACAGCAATTGAAGAAGCATGTGTTTAAAGGCAGAACTGAATGACGCATGTAAAGGACATAAACCCCAACCCAGGCCTGAGCGGGCAGCTCTGCATTCCCAGAGCAGAGCTGGGAGTCCTAGGCCAGGGCAAGAGAGGGCAGAGACAGCCCCAGGGCTAGATGAACAAATGACCACAAGAGATGTACAGGAAAAAGTAAGAGTTAAAAATGAAGCTGGGATCCTCTGAAGGGAGTCCTTGAGTTTCTCCTTGGATATGGTTAATGTAAGAAGAAAGCCTTTAAATCCTAGTGTGTAACCGAGAAGCAAAACTACTTGTAGTTTTTTTTTTAATTTAATAGAATTATAGAAATATATAATTAAGTTAATTTAATTTACAAAATCATAGAAACACCATAATTTCTCTGTGTTACTAAACGCTAGTGGGTTTAAGACACATTTTTAGTGATCATTATAAAGAATAAATTATGTAAATAGAAACTTATAAAAGACTTAGGAGAGTAGGTGTTACTAAATATATATCAGGACTTGAGAATGTTCTCAAAACCACATTTTCTTTCCCTCTTTCTCTTACCTTATGTTTGTGGAGCAGTTGTTGGATTTCCTCTTTGGAAGACACAGTGATTTTCTGGTCCCCTGCCATCTTCTCTCGTCCGGTTTCTAGCAGGTCAGCCAGATCTTGCAAGGCCCTTTCATACTGGCTCTTGAGAGCAAGATTTTGGTTCAGACCACTCTTCCGAGAGCCAATGGTCATCATCAGCTCATCATACATGTCCTAAGACAGAGAGACGGTGACAATCACTCTCAGTTGACAGTCTGGCACCTCGTTCAGTGTGTGCTACTTGCCAAGTCCACTACCCAACCAAGGAAGCTCCTTCTGCTATGACCGGCAGGTCTCCTCTGCATGTAGATCACCTGCCTATCTTTCTTATGAGCCTCACTTGGAAGACTTCTTTCAAAAACTGCAAGCTCTTGACTTCTGTTCCCATGCCTACAATATGTGGTTTACAGATCTGTGGCTCTACAATGGCTTCATACAAGTTCGCCCACTAATGTTGCTCAGTATTCTGTTTAGTTTTTGTTTTAATTTAATTGTTTTCTATTGACAGGCAATAAAGCATGGAAGAGAAATTGAAGAAAAAAGAACTGCATTCATGAGAATTTAAGGATGGAGTCACTGGAGCAAAGGATAAAATATGCAATAATGTGGAAATAACTATTTTGGAGAAAAGTAAAATCAGAGACTTACCAGGTGCTATACACCAGAATACAATTTAGATGGACTTGAAAATAAAGAAATAAGGGGAAAAAAAGCTAAAAATCTAAAAAAAAAGTATGCCTATAAAAAATAAGCTCATTATTTTAAGATTCCAAAGGACATAAAAAAGAGTTTCCTAGAGATGGCGCAGGAGACAGATTTGACAACTCTATTCTCAGGAAAGCCAACAGTCTGCAATGAGATGTGGGCTGAAAATGGTGAAAAAGTGTCCATGTGGCTGAGGGGGTGTCACAGAAAATACAATTTTAATTTTTACCATGTTCTCAGCATTTATATAATTTTAGAATAATTGAATACAGTATCCTTAACATTTCTGTCTGCTAAACGATATCAGATTTGGGATTGTCTTTGAAATAAAGAGCTAGAGAAACAGAGGAGTTCGATGTGAGCAGAAAGACTTGAAGACTTAAAAGGGCCATGTTTTCACCAAATGTGGTGAGTAAATAACCATTTAATCTGGGAAGACATTCCAGGAGACAATGATGTGCCAAACAGAAAATTTACTGGAGGCACATGGACCTGCTCAGTGCATCATCTCAAGGATGAGCAGCCAGAAGGTTCAGCCTGGAAAAGTTCAGCCTTAATGCTGATCTGCAGCTGTGATGTTGGACTCTTACACCTGACACTGAAGCTCTGGTGGGAAACCATCTAAAAAGTGCAAGGCAAAGCTTTGGGATTATGACACTGTGCAATGCTAGATAAAGGAATGAGGCAGTTAAAATGGAAATGGCCTTTGTTTCTAAGAGCTATTTCATGTTCTCCAAAGAAGGAACTTGTGACCTTGGACTTGACTCATACTATAATCCTCAATTGTTTTGCAATAGGCATACAGAGAAAACCCTGTGTGTGTGTGTGTGTGTGTGTGTATGTGTGTGTGTCTATGTATGTGTGTGTATTTGTGTGTGTGGTTGTGAGAGAGAGAGAGAAAGAGAGAGAGAGAGAGAGAGAGAGAGAGAGAGAGAGAGAGACTGACTCTGACTGTACGTGCCTGTGCACAATTCTTTCTTAATATAACATAACTACATTGTCAGATGGTAAATTTCACTGGTCAAGTATCTTACAATTGTCTTCCCACTCTGATATCAGACTTTTGCTTGTGTCTGATCTAGAAAAGCAAATTATCTCCAAAGGTTATTCTCTGTTCCTAAGGATGCCAGGAAGTGTATTTAGATTTCAGCCACTTTCTACTTTTTCAATTTTTCTCTTTTGCTGTTGTTCTAGAACTGAAACAATGTCTCTATTCTGCATGTATAGAAAAATAAGCTACAGTTTTTGAATATTAAAAAACCTCTTTTTAAAAAATATTACTTCAATACTTGGGGAGATAATGAAATATAAGAGTGCTATTCCCGTTTCAACTTATCTAAGTAGGAGTGGTCATAATTTTATCTTCTAGAGTTGAAGATAATATGTTACTATTGAACTAGATCATAATATTTTTAGCACCAGAATAATAATGCAAATATCAGAAAAAAATGTGAATCTTAGAAGTATGTGAATGTAATTCATTTTATTGCACTAAATATATCAAAAGCTTAAGAAAAGTTTCCAAGACTTGCATGGAAGAAAGGTTGAGACCTAAATTTGGGGTTTTATAAAGAAAGCCAAGGAAAGGGGCTGGGGTTGTAGCTCAGCAATAGAGTACTCACCCTGAATGTGGAAGGCACTGGGTTCAATCCTCAGCACCACATAAAAATAAAATAAAGGTATTGTGTCCACCTACAACTAAATAAAAAACCTAAAAAAAAGAAAGCCAAGGAAATAGAATAATATTTTATCAACCCTGAGTTAGAATGCACCATTGCACCTGGATAGAGTCCACTGAAGACTGTACCTGGAGCTTGGAGAGTTCTTGTAGGGAAGCCTGCTCCATCTGCAATTTGTCACCACGCCTTTTTAATTCAGTGATTCCTGCATCCAGTTCCTTTAGTCCCTCTTCAGCCTGTTGTATTGCCTAGGTAAGATTTATGTCATTTCATTAAACTCCTAAGGACAATTCCACCCCCGCCCCCACTCCTGCACAAAGTCTGATTATTGTGGCTCTATTTGTTCTTCTTCCCTCTACAAACGAACAAAAACAAACAAACAAAAAAATGAGTTACATCAACAAAACATAAAAAGCATGGTCATATATTAAAAAGAGAAGAAACCCCTTTATTACAGTACAGCCCTACCTTCTTAGAGATAAGGAGGTAGGAAGGATGTGGGGTTGAGGATTGGGAGAAGGGCTGGGTGAATAGAAACACCTAAACAGGAAGCAAGATGTAGAATATGTTGGCAAAAGTATTTGTGTAACATTTTCTAGGGTATCATGTCTTGTTTCCTGAAATGCAGCAGGAAGCACCTTCGGAGAGAGATGCAGGGAGGCAACAGGAGATATCTGACAGCATGGTGAGGAGGCTCTCTCATTGTTGTAAAATGGAAAATAAACCAAGCAACAACTAGCAAAGTGGCTGCCATTGCAGAGCTTTGCCTTTTGTAGAAAAAGCACAAGATCTCATCCTGGACCTCAAGGAGCTGATGGTCTGGTCAGGAAGACAGAGGAAAACAAACAAGACTGAACACAATTAAGTGCTAAACTTTATGGTGCAACCCTTCTCCACTAAAGGAGTCTGGAGAAGAGACATAACAGACCAGCAAAGCCTGGGCTAAGTAGGCTCTTGGAAGAAGTGCAATATCAGTTGTCCTTGAAGGCTGAAAAGAACCTGGACTCCAGATGGCAGATGAAGCACGTGTGGTGTGTCCAGTATTTTTTCTTTTCTAAAATTTCATTACAATCACACCAAACATTTTGCTTGCTAGTTTTTGGAGTGTTACCCCCATAAATCCACAAGGGCAAGGGAACAAGGAAGAAGATAATACCAACAAAATCCTGGAAGCTGAAATTGGGAAGAGCACATGAAAGATGGTTTAGAAAGTGTGGGAGCTTAATCCTAATCTAACAGCAGATCCACATCACTAGATTCAGAAGATCCACACCATCAAATTTAGAACCATGGGAATCTCAGGAACTCTGAGTCAAGGAGGAGGGTGCTAAGAAAGAGGGCTGGTAAGAAGCTACCTGAAGAGCAGTTAAATCCCCAGGTCCCCTCCTCACTCCACACTGCCCCTTCCCCTCCCTGGTGAAAGACTGACAGTTCATTTTCTGGGAGAAGGTAAAATAGAGAGCTTAAGTGCTTGATTGAAAACTGGGGAATAAAATGATAAAATGCCATATACAATGCTCAAGTCTTTTTATCTTTCAAGAACTGCCATGGACAGTAGTATAGACTGAAGGAAAAAAATCTCTTAAGACCAATAGAGAAGCCCTAAAAATTGAACACAAAGATTTTCCAAAATGGCCCCCACACATCACCCTTCACTATCTCAATCTTGTCAAGCTCCATCCTTACTTAAAGTTCCCATTCTGCTGTTTTTTCCTCAACCTAAATGTAAACAGACAATAAAACATGCCTGTATACCTAAGAAAACTCCAACATGAAAGACAGAGAATGACATAAGTAAACAAATAAAAACAACTCGGAGCAAAACAAGTTATCCAGAAAAATTTCAACCAACAAATAAATCATTAATGTACCCAGAGAGATTACAAAAGATAATGCACTCATTAAAAAAAGAACAGGATACTATAAAAAAGGATGATTCAGAGAATCAAAATAAGCTTGGGAAAATTAACCACAAAATAAGAAATGGATGGAGCTGAAACTGAAGAAGAGTCCCAGAAAATAGAGCAAAAGGACAGAGAGAGAAAAAGATTTCTTGATTAAAAGTATTAGAGGATTGGACAAAAATATCCAATATATGATTGAAAAGGGAGACATACAAACTGAAGAAATAAAAAAATATTAAATAAATGATTAGAAAAGTTTCCAGAATGGAAAGATGAGAATTTTGCCAAATTAAAAAAGCCCATTGAGTTCCCAGCCCAGTGGATAAAAATAGACCCTCCCCCAAGGCATGTGATTGAGAAATTTCAGAGCACTAGGGATCTTAGGGAATCAGGATGATTTTTAGATTCCTCAATCTGACACTGGAATCTAAAAAAAACAATGTAGTCAAAGCTTCCAAACTCCAAAAGAAATTTCTAAGCAAGAATTCTATAAAGAGCCAAACAATCAAATGTGAACATAGGATAAGAATATGTCAACATGCAAGAGCTTGAAAATATAGCTATCATGTACACTTTCGTAGGAAGCAAGAAAGCAATCTAACAAAAAGAAAGGCTCAGGACTCAGCAAAGAGTAGATGCAGTAGAGGGAGAAGTGTAGGGGCAGCCTAAGAAGACAGCTATGCACCAAGCTCACCTGCAACAGGTGTGTTCTAGGGGCAGCCCTGTGACTCAGGGGAGGAGCAAATACCCTGAGGAGTGGCATTGCATGCCTTCTGCTATTTTTACCTTCCTAATCCAAGAAGGGTAGGAGTGGAATTAGCACACTCATGAGCTGCTTTCCATTTACTCAAATAGATAATCAAATTGTTTATTCAGTGACATTTATTTAGTTATATTGGTCAATAATTAGTAAAAAAAAATGTTACTTGTGATCACATCTATCTTCTTTTTCACATAAGAAATCTAACACAAGATATCACCATGGGTGTTCAAATCTCATTTGGAATCACATGTGTTATAAACAAAAAATTTAAAAGATCTTTTCATGTGGAAGATATAATATAACAGAATGATTTTTAATTGGGGGTAAATGAGAAATCTCTTCTAAAATCAGATGAAACTAGGGTCAATAAAAATGCAGATTCACATGTTATTTTGCAAATGATTTCAGGTATCCCTCTCACATATGTATTGTGGGAGATTTCTATTGCAGATTATTCTTTGTGGTTTACCCAAAGATCCCTTAGGGTCCACAGAAATGAGGTAAAAAATTCCACTCAACACACACTTCCCATCATGCGTAGCTGATGTGCTCTGTAGCGTCCTTCCCATTTCTTGACCTCTCTTTGTTTTCACTGTCAACACCCTGGTTCACATTCTCAAACTTTCTCCTCAGTGCAGCTTCCTGCTTCCTGAGCCTGCTGCTGCCATGATGGCCATCCACAAAAGGGACCTGGAACGGACGGACATCCATTCTTCCTCTCCAACACCCTCATGACTTTCCTCTGCCAGGACTCTCCAAGGTGAGTAAAAGTACCCGGAAGATTGCAAGATGATCAACCAGGATGAAACACTATGCATTTGACCACGATCATTCTTAATTTTCATTTTTGTATATGCTTTCTGAGATAGCATGGTGCCTGCTTATAATTTATAAGTAAATATGCATGAAGTTGTGGTGTATACCTATTTATTATTCTTAGATAATGGGGTATATAATCAATGAGTTGTAGAGACCCCTGGTTTATAGAATAATCAAACTATATGATATTCTGCAGGCCCTCCAGACTACTTCAAGTTTACTCATCCGATCTTATTTCCTTTCCATAGTTTTCATCCATGCTAAATTCAACTGACTGGATTACCTGTGTTTCCTGAATTTGTGCCTTTTTTCTTGTTGGACTTTGGTACCTTCCTTCTAAGTCACTATGTGTCCAAATCTCCTGCATGTCCAATTTCCCTCTACGAAGTCTTCCCAGACCCTCTATCTGCTGGAGGTAATTTACCCCCTTCTAAATGTCCAGAGTTCTTTCTACCATTCCAAGGACAGCCTGACCTTCTGTCCTTGGGAACATGTTTAATCACATTGTTGGGTAGCAAACTTCTTCAGATCAGCATCTGTCACTGACACCTTTACCTATCTTACCTTTTCTAGGTCCACACAGAAGTGACAAGAGTCAGTGTCACCAGATATGATATTCAAATCCAGCATTCAAAACGAAAATATATGACAAACAAAAAATGCCACAGTAAGCCATTAATCTTTCATAGACTCTTTGAAATGTCACAATACACCAGATATTTGTGCATTTGCTTTTCTAGTAGAAGGCAGCTGCAAATACCTCTATTTGTTCTGCTACAGGCTGTTCAAACACATTTGCCAGTTTCTGCAGAATGATGTATTTATTGTCAGCCAGTGATGTAAACAACACCTTCAGGTCATTCTAAGGAGGAAAACAACAGGAAGACTTAGCATGTGTAACAGAGAATTCAAAATGATCATAAATATAATACGGATTTCTAGAAATTATACCAAGTTATCCTTTGGCATCTGTAGGAATTGTTTCCAGGACCCCCCACCCCTCAATACAAAAATCCAGGGATGTTCAAATGTCTTATAGAAGTTGATGTAAAATTTGCATACGACCTTTACACATCCTCCAAAACACCAGATTACTTATAATACCTAACATGTAAATGCCATCACAGGGGAAAAGCACACAATTATTTCCCCAAATATTTTCAATCAGTGCTTGATTGAATCAGTGGGTGTATAACCCACAGATATTCAAGGTTGATGGTAGTTGTGTAGGACTTAATTTTCAGGAGAAACAAAAATGCTTCATGGGAAGGTAAAAGGGACTAGTAACTGTTTACCTTGGGGCTAAAATAGGTTTTTTCTTTTTTTTTTTTTTTTTTTTGGTGGTGCTGGGGATTGAACCAGGGCCTTGTCCCTGTGAGGCAAGCACTCTACCAACTGAGCTATATGCTCAGCCCTAAAACTTGACTTTTGAAGAATTTACTACACAAAGCATTTTCCACATAATGAAAGAGAGTTGACATATCTAAGTAATAAATAATACTGGTCTTCTTAATTTTGTTAAATCTGAAATAAATGAACACATTTGAATTTTTCAGTAGTCAGAGAATTATTTTTATCTAAGAAAACAATCTACAGGTGTTTCCCAGTTTGGGAAATAATATTTTTAGGAATAATATATTTTTTCTTTTCATTCTCTTTCTTCTCCTTTCCTTGCTGTCTTCTCCAATTCTTTTCAAAGAATTTGTGCAACTTTTTATAAAATTCCATCCAGAAGTTAAGAAAATAAATATTATCTATTAGGACCAGAGACTTTAAGAGACAACACTAAAAGGTCTTAGTCACGTTATTTGTTCCTAAAGATTCATTTAAATGTTCAATATACTTATATGCAGTTAGACTCTTACAAAAAGGAGAGAGCTCTCAGAACTTCAGTACTCAATGTCAAAGGAAATAAGGAGTTGGAACAATATTTACATTAAAACACTTCCAAACTTCCCAGAAATATCAGCAATATTTAAATTCTGTATCGTATTAGTCACCCAACACATATGCAGGAGTGGCTGCTCATCAGAGGATGAAGCTCAGCTCTTCACATCCTCCTTACTGGGGGCACGTATGAGAATACAGAGCCCACATGCAAAAATCCTGACTTAAGGGAAGGATAACCATAGCAAGGAAAAGAAACCAACTTTAAGGCCACGTGGAGGTGTGATAATGCAAACGCAGGGCCAAAAGGCAAAGGAATGGGTGGATTATGCAGGGGAGAACATGGTGGGCTGGGGGTGGAGCTTCCTGGTAGAGAGCTTGCCTAGTATGTGCTAGGTCCTGGGTTCCATCCCCAGCACTGAAAAAAAGAAACAGGAAAAAAAGGAGAAAGAGAGAGAGAGAGAGAGAGAGAGGAAGAAGAAGGAGGAGGAGGAAGAGGAATTCAAACCCATGTTCAAACCCATGTTCAAGCTCAGAGGCCAACTAAATAAATTATTATGGCAGCATTGGAAACCTGAAGCATTTGCATGAATTCTGATAATGTTTGCATTTACTCAGTGTGTTCAAGGTAAGGTCATACAGGCCATTAGAATCATCACACATTTATCTTGTAAGCACAGTGAAAGATGTTTCTCATTCACTTGAACAGATATAAAAGCAATAAAGTCTCCACTATATCCATATATTTATAATAAAGTCAGTTTAATTAATCTAAAGGGTAACAGTATACATTTCATAGGTTAGAAATGAAGAATGCATGTTTATTTCTCATATGTCATCTTTATAGTTTTAATAGTGCATTTTCTCTTAACTATGTTCTACTGAAGATAATAGGAACCAAGATTACATTTCTGGAAGCCACACTAATTATTGTGAGGGAGAGAGATTAGTTAAGAAGATAGATAATAATGTGATTGATTTAAAATTTACTAAATAAAAATATTAAAAGGTGCTAATAATTTTACCAACATTGGTATTTTCTTAAGATTAAAAATTCATTATGATTAAAACCCCAAAAGATTTAACCAATTATTATTACTTATGATAAAGCAAGATGATCAAGTTATCTATATAGTAAGATAATATGTCCTAATTTTTTTGTTTTTTGTAGTCAATGGAGCTACTAGGAGGGTATAAAGGGGCAGGATTCTGGTTGTTGAGGATCAGGTCCATGGAAAGTTTCAAGCTTTAAAATTAGTTATACTGCCTCACTCTTTCATTAATGATTCTTTTTTTCACTTTAAAAAATGACTTCAAATACTGAATTACCTATTTAGAAAAGTTATTTTGGTTAAGTCTATGAGAAAAAAAATTAAATTCAGAAGTTGACGGTTTGACTTGTCTGTGGTTCCACAAGCATAATAGACATAACAGACATAGCATCTAGGGACCCTTCCACATTGTCTTTGGGGTTTAGAATTGTGTTAAGAGTCTGGCAAAAGTTGATGCTCGAATCTGGCTTGGAAAAGGAGGACATGCCATTTCAACAACTCTTGAGCACTGACACCACACCAGGTACTTGGTACAAAGTAAGAGCAAATGGTTTGAGACTTGATCCTTCATTATATTACCATTGGAACTCTTTTTTCAATTAAATTGGAACAAAAACATTTAAATTGTCAGTTTTTGTTAGTGAGCTGGCCACCAACAAGTAGAAACTTGTTGGCAAAAGGAAAATAGAGAACATGATTTAAAGAGAGTTTTGTGATTGCATGTTCTCCTAGTTCCAAAATACTCATGCTTAGTTCATATTTTCCTGTGACTGGTTATAATTACCAACAAAATTTTAAAATGTCAGGACAATAATATAAGAAATGCAATTCAAAAAAGCAAAATGCACCTTTGAGAAACACATACATTTTCACAGTTACTCTCCCCTTAGCATGCTGTTAAAACTCAGTGTATTAGTTCATGAAAGATGAATTTTAGAGAAATGAAATAAATTTTCATAAATTACATAATGGTCTGTTTAAGACATACTTAGATATTTACATGCAATCAATTCTTGCATCTGAAACAAAACAGTTAAACAATAACCCCTGCTTTTCTGACTTGAGTGAATTCTTTTTCCTCGCTATGTACTACACAACCTACAGGCATAGATGTGAATGTCCCTTCCAGACTATTCCTCCATGCCACAGACCTGCATACACAAGTGTCTACTGTGACTCTGTGCCCCATGTTGCAATCAATGGTACCACAAGTAACCTGGGCGTGCCCACTGCTATCCACCGGCCTTCTCTGCTGGTCAAGGGCCCCAAAGGGGCAATTCAGAATCCCTGGAGCTCCTGGGCATTCCCCCTGTCTCTCATTCCCCACATCAAACCATCAACAAACGCTTTCCATCTGGCTCTGCCTTCAGAATGTATCTTCAGAGGACTATTAGTCTCCATCTCTCTTGCCATAATATAAAATTGAAAAGTGCTCTTTGATAACCATGAAGGAGTAATTCAACCTTTCTCTTGGTTTTAGATCTTCTACCACTACGCTTATAGCAAGAACAACTGCAACAACAAAAATTGGCTGGGTGCCCATGTATCAGGCACTACTTAGAGCACTTCACATATTTTAACTTATTTTGTTCTTAGAGCACTAGGAGAAAATTACTAAGAGTGTGATTTAATAGTTGAAGATACTAACTGCTTAGAGAAGATAAGCAGCTTATACTACAGTAAGGGACAGAGCCAGATTTTGAACCCAGAGTGCAAAATTAAAACATAGGGATACTGTATTGATTAAATACAATAACACATCTGAAATCTGTGTGTATGAATAAAAAAATAAGTTTGAGGTCAACCTCAGCAACTTAATGTGACTGTGCTAAAAATAGTTGTAAACAAAGGTGGCGGGGGCGGGGGGATGTAGCTCAGTGGTAAAGCACCCCTGGGTTCAATCTCCAGTCCAAGAAAACCCCACACATGATTGCAATACTTTTAATGGATAGTTTTAAGAATGTAGACTTCTGGAAGGTAGTGGTAATTTGTCGCACTAGATGGCTATCCAGAAAATTGCACATGTCTAAGTAAATAGAGAATTTATTTGATATTAGTATTTTCTTTTTTACAAATCAAAACTTTGTATCAATCTGTGAGCACTAATTAGAAGCATCTATTTTGTATATCTCAAATGTTTTCTAAAAAAAAAGCATCCAATTGAAATTAAATATTTCCACATGGTGCATTTTATTAGGAATGAAAAATCAACATTAAAAGTTTATCAGCAGCTTTTGCATTTGTTTTAGTGTACACTCATATAAGAAAAGTTTCATGACCATACTACTATTTAGTTGACATCGAAATAATTGTATAGAATTCCAAAATGAAGCAAAAAGGTAGTGAGTCTGAGGGTGAGGATTGGAAGGCAGTGCAATACATTTCAACACAGGAAGAAGCAATCAGACCACAGCCACTGCCAAAACCTCTTGGGTACTGAAGCCTGGGGTACCTTCCACATTGTAGCAGTTGCCACATGTTCTTGGGTAATAAATACAGAACTCCACTACTGCCCCCTGGAAACTTTGATTATAATAAGCAAAAAATTTGACTTTTTTGTTGAAGTTAAGTTTTACTCAGCACTTAGAGTTGTTTTCTCAACCTTCCATTTCTAGAAGCATGAAACATTTTGTTTTCTAATCCTATAGTTCCATCTGCATGTAATTCTCCTGCTCTTCATTGAACACTTGAAAGAAAAAAAGATTTTCTTACCTCAATGAGATACCCTATTGATTATTACTAACTGTATCCTAAAAATGGAAAAAAAGAAAACTCCTCTTTACCTGGAAATTTAGTATTTGCTGAAGTCTTTCCTTCATCTGATGACATCGCTGATTCACTACTGTGTCTAATAAGGACAATCTGCCCAAAAGACACCCCAAAGTATCTTCAATGACATCCCGGTTATCGCCATTCTCGGGAAAAGTTTGGGAAAACAAGTTCTTATTCTTATCCATTTCTTCAGACATTTCCTTAATGTCTTTGGCAAGGGCCTAGGGTTGATAAAGGAGAAACTTTGTTTCTGTGTTTAGATGGTTGAATCAGTATGCAAAAAAGTCATTTCTTCATAGGAAATCCACTAAATCTTACTGCTTATTAATCACTAAACCAAGGCCAATTCATCTTTTTTCCCCAGACTTCTATGCATAATAGGAAAGTTGGGGTTTTGGGGGGGGGGGTCAGAGTAACAGGGATTGAACTCAGGGGCACTCGACCACTGAGCCACATCCCCAGCCCCATTTTGTATTTTATTCAGAGACAAGGTCTCACTGAGTTGCTTAGGACCTCACTTTTGCTGGCTTTGAACTCTTGATCCTCCTGCCTCAGCCTCCCTAGCCACTGGGATTACAGGCATGTGCCACTGTGCCCAGTGGAAAGTTGCTTTTGAGGAGATTTTTTTCTCAGCAACTTTACATCATTAGCTCATAATAGTACAAACTGATACAAAAAAAAAAATTAGTCTTGTAAAGCATTATGTAGGAATCCAGTATTGTCTTTAAAGCATGTGTTTCATTATATGGCAGATTGATGATATGCAATAGTTTTCTAGCAATTTGTGTTTTTCCTCCCCCTTTTTACACAATATAAGGGATAAAAATGTGAAGCAGGCATATATATCTATGAGGCTTTTCTGTATTCAAACAATTCTGTCCTGCACTGTGTTACTTGGGGGTACACCTTTGTGCGTCATGAGAACTGTTTTATGCATACCTTCATATTGGAAATTAATTACTCATTATCAAAACTCATCAAGCTTTAAAATCTCACACAGAAGCTGCCATCCTTACCTCTTGGTTGAAGAGACACGTCTCTGTTTCTTCGGGCAGAAGTGCGGTGGCGACAAACAAGCGCTCCTCAACGTCATCTAGCCAGGTGGAGGTGGCTGAGACTCCGTCGTACAGCTTTTGCTCCAGGTGCACGTCCTGCCTCTTGGCTCCTCCACCCTGAGAAGCAGCAGGTACGGGATAAGGAACCCATGACAGTGTTTTGAGGAATCAAAAATACGAGGAGAGACTCCAGGGACCAGTGGCTTTTTGTTTCAGGGCTCATCCCTCCTGTCGGCTCTCAGTGCTCATGCGCAGGGGTGGAACAGCTCTGCAAAGGCAGAGGGGACCCACTCGAGCAGGGCAAGGCCCAGCCAAGCCGAGACACGCACACAGGGGCACAGGCCTACCTGGGACGAAACCTCCTGGAAGGCCTGGTTCAGTCCATCCAGCAAAGACGTCACTGCGGATTTGTCTTGCGCCTGCCCATCCCCTCTGTACAGTGGCACGCCGGACAGGAGTCGATTTGACCTGCTGTAAAGCTGCAGGCCAACAGGGACACCTTATTTAAGAGCATAGGTACTGTGTCCCCATTTTCTCATTTACGTGCTCACTGGAGGAGATGCTGCCTTCAGGTATGGAATGCTTTAAATTCCCCAGGCCAGAGCTGGTGACTCTTCACGCAGACCCCCTGGCTGGAGCAGCGGGGCGAGGTGGGAGCAGGCATGTCATGCCATGTGGTTTTGGAGAGTGGGATAGAAATGCATGGCTCTGGAGACACGTATGCAAGGGTCGCCAGACACAAGGGGACACACTGTGGCCCTTAGGTTAGATGCCTCTTCCTAGTTGGTCCTGGCCAGTTATAGCCATATCCTCTCGTGCCTGCTTTGACAGCTCCTGCTTCGCCCTCCCCGATGTCATGCAGTACTGACTGACACCTTTCTTTCCAGTTCTGTCTCCCCCAGTCCCTGAGCCAGTTCTGGCCAGAGCCGTGAGACCAACGGTAAAGGTCCTCGAATTCATCCTAACAAAAATTCGCTGTCTTGGTATGAGCCTAGATGGACATGCTCTGGCCCAGGACCTGGGCCTAGGCTCCTACTGCAGAATCCCAGAGCCACAACTGTGGTAGGCATCGCAGGCATGACTGGGTTCCTGGCTCCCTTGTTACCCTCCAAACTCTCAAATTCCTCTGACTTCCTGTTATTCCCTGGCTTCTCCATACAGTGAACTAACAGTGATTATTTACCTGGGACCTTCTGTGGCCATATTCAATTCCCTTGAACTTGGCATGCTCGGTGGAACCCAGCCCAATATCACACAGTATCCATCCCAGAACCCAACCTGACACAGGGGTCAGTAACCATTCTAGCTGACCACTGGCTTCCCTTCCTTCAGACCCTCTGAGGTTCCAATATGTTTTTCATTAAGACCTTTTAAAATTATTAAATACTGGAAGTAGCCATGGAAAATAAGATGACTTGACAACTTAGTTCCAGATTTGTGGAATTCCATTTGCCCTGGATGTGTATATCCTCAATTTTTATCCATAAATTTCCATGTGGGAAAAAATAAAATAAAATTTAATGGCCTATTCTAGTGAGGAGTCAGATATTAATCATGCTTGAGGGAAAATATTACCTGGAAATCAAATAAATTTTCACATAGAAATAGACAATTATTAAGGGAAATGTGAAGCAGGCTTGTTAAGAAAAATGTAGGATGAATAATTTGCATCATATCTTAGTTTGGAATTGATAATGAGAATATAGATTATTGCACACATTCCCTTAGCATAAGGCACACATCTCTGATGTTTCTTAATATAGAAAAGCAAAACGTTTGATACCACTTGCTCTTGTTCCTGTTCCAGAACATTCTGTAGTAGTTTCTGCTTGGTACTAAATTCTTGGTGCAGGCTTTCCCATTTCATTCTCATCTGGTCTTCTGCAGATGATTTCTCCCCTTCCATCCCCAATTCCTGGGATAACACATCAGGTTTTTCGCTATTAGAAGAATAAATAGTCTAAGTTTACAATGTGCACAAAAAAAGCAACGAGAGAGGTCACATTGTGTGTCCTAGGCCTGAACTCACAAACTGGAGCAAGATTACTTTGGTCATTAGCTACGCCTTAAAAATAGAAATTGAAACAGAAATACAGAGACTACAAACAAGTATAGTCTTATTCACAATTTAACTGTGAGCATAATGAATATTTTAAAAATACATTAATAAAAACTGAGTATTGAATTGTAACATTTAGAAACAAAAACTGCAGTATGATTATGGAGCGGCATCCTTTGATATATAGTCTACAAATTAGTTCAAAACCATGAAAATGTTAACTCCTCTATGAGAGGTTTTACCATGACGTGAGCCTACAGAATGTCAGGACATGCACTGGAAGGACAGAGCTTGGGGGAAGGAGGGGACCCTGAGAAACTGTGGCTTTGGAGTGAGCATCTAGATCAGAGCCCTCTCTAGAGGCAGGTGTGGCTCAGAATAAGGCACCTGCCCTAGCTTGAATGAGGCCTTGCTCCCTCCTTAGCACGGGAAGCAGGGGAAAGGAATCCTGCTCTGGCACATTGCATTTGTGACACTGAGTAACGTGTTACTTCCTCTGAGACTCAATTGTCTCACCTTACAAATGAAGATGGTATCCATCTTACAGAATTATGGAAAGTAAGATAACCAATACAGAATGCCTACAACCCTATGGAGCAAACAACAGCCACTTAATAAATGCAGCCTAATAATAATGATAATGGTGACAATAATAATCGAGGGAGCTGAAGTTCTGATATTAATGTATCAGGAGGTATTTTGAGGCCCTGACTAGAACCATGGCATCTGGAAGGCATATGAGCTATGAATTAATATTTTGACAGTGCCTTTTGCTTGAGTGGAAAGAACTAACAAGTTCATTGGCAGCTAACTAGTTCATCGGTAGTGACCCTGAAACCAATTTTTTTTTCAGAGTATGTATAAATACAGGAGTGTCTCAGGTAAGCCTTTTGAAGTCAGACTTAAGATTTCAAAATCCTGTGATGCAGGGATTCTATTTCTAGGATATAACTCAGAGGATCTCTCCCATCTATTGGAGACATGCTAGGTATTTCCAATATGAGTAACAGCAAAGAAAGGGAAGGAAGGAAGGCTAAAACAGCAGTGAGCAGTTAAAATGTGGAACTAAGTCTGCATGTTTTGACATGGTTGAGCTAAGAAAATGACATTGAATGAAAAAAAAAGACAAAACGGTACAGATGCCTCTAGTTGAGGGTTTGCAACAATTAGTCTCTGGATTTTTCTGTTTTTTTTTTAAGAAAGAATAACGTTTTAAAGTTCTTATGAAATTAAATCTCTTCATTATGATTTCTTTTTATGTTTGCATAAAAATTTATCATAAAGCAGGGGAAGAATTAAGATCCATATTCTTATATTTAATCATTGACACATGTAAAAAAACAAAACCAGCAGCCAATTAGTTTTCAGTTAGAACACAGCCTTTCACTACCCCCAAGGAAAATGTCCTTTCCGTTCACATTTATATCAATAAATTTCCAGTGGATTTTCTTAGGAGATTTGAAAGGAGCCCTCTATTAAGACCACATTTCATGTAGGTGCTGCTGCTGCTGCTGCTTTCTTTTGTTTAAATTAGAGCATTATAATTATATGCAGTGTCTGGGTTCATTTTGACAAAATCATACATGCAAGAAATTTGATTTCTTTATACAGTAAATTTCTGAGTATATAAAGCAGGTCATGCCCTTCCTACAGGGGCATCCCACACAAACCAGTTCACATTTGACAGCTGCAGAAAATCAGTAAGTAATTATAAGACTTAACAAATACAACGAATATAATGAAAAATGAATATTTTCCCCCTAGAAATGTTACTCTGTTCTAACCCAAAATACAATTTTTCCTTTGGTTTCTAGAGATCACTTAATTTATGATTATTTGTTTGGTTGGTCCCCAGGGACTTGAAAGAACTGGCTGAACTAAAATCAACTACATTTAAAGGTAAGTTTTCAAAGGAATTTGTGTAAAAGAATTTATATAGGTGAAAGAATTTATCAGCAGTCTTCAAAGCGAATCTTGTATAGAAAGCCAGTACTTCTCTACAAATTTCTTTTAAAAATACTTTTATATTTGAAAAGAGCAATTTCCAGTTGTTTGTCTGTCATTTGGATTCTTTCCAATGCTGAAGGTCAGGGAAGGAAAAAAAAAGCCATGGCAAAAAAAAATTGCAGAAGATCTCAGCTACTTCTTTTTTGGAACTATACACATCCTGAGGATGAAATGTGTGCACGGGCTCTTTGTAAAAATAATGTTGTGGAAAGAAACAGAAAACTGCAAGGGATAGGCAAACATCTTAGAGGAGTCGGAAACAGAAAATGCTCAGTGAAGGCAAGTCTCAATCGGGATGGGTTTGCTCCAGACACAGATGTACATATTTATGACCTCATCTGCTCTTGTTTTCTTTTATTCCCCACCCCCCCTCTTTTTTGTGCAGTGCTGGAGCATGAACCCAGGGCCTTGTTCATACTGGGCAGGTGCCCCACCATTGAGCTGCACCCCCAGCTCCTTATTACCATTTGTAAACATGATGACAAGAGATGTTTTTTAAAAATCCTCATGTTTTGGTCACAATTTTTACAGCCCAACTACAAATATCATTGTCGTATTCATTTATATTCTTTTAAATCGACATTTCTTAACCATGTCACTATTTTTGGTTTCTTGGTTTTACTTTCTTGTCTTGCATTCCTATGTACTTTATCATAATATCCCTATTGCAAATGCTTCTTGTCATTTATCCTTTATCATATGCCTTTGATATTCATATATGTATATACGTGTTGGAAATTCAAACACATATTTACTCATTTACCACTTTTGATTATTTATATATGCATAAATATTATAAAATCAGGGAAATATTTAATATCTATATTTAGTAATATGTATATCTACATCTATGTATATGATCAGCACTAATGTGACAGCAACATTCTGTCAGCATTGATTAAATATAAAGAATATTTAATATATAAAGAAGTTTTTTTTTTTAAATTTCCCGAATCTAAATGGGAGGGAGGCAATGCAGAATGAATTCTTTTAAAAAGTCATATCATGTGCACATGTAAATATACCAAAGGGGATTTCACCTTTATGTATTAGTAAAAAGAATCAGTCAAATATAAATAAATAGTTGAGTGAAAAGAAGTCTAGAAGAGGAAGGGGTACAGGGGAGGGGGGAGGGAAAAGGAGGGAGGATCATGAACTGAAATCAAATTCCATGCATGTATGAGTTTGTCAGGATGAGCCCAACTCTATGTATAACTGTAAAGCTCTAATAAAAAACATTTCCCATCTGCCCTCACCAAAGTTAGTTTGATTTATCCACATTCTGTCTTGGTTTTTATCCACATATACATTACACTTTCAATTTTAATTCACTTTTTTGCTTAGTATCATATATACATTTTATGATACCGTTAAGTAACTTTTAGTTTTAGATATACATTTACACAAATTTTCTTTAGATTTTTTTTCCACACCAGTGAGCATTTCTGCCTTTTCAATTATTTGGCATTATTAATATTATTTCAAAAATCACCTTCATAATGTACATACTTTCTCTTTCACATTATATCCCCTGGGGCGGGGTGGGGGGAAGACCTTTCAGAAGTGGAAAACAAGGTCAAAGTTATTTGTGGAAGGATACTCATTAATCACAGTCTGTAGCACACACAATTACAGAGCTTCTGTTGAGACCTTTTTTAGTTTAAGTTGTCCTTGTATCTTGTTTGATAGTTCCAATTTTTTTGTTGCTGTTGCTGGTATTGGGGATTGAACCCAGGGCGCTCAGTGTTTAACGAATGAGCTACATCCCTAGTTCTTTTTTTTAAAAAAAAAAAATATTATTAGTAGTATTTTAGACAGGGTCTCCCTAAGCTGGTGAGGCTGCCCTCAAATTTGCAGTCCTCCTGCCTCAACCTCCTGGGTCCCTGGGATTTCAGGCATGCACCAACCACCCACTTTCACAACACTTTTGTGATGATGGCTGTTGTTTGTTATTTGAATTCTTCACATGAGCAACCGAAGGCTCAGAGTTGAGTGATATTTCCCAAGTGATAGCTCTGGAACTGGAAAAAAAAAACTCAGAGCTGACTAAAAATTACAGCTATCCCACTATGTTGCAATACCTTTACCTCCCTACCTTTCTAATCAAATTCTGAAACTTGGAAATTCTCCAACTTCCTTCATTTTCCTTTTAACATTTTTCTATGTTTAAGACTTTCAAAGTCTCCACTTCAGACCCATTCCAAGCTCAAGGACTTTACAGTAGAAATTACAGAAACTGACCCACTGAAAAAAGTCCAGATATTTTAGAGAGTACATACATTTTTTTTTTTTTTGAATGTGGATAGAGGAAGATAAGCTCTTTAGGGGGAAATGCTCTGCAGTTACATATAATTCACTTAGAAACATTATACATCCAATTTTCTAATGCATTTCCTGTTTGATTTAGAAAATGAACTTATGAGCATCTTCTTTAGACAGATGTGCTCAGAACATGGGAAGTGAGCAAAGAACTTAGCCATTACAGTTACTAGTGAGGCTTGTGCTTTGCAATAAATACTCAACATGCAAGTACATTTAGTATTCTAAAGTGAAAACAACATTTTTCACAGGACATTTGAAATAAAATTTTGAATGAGCTGATCCCATTTCTTCCACTGTCAGGGAAACACAATTAGAAAAAGAGAAAGTTGGTGTTCTGAAACATACCCAAGGCCACCCGAGGTCTCCAAGGCTGAGTGTTGGGTCAGGATCTCCTCCCCACGACTGGCTACTGAGCGCAGGAGGCTCTTCTGTTCAGCTAATTCTTGTTCCAGCTCCTGATCAAGGTAGAGGACAAATGCAAACACTTTTTGGTCATTTCATGGTCATTGTTGATAATCACAGTTCTGTTTAGAAAATTCTCAGGGAACTTTGGCAGTAAGCTTTAAATTTGCACATTACATAAAAGGTATGATTTCAAGATAGAATTTAGATAAATATTCAAACATATCTGTAATATACAGTTTTCTTTTGCTTTGATAAAAGATATTTGAAAAAGCTGGGCCAATCAATGGGAAAATAAAATTTTACTGGACAAGTGTGCCCTCTAGTGGCGTAGAGTGAACTTTCACTTTTCAAAAACCAAAACCAAAACAAAAAAAACTGCTTGCCAGAACAGATTCTTGAAAGCACCAGCTTTCTTTTTTCTTCACTTATTTTATTTTTCAATTTTTTTTTGGCAATGCTAGGAATGAAGTCAGGGCCTCAATAAAGCTGGGCAAGTATGCTTTTGCTGAGCTAGACCCCCAAACTCTTCGATTTTATTCGGAGACAGGTTCTCACTAAATTGCCCAGGCTGGCTTTTGGACTCGATTCTCCTGCTTCAGCCTCCCAGCTGCTGGCATTGCAAGGGTGTGCCACCACACCCAGCTCACCACTGTGTAAACTGGATCATCAACGGATTTGGTTTCACCTTCATTATTTGCAGGAGACTCATTTGTATTTTGGGAAAATTAAACATTTTAATTTGCCCTTTATACAACAGTGTTATCAAGGACCAAAAAAAAAAAAATCTTATTCATAAAACTCAATTGTTTCACTAGGTAACGATTTACAACACGTTTTCTGATGGTGTCCACTTGAAAGTAAAAACAAATGACATTTCTTTGAAAAAAAGAAACATGAAATTCAGATTTCCACCAATTCCCCAAGACCTTCTTGAGTTTAGTTTTGTTTTCTTGCAGTGCTGCATGCTGAACCAGGGACCAGCAGCATGTGAGGCAAGCTCTCTACCACTCAGTCATATCCCCAATTTTTACTGTAATAAAGTAGACTCAAATGAGGGCTAATCTAAAAGCAGAGGTGGGTTATAGTTGAGTTATAGTATTTAAAAACTTAAAAACAAGATTTCCTGAAAGGCTGCCCTCTAAAATAACAATGGTCATGAGTAAGGACATTGAAAGGCTAATCACATCTTGCTTCATTCAAAGCAACTGGATTTTAGTAAAGAAACAGCATTTCCCTCCAGGTCTTTCCTTGGCAGATCTGTGGGCTAGTGAGGGCAGGAGGAGCTTTACTTTCTGTTGCTGGAGACTGTTCTGCCGCTGGTGGGTCCTTGTGGTTCGAGCTTGAGCCAGCCATTCCTGCACACCGGGGCTCTGAGTGGCCGTGAGGTCAACATCGCTGTCTTCCTTCTCTTGGGCGGCTCCCTGCTTTTAAGGAGGCAGAAATCAAAGGTCATGCTCTCTACAGGAAAATCTTCACCAAAAATGGAGAGAATGCTTTTTTAGTGTGGTCTGTATGATAACCAAAGCTGCTCTGTTAGGATGTGAAGCCACATTATTAAAAAGACAGTAACACAAAACCCATCTAATTTATGGCATTTTCAGGATTGAGAACAATAAACAGATGGTTATGCCCAGAAATAGTTGAGGGGAAATCCATGTGTTTCCAATGTGGTCACCAGGTATTATTACAGAATTTCTTTTCACAAAAATATAATGCTAGATCCTTTTATGATTTAAAAAAAATAATACAAAGGTAAAGTGTTACTCAAATGATCATTATATACTATAATTCACTGTCTCTCCTGTGAAAGTGTCATCTTTTCATTTCTCTAGGTCACATGATACATACCATGCAAGATATGGCAGGTACTTGTTCCTAAAGATTTTTCTAAAAGATTATTTATTTATTTCTGTTTTGGTAAGGGGATGGAACCCAGAGGAATAAAACCACTGAGTTACACCCCAGCCCTTTTGTCTTTTATTTTGAGACAGACATCTTTTTGTCATTTAATAAGTTGCTTAGGGCCTCACTAAGTTGCTGAGGCTGGCTTTGAACTTGATATCCTTCTGCCTAAGCCTCACAAATCACTGGGTTTATAGGCATGTGCCCCCATGCCTGGCCTAAAAGGTTATTAATCAAAGAGATCTCAATGTTTAAGAAGAAGTCCATAGCCCTATAAGGTAAGATATCATACTCATGAATTCAAGAAGAAGTTAAACTTGATTTTCAATTCCCATGGAAGAAAATTTATTGTCCCACAGAGACAAGGAGTCCAGGCGAGGGCTTCCCAGGGTGGCTGGGACTCCTCTGTCCCACCCTCCACTCTCCAGGCTCTTGGACCCTTGCTCCAGGGCTGCAGGATGTGGTCAACCACAGAGAATGCGATTCCCAACACATGTCACTAGGCAGGGACTCTCCCAGACACTGGATTTTACAGGCCTTCAACATCTAACCTGTTTGGGCCCTAGAGTTGAAGTAGTTCTAGAATTCTTGATTTTCGAGTGTCTGCTGTTTACATAGTTATATTTAAAGATTCTTCTGTAGGACAAATACTTTGCTCAAGTATGAGAAGGCTTTAAGTGTCTTTTTCCCAAAGTCATTCCAAGTAGCACATTAAAAATATCGTGTACCTGTGGACACGGTGGATCACAAATTCAAAAATGAATTGAATCTTTAAAATGATTATTAAAGACGAGATCTCTGAGAAACGAGGTCCCCTCCCTCTGCTACACCACCAGCCCACCCACTGCTTTGATGAAGTCTGAACAAGGACAAAGACAAAAATGTCCTTACACCTAGGCAAGAGTTCATCCTTCCTGCCTGGCTATTCCACGGGAATCTGAAAGGTGCCCAAATGCCACATGTCACGTGGCTTCATTTCTGAACAAGAGCCTCTCCACTCACCTGCATTTATGTCAAATGGTCAATTATGCAATTTTAATGTAACTCATTCGCTAAATACACATGAAGAGTCAGGGTTCACAAAGCAGAGGCCAGATCAGGGCCCTGGCGGGGAGACAGACAATGCCCGACCAAGAACAGCTGAAAAGCCAAGCTAGTGAGGGCTGCGAGGTCCGGGCCAGAGGTAAAGGGGCAGAGAGGGCAGGGGAGGCTTCTCAGGATGGGAACTGCTCTGAGCCCTGAATGAGTCCAGCAGAGACCCAGGCGGGCACCCCAGGCCCAGGAGCAGATGGCACAGAGGCCCTCTGAGGAAAGAAATCTGGCACACACAGAAGCAGCGAAGGGGCCAGTGTGGCTGGTCTGGTGGAGCAGAGAGCAGGATCACTGCTCAGGCTGTGTGCACAGAGCAGTGTCCCAACATCCATTCTGGAGCTGCTTGCCCGCCCTGGTTCTTCACCAAGTCTGCCCAGGGATGGGACCCATGTTTCCAACCCACAGAGGCCCGGCTCTCCCTCTTATTTTCAGAATTCTACACTCACCATCCCTGGGCAATAGACGGGGCTTGTTCACCTGTCTGATTTTTCTCACTGGAATCTCAGGATTAAATTGCAGAATGTGTGAGGGAATGGACTGGCCCTTGGGCTTCCCACCATGGGTGTTGGCACCTGGAGCTAAATGAGCTGAAGCAATCAGTCAAACTCAGAGGCAAGATTCTACCCATACACACACACACACACACACACACACACCCAGCTCTCCCACGTTGTTCTGAGCCCGTCCAAATGAGCTGGAAAATATTTCCTTTCTTTCAAGGTGATCCAATGTTCCAGGAAAAAAAAAAAAGTGGCTTAGTTAGAATAATGTTATGCCCTAAATTATGCTATTTGCATTTTGTAGGATTTTTAGAATGGGGGACTGATCACACCCAGTCCTTCTCCAGTAGGAAGGGGGAAGGGGACCATGGGAGGGAGGGAGGGGCAGGGAAAGGGGAGGTCCTGGGGATTGAAATGGATCTACTTTTGTTGTGTGCATATAAGAATATGCCACAATGAAGCTCACCCTTCTGCATTATTATTAAATACAACTAATAATAATTAAAAGTGAACAATTAGAAAACTCTCCTCCCTCTCAGGTCCATTTCTCAAAGATAAGCAGTGACCTTCTGGAAGGCTGGGTGTTTGGGGGCGTGGGGTGGGCATTCTTCCTACCCTGAAGCCCAGGACATGCAACAAGTTCTCTGCCCCCATCTCAGGGTGCTCCAACTTCCAGGAATAAGCTCCAAGAGACTCTCAGGGCTCTTCCACACAGGGAGGAAGCAGTGGGTCACACAGGACTGGAAGGGAAGGACAGGGCTGACACACAGTGACCCTTTAAAGCCATTCCAATCAGAGCTGCTCCGGCTGGCAGGGCAGGGCCCCACCTGCTGGCATCTCCCCTGGGATCCAGGCCACTTCCTCTGGGCTCTTCTCTTCAGCAGAGGCTTGTTTTTCAGAGCCCAGCTGGAAGATTCCTTTGGAGACTTCTCACAGACCCAGTGCCCACTCACCCTTTTTCTCAGGGTCCTATTCTTCCCAGAATAATGTGTGCTTGCAAAAACTGACAACTGCCATGTCAGCCCTAAGAACACGCTTCACATTTACATGCAGAAGGACTTTTGGGATCTAGGACTTAGACCTGGGAAGGCTATCTTACTTGGCTAATGGAGTCCACAGACTCAGGGGAGAATAATAAACGAAGCAGCAGACGCACAGAATGTGTTTTCTATGTGGTAATGTTGGATTTTCAGTCTGTGAAATTTTCTCTGACTTAGTCATTTTGAAACCTAAGTGTACAACCACAGGAAGCAAAAAATAAATAAGAATCCAGGTCAAATTTCATTTCCTTTCCCCACGGGATGAGGAGGCCCTGGCAGGAGAAACGTGATTTGGTAATTACTTTTTGTGAGGTGTGACAACAGTTTTCTCTGGGATCTGGGGACTAGGAAGTAAGGCAGCTTCTGTCACCAGAGCAGCACTGGGAAGGGCTACCTGAGTTGTTTATTTTGGAAATACTCCAACAGTAACCACTTATGCCAAGAACATTCCTTGGAAGATTAGTAGGATTGGGAGATGCTGAACATTAAATAAAACGTATCTCTATAAAGCATTTTGTTATTTATAGAGGGCAAACTCTCTGCTCTTTTGATGTATGATAATGTGTGAAATGACCTATATTCTTTATAATGGTACTGGAGATTGAACTCAGGAATGTTCTAGCACTGAGCTACATACCCAGAATTTTTTTCCCCCATTTTCATTTTTATTTTGAGACAGGTCCTTGCTAAGTTGCCGTGTCTGGACTCCAACTTGGGATCCTCCTGCCTCAGCCTCTCAAATTGCTGGGATTATTGGTATATACTACTGTGTCTGGCTTGACCTAAGCTTTTTATGAAAAAAGTAATTCAAGACAGACTTGAATGTCAGCCCCAATTCAAGGACAGGACCTTACCAACTTCTGCATTCAATGGAGGATCCCCCTCCCCCATGACCATTAGCTAATTTCATATCTGAATTATTTTTTGTGTTCTACATAAAGAGAAATTATTCTTTTCATGGCACTAATAATGTAAAAAGGCTTACTTTTATTTCCATGGATGAAAAAATAACCTTGAAAAGGCAAAATTCTTTTTTAAACCCCATTAATATTTTATGTGCTAGAAATTCCATTAGAAGAAAGATGACAGAATTTATAGCAATTCTTAAAATAACCATTGACTGATTCCAATGCAGTAAAACATTACCACATTTTTACTGTCTACACATCACCCAGCAGCACCCTTAGGAAAGTTTATACTTGGGGCAGAGTCAGAACTTTATTCAATTTAAATAATTCCTGTGGCACTGAGCAGGATTTGCTGGGTGAGGGCCCACGGCCATGTCAGCATGCTCAGCCCAGCCTGGACCCATAGAATGCCAAGAGCGCCCTATAAATAATAAAATTATTTATTTATTTAAAATTTATTAAATTCTAAGTGGAAACAGCTGGTCGTCACTGTCACATTGCTATGATTTCAGCATCTATTGTAAGCATTATTTGCATTAAAATCCTTAGGATAAACTCAGTGCTGTAGTACATACCTATAATCCCAGCAACTTGGGAGGCTGAGATAGGAGGATCATAAGTTTGAGGCCAGCCTGAGTCACTTAGGGAGACCCTGTCTCTAAATTAAATTTAAAAAGGGCTGGGGATACAGCTAAGTGGTAGAATGCTTGACTACCATGTTTGAGATCTTGTGTTCAAACCTCAAAACAAATCCTCAGGGGCAAAAATTCTTAACTTTAATACCATATGTTCCTCTTATCTGGTTTTACTTCCTCTAGTTTCACTTGCTATAGTTGACCATGGTTGAAAAACATTATTTGTGTTGGTTCTCCCTTTTATTAGAGTTTATTGTTATAAGTGTTCTGTTCTATTATTAGTAATTATTGCCAATTTCATATTATGGTGCCTTTTATTAAAAAAAAATCACACCTTCTCACAGGTA